ATAGTACGATACTTAATGGGCTGTGTAAAACCGGCAAGCCAAGTGGAGCTATCAGGTTGCTAAGGATAAAGTGATAATGATTGGATTAGATTGCGGGAATTTTAAAATTTGATTTGAATTTAAATTATATTTTTATAAGATTTTATTCTAATCAAATTTTATTAGTTTATTAATTTTTAATTTAATTTATTTTTATTTTTTATATATTATTTTAATATAATTAAATAAATTTCAATATAAAATACTTATTTTTATTTTATAAAAATTTAAAATATATATAAAAGCTAAATATATATAATTAAGTTTGATTTGATTTTTTTTGTTTTTTATTTTTTGATTTAAAATTCGTTCAAATTTAATATATATATTTAATATTCAAATTTAATATGAATCAAATAAAAAAAATTGATTCGAATTGAATCAAATATTATGATTTAAATTGATATTTTATTTTTTTTTATTGTTTTTTTCTCTTCTCTAACTAGGGATGATAGAAGAAAGAGGATTCCAACCTAGCGATGTAGCATACACCACAGTAATTAACATCCTTTGTTAAGGATAGACTACTAACTGAGGGTTTCCCCCTTCTCTGAGATGAAGGGTAAAGGCATTCAACCTAATCAACCTAATATTTTCACTTACAGTTCCGTGATTCATGGAATGTGCAATTTAGGTCAATGAAAAGAGGCCATAAGATTATTTGACCAACTGATACATACCAATATCACACCTGATGTTGTCATTTATAATGTATTAGTTAATGCATCCTTTAAAGAGGGAATGATTTCTGAGGCTAAAGATATTGTTGAAGCAATGAAAGGAAAAGGAGTCAAGACAGATATTTTCACATACAATTCACTGATAGAAAGATATTGTTTGCAAAGCAAAGGCCAAAGCTAGAAGAGTATTTGAGTTGATGATCAACAGTTGTGCACCTGATACATTTAATATCATGATTAATGGATATTGCAAAAGTAAGAGGCAATGAAACTCTTTCATGAAATGTCTCATAAAGGACTAATTCCTAACGTTGTTACATACAGCACTCTTATTAAAGCCATGTGCCTAATAACTTTTCAGGGAAATGTCTGCCCATTGGCCAAGTTCCTAACTAGATTACTTATGCCACTTTGTTGAATGGGCTACGTAAACATGGGATTATTCACAAGGCGCTGGGATTGTTTCAAGTAATGCAAAACAGTGGGCTGGAGCCCAATGTTGTCTACTATAATATCCTAATTGATAGCTTTTGTGAGTTTGGGAGACTTGAAGAGGCAAGGAAACTATTTTGTCATCTATCTATGTTATGGTTAAAGCTTGATGTAATGATTAAGGCACTTTGTGAAGGAGAACTGCCAAGTGAAGCTTATGAATTATTTAGGAAAATGGAAGAGGTTGGTTGTTCGCCAAATAGTTGTTCTTATAATGCAATGATCCAGGGGTTCTTGCAAACAATAATGTCTTGCACTACAGCTTCTCGAAGAAATGATGGGTAAGGGATTTTCTGCTGATATATCCACTGCGACCTTGTTATTAGAGCTGCTGTCTGGTGTTGAAATAGATTGATGCTGACATGAAATGGTTCAGATCTATGCTAAGAAAGGTATGAATATAGAGTTAACTTATACTTAATTGAAGATTTCTGGAGTAGATCCTGATGCCAACAAATCTTTCCTGAGGTAAGAGGTCCCATTACAATTTTAGTTTCTATTCTATCCTTCTTTTTTTACATCTGGGACAAAAGCAATATTGCAAAACTTGATTATGAATTTTGGAGATAATATTTTAAGATAGTTTTAATTGTCTTTTTCCTAGGTCATCTCAATGAAAACACAAGCACAAAATCGGTTGAATGGTCTACAAGTGTCTGGAAAGTTTGATATCATAAGCGAATCATCTTTGCAAAGAATTGACATAGATTACTGATCTTTTGCTTCTTTTTGTGATGGTAACTTAATAAGCAATTTGTCTTCGCAAAGATTTGAAAGAAATTACTGATCTTCGGCTTCCTCTACAAGTTTAATTATTTCTGTTTCAATTCTATGGGCTGAAAGAGGCATAATATGTAACTTTTGTGCTTGTCCAACTTTCCTTGAGCTTGTAATCATGAATGATGTAAATGTGTTTGCTTACATTTTTGTGCTTTCTCCTTCATCCTTTTTGCTTATTTTACTCAGTTATTCTATTCTTTCACCTATCTGGCACACCCAACTTGGTCACTAATTGTTTGGAATTTCTACTCTATCTTGTTTAATTTTTCTCTTTTATTGTTAAAAGATGAATTATAATGTTGTATTTGCAAGGTCTATCCTTCTACTTTAACAATGATATTGGGAGAGTTTTCTGTCACTGATAGTATAGCTTTTGTGCAACCAGATATGAAATGTTTCTAAATTAAACAATTAGTATTTTGTGACAATGACTGATTACCTTTCTAATATTGTAACCTCATTTTTCAGTTGTGTTCTTGGATCTAAAGGAATATGGTGCTGTAAATTTTAGAAAAAAAAAGGATTATGAATTTGAGAATAGCTAGAACTGATTCATTTACCAAATTGAGCCCTATAATGCAATAACCTCTAGTACTAGTTGTTGTGACTTAGATTTTCTTCCTTAACCTCTAGTACTAGTTGTTGTGACTTAGGTTTTCTTCCTTTGGTCTTCTTTCGACATTAATTACTCGATTGCACAATCATTATATTAAAAAGGAAATGATACTATGAGTGGTCATGTAACAGAATAGGACATTGAAGTTTCTTCATGCTTATTGAATTGCTTTGCTATGTTTGAGATTTTGTTAAAGATCCACAATTTGGATGGACATTATGTGCTTAAATTTAGGTAATTTATTGTGTTTGTGATGCTGAGTATTTACTGTTACTATATTCTGGATATGTTTGTACAAATGGATTACAGATGGATAAGCATGCAAACACACATAGAGCATGTGCAATGTAATGAACCAAAATTTCATCCAAAGTATCAAAGAAAGTTGGATCACATATGTACAACCATTAATTGCACTAGAAGCATAAGGGTGCAGATAAATCTTCCTTAAACATACTTTCCACATCTACATGGGTTCTAATAAACTACAATACAACTTAACCATCTTTTTTGCTCCCCTTCTGCTGATGGATTACAACTGTTTGTTGACTAGACATTTGCAGAATATGCAGAAACTAGAGCCAAACAAGCTAGCCTTATGACACAGTTATCAATCACATTACACTTCTAGCTGTTTTCATGGTTCAAATTTAATTTGATTTACTTAGCCTTACATAGTTAAATTTAACTATGTTACCGTTTAGACTTATGTAGTTGCAAAGTGAATTGAACTACATAAAAAGAATTTGAATTTTGCTGAGTTTGTTGAGGATATTGTCTTGACCAGAGGACAGTGATGCAGTAGTGGATCATACTGCATTGTACGCTTTATTAGCAGGCAAAGGCATACCTTGTTGCTTTTATTGCTTCGCTTGATGGAAACTAGTGGGCTGGCTTAAAGGTTGGAACAACTCAGAAATGAACAATCAAGAGAGATGTCTTTTGGCCTTTTTATTGTAGCAGTATCTTATCCTAATATATTAAACTAAGATTGTCAATAAGATTTTATGAACAAAACAGTTAAAGCTCTGCTGGTCTTTTAACTTTCAATTGATGGAACATATGATCTTGCTACGATATTATAAAAGTATTAGTAGCTATATTGGTTTGTGTGATTACAGTGAGGTGGAAAAGCAAGTTGAGGTGATTGAATTAGGTGTTGATGAAAAACAGATGAGAGGAGTCATGGCTAGGCTGTCAATTTTGTGGGCGTTGGAGGAATGTGGCTTACATAACAGATCTTGGAATCTAATTATATCTTCATTTCATTTATGATTCCACATTGGTATTATAATGTTTAATCTGTTTATGTGTTACACGTTGATGAGAGGGAGGCAAGAGTAAGGTTAGTGTCTAGGATGTGGTGGGTTTAAACATGAACCTTCAACCTATGTCTTGACGACTAAATTTGCCTGCTTAAAGAATTAACCAAAACTTTTGATGGTTTAATGGAGTCTTGGGGAACCTGCTAATGGTTTTGTGCTGCTCTTTCAATTTATTCCAGATGGTTCACTTATTCTTAAGTTTCAAGTGCTTAAATACACTTTTTAACTCTGCTAATGCTAACTATAAAAATACTTAAGTCCATCCTTTTGGTTTCTCTCCGATCCAATGAACAGCCTGACGTTATTTATTTTTCTTTGAATGTTTTGTGTTAACATTTTTCTTTTATTTTTATCTAGAAGACATAATAATAAAGTATATAGCATTCAGTGATCATACAATTGCTCTTTCAATTGCCAGAAGACGTAATAATTGAATCTTTATTTTTTAAATATATTTTAATACATTAATATGCACATATAAATAAATAATAAAAATATAATATTTAATGTTTATATTTTTATAATTTTACTTATTATCATCGAATCAAGTTTGAATTGCTTGAATAAATTACAAGTCAAATTTTAACATGAAAATTAAAATTTAATTGAGTTTGAATTAAATTTTAATCCTCAAGTTTATAAATCAAGCTAAACTTAAAGCTTAATAAATGATTGATTTGATTTGGTTTAATTACACACTTTTACGATGTAACAAAAATTATCCTTGTAGGATCTTTAGACGTGATTTGTTGTGTTATTTTTATTATTTATTATATATTTTCTTATTTATTATTCAAAAAGTGAATTCTTTAAATTAAATTAATATTATATCTAAATAATTTTGATATTTTAAAAGTTTAAATAAGAATGAGTAAAACCATTAACTTTAATTCACCAAAAAGATTTCATGAAATTGGATGAATACCGAATTGACTTGAATTAGTCCAAAACTATTTAAATTGCATTGGGTAAGACCCAAACTCGAAATAATCCGGATTCAAAAGCAATATGAACCCGAAAAAAATCGTTCCCAAAATAATTCGACCCTGAAATAATCCACACTCGAAATTATTTAAATCTGAAATCAACTAAGAGCCGAAGTGATCCCAAATAAGAATTCAACCTGACCGGAATCTGCCCAAACCAACCTTTTGCAACCTCTGTTGGATATACGTCACCCTGTTTGCTTTTGAAGTTTCTGAAAGAAAGCCTTTTAAGCTCTTGCAAAGCATTCCTCAATTCAAACAAAGTTTTCTTACTCTTCAAAGTATTTGCAATTGTTGCAATGGCGATTGGAAGTTCTGCACATTTTTGGGCCACTTCAATTGTTGTAAAATACAGGTCAGATCTTTCAACAATGTCCACTGAACCATGTTTCTAATCGGGTTCCGTGATTTTTCGTTTTTTGAAAATGCTGATTGCAAAAGGTTTTTGAATACCCATCGAGAATAAAAACATTGAAATTTCTTGATGTCAACAAGATCTTGCATCCCATGTGCTCACATCTAGAAGGAAGTCCAAGAACATTCATATCCAATGTCACCCAAATATTATCCAAAATAATAAGAACCTTCTTCTGTTTCTTGAGTCGATCACGTAGCTGAACTCTCCTTGCATCCAGGCTTGCCTCATCAAATTTCAGGCCTAAGTTCTTAGCAATCTCGTTTTGGATTTTTTCAATGTTTGGAGTTTGTGTTATAGCTGCCATGATCACCTCATCAAACAACTGCTCCTCCATGGCAAGTCTAGCAACCTGTTTTACTGGTCTAGTTATGCTGCTCTACCCATTCCGTACACTCCAATTATGTTGGAATCATCATTTTTCAATGCCTCCATGACCCCATTCAAAGCACTGGTTCTTGATTCAAAGGCCTCGTAACCACTGACATGTCTGAGAGCAGGAAGATAGGAGACGCTATCGAATCGGCCTTTTCCTAATAGTTGAGCAATGGCGTCGGCTTCCTTCTCTGCTCTCTTGCCGAGCTGATAACGAGACTTGAAATTAGGACAGAATCCGATAAAACACCTTTCTTCGCTTTCTCTTCATCCTCCTTTAATTTGGCTGCAGCCTCCTCAGAGATCTTCTCGTCCACCATGGTCAACCATTTCTCCACATCTTTATAAGTCTTACGCCCTTTCCTTTTAGCTGCGTCAACAGAATGCTTCACTCTCTGTCTTGCATCCTTCAGCTCGTCGACTCCCTCCTTCAGATTCTCCACGTTGCTTTTATAGTTTAATATACAGGTCACTTCACGTTTGATGAGATCAAATGCGAACTCGCCAGTTTTTTCACCAAGCGAAGCAATGACTGCTTCCATTTCTCTCTATGTGAAGTTCTGTAAAGTAGATGTGATGTGTTTTAAGTGAATGAGGATTACCCTGCTGGATGTAAAACAAGTTTACGTTGCTAACTTGCTTTTGACTTAAAACTAGAGTTGCCAAATGCCGGTCCGGTTGAAGTTTGGGTTGGGTTATTTTTTCATTGAAGAAAAAAATAAAATAATTTTGGATTCACACTATTTGGTGTTATGATTATTTCAGAGTCAGTTGAGATTTGAAACTTCAGTTATTCTCGGATCTTGAATTCAAATTATTTTGAATTTAAATTATTAAATTTTAAAATTAAATTAATATAATTTTTTATTATTTTAGATTTAATTTTCAAGTTGCTCAAGTTGAATTATTTAATATTTTTATTAATTCAGATTGGAATGGAAGGAATTCTCTTTTTTGTCTACATTTTTGTGAAATAGGATTGCGTCGTTTTCGATTGAGACAAAATTGAAATCAACTATACTTAAAACAAACAAATTGAACGGGCAATGATTGTCTATGTACATTTTGACTATTTTTTATGTCAATTCTTGAACTAATTAATTTTTTAATCAAGATATAATATATTTCTTTTCACACTATTAGCATGTTGTTTACGACAAGGGAAAAGGCGTGGAAAGCTAGAAGAAAAACAATTTGTAACTTAAATTAATATTGCTAATGAATAACAAAGAAAGACTTACCGTATAATAATCTTGGTTTGGTCAGATGTCCCCACATATCAATTAATAAAGAAAGACTTACTTTTAACCCCTTCACTTTTTCTTTGGTAAAAATGGATATGATTGGGATAAGAAAATCTTACATGACAGACAGCAATTGCGATGGATTTGGTTTAGGTTTTTGGCTGTACAGTTATGCCTGAGATTGGGATACGTCGGAATGTGACATAAGTTGGGATTGAGTGGTTAGATGAGTACAGCATAGCAAATTGGATGCCTTCAGTGCATCAAAGTTTAAAATGATTAATTGATGCTTTTAGTCATATTAAATATATGATTTGTAATTATTTAATTTAAATTATTAGATATGGTATATTTTATTTTGATTTTAAAAATTAAGTAATTTTTCTTGCTAAAAAAAGGATTAATTGATGGCTTAAATATAAAAAAAAGTTGAATTAAAATTAAATAATTATTTAATTTTTATTATTTTATTAAAATCAATTACATCTTCAAAATATTTATTTTTCATTTAATTTTATTTTTAAATATCTATCTTCATTTAATTTAGCTTTTATTTGATGAAAATGATTGTTAACAAGTTATCAAATTTCATTTAATAAAAATTTAATTGAATAAAAATAGATGTTGAAAGACTCAATTATTGATTATCAATAAAATGATAAAAATTTAAATAATTATTTAATTTTAACTTAAAGATTTTTTTTTATACTTAAACTTTAATTGAACAAAGATACATGTGAAAATTCAAATCAATCTTTATTGGTTTAATAAATTGAAAGAAAAAAACTAGATTAAAATTTTTTTAAAAAAATAACAATATGATTTATTAGTAAAATATTATATTTTTAATTTAAGCAATGAAGATTGAAGATTAGTAGCATAAAGTACCAAAAAAAAATGCTAACATGTGTATGAAATTAGTTACATTATATATTTTTTTTATCAGATCATGTAAGAAAAATTATATACATGAGTTTTATTTGAACAAGTTTTTTATGAATTTCAAAAATAAAAGACTACATATTAGGGAATCTGATTTTTATATATTGTCTCCACAATTAGTGTTATCACATGTCCTATTTTTTTTAAAAAAATAAATTTAATATGATATCTTTTTGTTGATAATTAAACTTGTGAAATAATTTTTCATATGTTGGGTGGGCCTTTTGCGAGAGGACTTGTATGTTTGCTACTTGGGTCGAAGGCCCTTTCTTAAATTCACAAGAGGAAAAATGGTTTATGGCTGAAACTCGCGGACCCAAGTTTAAATTATAACAACAAAGCAACAGTCACTCTCTTCTTCGACCGCATCAAAACCCCCCAAAACCCCTCCCAGAGACTTAGCTTCACGCGAATCATGCATTTTCTTTTCCGCAAAGCCAACGGCTAATCCTCTCATCCTCCCCGCTTCACGTTTTCTTTCTTTTTTTTTCTTATCCTTCCATTTGGTTTTCCGTTTTCACTTGCGTTTTTAAATTATCACAAGAAACCCTAACCCTAAAACCGAGTAACTTCTTCCAATGACGAAGGTCCATGGAACCGGCGTTTACGACTTCAAACGCCACCGGGTGGCCGAGTACCCGGTCGAGTTCACCGATAAAGCGGATTCAAAACCCGCCCTCGGTTCATCCCTTCCCAGCTCTATTACTTTATCTGAAATCCAGCGAGATCAGCTGACTAGAATAGCGGCCGCCAATTGGCTAAAGAGCGGAGGTTCGAAGCCCAACAAGCCCTTCGATCCTCTGCTGGTTAAGGAGATTTATGATACGGAGCTTACTGTGAAGTCGGAAGGGAAGTCTCAGAGGAAAACGGTACCGTTGCAAAGGGTTATGATATTGGAAGTCAGTCAGTATTTGGAGAATTACTTGTGGCTGAATTTTGAAGCAGAGACGGCGTCGTATGAGCACGTTATGTCCATGATTTTGATGGTTAATGAGAAGGTAAAGCTTGTTTTAATTAAATTTTATTTTAAATAATTTTCAAGTAAAATAGATCTAAATTATTGAGTTTCCCTTTGGTTGTTTCTTCGGTACTTGCTTTTTTCTTATGCGTTGGATATGGAGATGCAAATTGTATTTTATACTGGAATTATGTTTTTTTTATGTAGCTATGTTAGAATTAGTGTTAGATTTTATCAGTTTACTGGTTTTTAATCAATTATGATTTTCCTTTCTATTGTGTGCTTTTCGCTTTTAATAATTTTGTAGGAAGCAAAAAGTTAAAAAGTAAAAAGCAACAGTAAAATGTAGCATGAGGTAATTTACTGAGTGAGTTTTGACAATTTATCTTTGAGCATTGCAGTTTCGAGAGAATGTGGCTGCTTGGTCATGCTTTTATGATCGGAAGGATGTGTTCACAGGATTCCTTGAGAGGGTACTTCGGCTTAAGGAGGTTTGTATTGCTATCACTTTTAATTAGCACAATTGAGGGTTGCTAAATGTCTTATTATAATTAATTAATTATAGCAAGTGTCTAATGGCATAGAAAAACTCTGCGAGCCGTTGTATTTGATGCAGGATCTTGTAAACGTGGTAATAGCAGTTTCATTTCTTCAAATAAAAGCACTAGATATAGTACTTTAGTAATCATTGTTCAGAAATTGATGACAAATAGGCTGAATCTTTGATAAACTGATTTGGATGCAGGGAAGAGAATTAACGATTGCAGAGAAAACGAATTATCTGGTTTTTATGATCAATGCTTTTCAGGTAATTAGCACCTTAAGTATTCTTTTAGTGAATGCATTTAGATGTTACAAATTCATGTATCTGTCATATAGTAGCACTTTGGTAGCATTGAAGTTATTCCTTTTTGTGTTCATATGTCTTTAGGGAGATAAATTGCAGCATGCTTGACTAGTCATTTTTGGATGCACTTGATGCTTTGATTGTTTACCCACAAGAGGCAGCACTTTAAGTATACTTTTAATGAAAGCATTTAGATGTTACAAATTTGTACCTGCCAAATAATTGCTTTTTAGTAGCAGTGAAATTATTCCTATTCGGGTTCATATATCTTTAGGTTGATAAAACTGTAGCATGCTTGACTAATCATTTCTGGATGTAACTGGATGCCTTGATTGTTTACCCACAAGTGGCAGTGCCTCAAGTATACTAATGCATTTATATGTTACAAATTCATGTATCTATCAAGTAGTTGCTCTTTAGTAGCAGTGAAGTTATTCCTATTCGTGTCCATGTCTTTTGGTTGATAAATTGTGGTATGTCTTTTGGTTGATAAATTGTGGTATGCTTGACTAGTCATTTCTGGATGCAACTAGATGCCTTGATTGTTTACTCAGAAGAGACAGCTGCATGGAAGGTTCATGTCAATGGTCAAGAAAATGACTAGTATTAAAACAACATTGGAAAATAAATTTTTTTATTGGTCTAATTTCATTGTTGTTAAAGTGGTGAAAGTATATCATGTTATATTCATCAAGGGGCTGGGAATGCATTTGTTTAGGATAATGGTTTAATGCTAGTAGAGAGGATAGAAGGGTAAAGGTAGATTTAAAACCAGATTGGTTAGAATAGTGAGGATGTACAGATGATGCATTTGAAAATCCAGTAGGTTCAATAGGAAGCCAATTAAAATGCAGACATCGAGTATCTCTGCATTTGGAACATATTTGTTTGAATGATTGCTTCTGTAAATGGGCATTTGCTCTGGGGCTCTGTCACTTTCTTCTCCTTTGTTTTTCTTCATCTGCAAACCTCTTTGGTTCAAGTCATGCAATTGCTGGCAAGCCGCCATCCTGTCTATCACCACTCCACCCTATACCTACCCATTGATCATCAAACAGGCACCAAATTTATTAGTGCACTGCAACTTAGCATGTTCAATCTGCCATCAATTATCATAACAAGAAGCCAAAATTATCCATAAGCCACTATAGTCATGCTGCTGCCTTTTATGCACTAATCTCCACAACCTTGCTTCAACTGAGCCAAAATATTGAAAGTGCAACATCCTTTGCATTGGAAAACAATGACAGAAATATTTTTGCTTTTTATGTTCTTCCCTAATAAAATTATGAATGCCACATGCACTGAAGCCATTATTTGGGTAAATCTGGTGGCAGTGGAGAGATTAAATAGAGCTGTACCATTGGCTCTCATTTTGATATTAGAGAGATAGAAATTGAATTTGAGCTGAAAAGAAAAAGACGAGGGAGAGAGATTGCTGCTTGCCTTTAGCAATCACTTCTGCCAATGAATAGATAGAAATATATTATAAAGGGTGAAGAGGAGAGTAGTTCAAAAATGGAAGCAGAGAAAAAAGGAATAAATAATGGGATAGGATGGTATTGTTTAAAGAAAAGAAGACTAAAAATTATTATTGTCAGAAGTTCATATCAAAAGATGTTGGTGCAAGGGTTGGGTGGAGAGACCAAGGGAGACAGAGAGGAACCGGGGTTAAGGAGAGATAATTTGAGAAGATGTGGGTGGCAGGATGAGTTTGCATCATTTTACAGTAGCACTTCTTTTGTCCCAAGAGGTGTCCTAACGGTTATCTTAAAGGTTATCTTAGAGGTTTCAAGTTCGAATCATGGCATTGACAGGTTGTTTTTTGGAATGGTTGAGAGTTACATTGCATTCTGTAGCTCAAAATCCTGATGTACCCTCCTTTCCCCCTCAAAAAACAAAAAACGTTAACACCTCTTTTGGTGTAATTGCAATGAATGATTTGGGGACTACAGGATACTTTCTTAAAACCACTGAAAATTTTGATTTTTTTTTTGTCAAAATGAGGTAAATTTCTATTTCATAAATAATTGAAACTTCTTAGAGAATAAATTTACAAGAGAAATGATATATGAATGGCTTCTATGGAATATAACCTCAAACTGTGGAATGGAAGAACTTGATTTGCATACACTGCCTCAAAAAAGTATATTAGAGCTGAAGATAGTAAATAATATTTCGAAGTATTTGTAGACATAGAACAATACTCTTGAGCTCCTATCTGTTTTCTAATGTTGTAACTGCTGAATGTGACAGAGTTTGGAAGATGAAATTGTCAGGGAAACTGTCCTTAGATTAGCAAGTTTGCGATCCTGGCATAGTTTGTCATATGGTCGTTTTCAGGTAAGATTTTATCGTATGAATTGTATTCTTCGGACTCGCCCTTTTCCCTGTGGGTATCTTATTTTCTTTTCTTATCTGTAGATGGAACTTTGTCTTAATCCAGATTTGATCAAGAAATGGAAAAGAATGATAAAGAAAGAATATGATGATGCTAAGAAGCAAGGAGTGCATCTTGATCCCCTATTTTCGTTGGAAGCAAACTTCTTGAGAAATCTGATAGAAGAGTTTCTTGAGGTGATATACTGGAAAATCAGTTTGTTTGGTTGCTTCTTTCTTTTTTTTTTTTTGGTCGGTAGGGGGTAGGGGTATTCAATGATTTTGCAGTTGGTAAATTGCCATTTTTTCAATGTTACTCAGGTGCTTGATCACAAAGTTTTTTCCCAGAAGCATTCTGTCACTGAAGATGATGAACTTAATGCTGCTAGTAGTTTTGAGCAAGTTGATGATGCTTCTATTTTGTACTGTGAGAGGTTTATGGAATTTCTCATTGATTTATTGAGTCAACTACCAACAAGGAGGTATCATTGCCCTGCATCAGGGTCTTGTACTCTTAGTTTGAACAGATTCGTTTTTCTTTTGTTGTTGGTTTTTTCATTTGCTTTTCTGTTTGCAAAAAAAGGGTGCTGTGGGTTGGTCTTTAACGAAGGTCTTATTGTTTCATGTTGATACTCATTATTCATCTGCTTTCTTATTATTCTTTCCCCCTTCTCATCATCATCTTCTGTTTCTCAATTTTTGATTGTCTTTTTTGAGGTACAGGTACCTAAGGCCTCTTGTGGCTGATGTAGCTGTTGTTGCCAAATGCCATTTAAGTGCTCTTTATAGACATGACAAAGGGAAACTCTTCGCACAACTTGTGGATTTGCTACAGTTCTATGAAAATTTTGAGATAAATGATCATGTTGGCACTCAGTTGACAGATGATGAGGTGCTCCAATCTCATTATGATCGTGTTCAATCCTTCCAGCTTCTTGCTTTTAAGAAATTTCCCAAGGTCTGTCATCTGTCTTAAGCAGTTGGTTTATCTACAGCACATCTCACTAGCAGAAAGTACCTATCTTTCATAGTTCATAGGTTCCAGATCTAAACCTTTTTCCTTTCGTTTCTATGGTGCTTGTAGTTGCGAGAACTTGCACTGGCCAACATTGGTGCAATACACAAGCGTGCAGATCTCTCAAAGAAATTATCTGTACTTTCTCCTGAAGAATTAAAGGATTTGGTTTGCTGTAAGGTTTGTGGGTTGTGTAGTTGTTTGTTTCTTATTTTTTATTTCTTTTGGCACCATATTTGAAACCAGGATTTTTGAAGAATGAAGTTATGTGAGATGTTCACCCCAGCTGTGTAGTTGTCATGTCTTATGGGTTGTAATTTTAATCCTCTTGTGAATGCATATGGTAACTTAATGGAGTGAAGTGTATTTTACTTAATTGATTTCTGGCTCTAATCAATGATGGAGGTTCACTTAGGTTTTTATTTTGTTACAGTTATTTTAATCAGACTCAGATTTGTTATTTGCATTTTTATTCAGGTTTAGGATTTAGTTTGTCAATGCTTATGTTATTTCAGTTTTGATGAGTTCTTGGACGATGAATTATTGAGTTTGACACTCTGAAATATCAATTATTGAGATTTTTCTCACTCTATTGATTCTTTTTTCCCCTAGTTATTCCATTTCTCCCCTAGTGAGGTCTTGCTATGTTCTTTGCTTTATTCAGTTAGCACTATAACTTGTTTTTATTTTCTTGGTTGATTTTAGCTGGCAATATGCTTGCATGCTCATCTGCCCATGAATGAAATTACCATTACTATAACCAATTACATATAGTTTTAGAATACTGAGATCATTGCTTTATTAACGCATTTACCATTTTCCTTTTCAGCTCAAACTGGTTTCAAAGGAAGATCCTTGGTCAGATAGGGTTGATTTTCTCATTGAGGTGATGGTCTCTTTTTTTGAGAAACAGCAGTCTCAGAAGGAAGCCATAAATGCTCTTCCTCTCTACCCAAATGAGCAGATTATGTGGGATGAAAGCGTTGTGCCAAGTATTAATTACTCTGGTGAAGGTTGTCTAGCTCTTCCAAAGCTTAACCTACAATTCTTAACCCTCCATGATTATCTTCTAAGGAATTTCAATCTCTTCCGTCTTGAATCTACATATGAAATTCGTGAGGACATCCAGGAAGCCGTTCCACACCTTCTTGCCTACATCAATAATGAGGGAGAAACTGCATTTCGTGGCTGGTCAAGAATGGCTGTGCCAATAAAAGAATTCAAAATCACTGAGGTAAAGCAGCCAAATATCGGGGAAGTCAAGCCTGCTTCTGTAACTGCAAAGGTTACTTACAGCATTTCTAGTTATAAAGCACGAATAAGATCAGAATGGGACGCCCTTAAGGAGCATGATGTTTTATTTTTGCTATCTATTAGTCCCTTATTTAAACCTCTAAGTGCAGAGGAAGATGCTAAAGCTAGTGTGCCACAGAAGCTTGGCCTGCAGTATGTACGAGGATGTGAAATTATTGAGATCCATGACGAGGAGGGGACTCTCATGAATGATTTTAGTGGAAGAACTAAACGTGAGGAGTGGAAGCCACCAAAAGGTGAACTAAGAACCGTGACTGTTGCTTTAGATGCTGCACAATATCACATGGATGTCACCGACATTGCTGAAAAAGGTGCTGAAGATGTTTATGGGACATTTAATGTGTTGATGAGGAGGAAGCCTAAGGAAAATAACTTCAAAGCAATTTTAGAGTCTATCAGAGATCTTATGAATGAATATTGTATTGTTCCTGATTGGTTGCATAAAATATTTTTGGGCTATGGGCATCCTTCTGCTGCACAGTGGACAAATATGCCTGATCTTCTAGAAACGGTGGATTTTAAAGATACTTTTCTTAGCGCAGACCATTTGAAAGAGAGTTTTTCACATTATCAGGTTTTTACTTATTCATTACAGATCAATGTTTTCACTTTTACTATTGCAGTTTAATGTGTTCCGGTGAACGCTGAAACCTTTTTTGCTTTATTTTTAGGTTTGCTTCATTGATTCAGATGGTGGAGAAAATTTGGATCCAAGGCCGCCTTTCTGTATCAAGCTTCCTCGGTCACTTAAAAGCAACACTCATGCTCTGTCAGGAAATGGAAGATCTGATACCGGTTCAGTCAATGATGCCAATATGGTGGATGCATGTGTTGAAAAAGAAAAACTAATTGTTGAAGCTTATATCCCTCCTGACCCAGGTCCTTATCCCCAAGATCAACCAAAACAGAACTCTGTTAGATTTACATCTACCCAGGTATTAGGCCACTCTCATTTAATTTAATGGAAATTTGATTGATTTGTTGTTTTTATCTCTTTTTGTTTTTATTTTGGAATTTTAATAATTGTTTTTAACTTCTGGTCTCATTTTTACATTACTGGGCATATTCTTTGCATATTATTTTTTTTTTAAGATATATAATTAGGGCTGCGAGGTTTATGTGTCCAATAAATTATGTGTTTGATAATTTATGGACTATTAGTAGCATGCAACATTTTTCTGTTTTGAATTTCTCAGTCACTCAGAGAACTCATGAATGACACTTCACTATGCTTTTGCTAGTATATATACATTCTGTTTGCTTTAGATATTTGAGGATTAATGTAAATCTAATAGAATGATTATTTTATACCTTTACTTTGTTTGATAAAAATTTCTTGTAAGACCTGCTTTTTTTATGACTGGAGAAAGTTTCTTCAATGCCTGCAGTTTCTATTACTGGAATCTTATATGTTCAGTACTCTTTTATCTTTAATGATCCTCATATGTTTTATTTAATTGGTGATCTCATTACCACTTAAAGAAGGTGGGCATCCAAGGTTCCCTGTTTGTAGAGAGGTTAGTTTAGTTGAGGAAAAAAATGTCTAAAAAAATTACAATTCATCCCAAATTTACTAGGAATCTTATATGCTAACACCATAAGATATCAAGGAGTGTGGGTATCTATTTCATAGATATCATCACAAATTTATCCCTACACTTCCTGGTTGTTATTGTAAAAGTGCTTTTGGTTAATGTGGTTTTAGCTTCAACTTTGATAGTTGTTTTGAGTAATACATATGCAAGAAACATTCAAATTAAGGAACTTTTTCCAGTGTGTTTGTTATTTTACCTCACTATGGGAGCCTCCTGCTATGTATTGTTAATTTACTTTTAAAACTGGAGGTGGTAATAGCAACTTAATTGGAGAATCAGGTATTGTTGATGAATTATCATGTTTTTTCTAACTTGTTTGTACCTTGATGTAGAAAAGAGTTGTAATATAATAGTTGTTCCTTAAAGAAGCTAAAAAGGATAGCTCTAAATACATTGTTTCTCATTTGGGTGGATGATGACTACTGCTTTATGGATGCAAACTATTCAATATTTTAGCTTTAATATGTAATTAGGGTCTTTGATTGGAACTCTTCAGCTTTTGATAAAAGTTGACAATTCCATGTACCTTGTATTTCTTTCATTCATCTTACTTTTCCTTTCTCACATTCTTTGAAGAAGAGTCTCTCCACTTATCAGTAAAATGGAAAAGTTGGTTCAATATTATTACTGGAGAATTGTTTCAATACTTAAAGTGTGCAGCCTTATGAGAAAATGAAGTAATTGGAAGTTTTCATAAAGATGCTTTATTGTTCTCTATCATTCTTTCTTTCTTTGTTCCTGTCTGCCCCCTTCTTTTCTCTTTTTGGAAATAGAGGATTTCTTAGAAAAAAGTTATAATGCTGCAGTTTTAATTTTCATGAATATGGTTATCTGGAGATATCATGACTAGAAGCAAGATATTTGTTTCTAGATATCTGGTGTTGATTGTGTAACAGATTAATATTAATTTAAAGTTCTATAAATTTCAGAGTGGTTTTTGAGTAACCACTTCTAATTTCCCCTTTTGTGCAGATTGGAGCAATTATCTCAGGTATTCAGCCTGGATTAACTATGGTTGTGGGTCCACCAGGAACGGGGAAAACTGATACAGCAGTGCAAATATTGAATGTTCTCTATCACAATTGTCCATCCCAGAGAACATTAATAATTACTCACTCAAATCAGGCTTTGAATGATCTTTTTGAGAAGATAATGGAGGTATGGCGTTCATAGTTTTAACTGATGCAATTTCTTCCATCCAGTGTTACGTACATGCTTTGTTAATTTTAGTACATACATTGGTGCAAAAATTTTTTAGTCTATTTTACTGTGTTTCAGAGGGATGTGCCAGCACGCTATCTTCTTCGTCTTGGTCAGGGTGAGCAAGAGCTAGCAACTGATCTGGACTTCAGTAGGCAGGGCCGTGTGAATGCAATGCTTGTTCGACGGCTGGAACTGCTAAGTGAGGTAGAGAGGCTTGCAAAATCCCTACGACTTCCTGAAGATGTAGGGTATACTTGTGAAACTGCTGGATATTTTTGGTTGCTTCATGTATATTCACGCTGGGAGCAATTCCTTGCCGCTTGTGCGGGTAACGAAGATAAACCAACATTTATTCAAGATCTCTTCCCTTTCAAGGAGTTCTTCTCCAACAGCCCTCAGGCAGTCTTTACTGGCCAATCATTTGAGAAAGACATGAGGGCGGCCAAGGGGTGCTTTCGTCATCTTAAGACTATGTTCCAAGAGCTTGAAGAGTGCAGGGCATTTGAATTGCTCAAATCAACAGCTGATCGGGCAAATTACCTGATGACCAAGCAGGCAAAGATTGTGGCAATGACATGTACCCATGCAGCCCTAAAGAGAAAGGATTTTCTGCAACTTGGTTTCAAGTATGACAACTTGTTGATGGAAGAAAGTGCCCAGATTCTGGAGATTGAAACTTTCATACCAATGTTGCTCCAACGACAGGAGGATGGTTATGCACGGCTTAAACGCTGCATATTGATTGGTGATCATCACCAGCTGCCTCCTGTTGTGAAAAATATGGCTTTCCAAAAGTACAGCCATATGGATCAGAGTTTGTTTACAAGATTTGTTCGGCTGGGTATTCCTTACATTGAGCTTAATGCTCAGGGTAGAGCCAGGCCAAGTATAGCCCAACTTTATAATTGGAGGTACCGGGATTTGGGGGACCTTCCTTATGTGAAAGAGGAAGCTATCTTCCACAGAGCAAATGCTGGATTTTCCTTTGATTACCAATTAGTGGATGTGCCCGATTACCATGGGAGAGGTGAGACTGCTCCCTCTCCTTGGTTTTATCAAAATGAAGGTGAAGCTGAATATGTTGTCAGTGTCTATATATACATGCGGTTGCTTGGCTACCCTGCGAATAAAATTTCCATCTTGACAACTTACAATGGTCAGAAGCTTCTGATTCGTGATGTTATCAACAGACGATGTCTTCCATATGATTTTATTGGTCCACCCAGTAAGGTAAGTTATTTCAGATTTTACCATTCTTTTGGATATCTATGGCTGCTATCATCCAAGAGGTTGCCTTCATGCCTTTTTCCTCGGCCATTAGAAGTGTTCTGGTTTAAATATTTATTTTTCCACATTGAGGCCATGTTCATATAGTGCTCGAACTTATTAATGCCTTGCTACAGGTTACCACGGTTGATAAGTTTCAAGGCCAGCAAAATGATTTCATTTTGCTTTCCCTTGTTCGTACTCGCTTTGTTGGTCACCTTCGCGATGTTAGAAGATTGGTGGTTGCTATGTCTCGTGCTCGCCTTGGCTTGTATGTCTTTTGTCGTCGTTCTCTGTTCGAGCAATGTTATGAACTCCAGCCTACTTTCCAACGGCTGCTTCAGAGACCTGATCATCTTGCACTAAATTTGAATGAGGGCACATCATTTACTGAACGCCATGTTGAAGACATTGGGCATCCTTATCTTGTTAGCAGTGTTGAGGAGATGGCTAACATAGTTTTTGGCAAAATAAATCAATTACAACAGGTGTGTCTCTTTGTTTGTTGATATATCAATTCTGTTATTTTCTTAGTCAGCTTTTAAGTGTTTTCAGTGATCTTTTTATGACATCTGCAACAATAGCAATAGCTGTTTTGTCATGACCACCACAAGAGGCGGGAGTGCTAGGATCTAGTTATTATTCAAATGTGCAATTCCACCCCCTCTCCTGCCTCCAAGCTCTCCTTATTCATACCCCATCCCTGAAAGCTCAGTTCAGAGTTACAAATCTTACATTACCAGGTTAATTTACCAGATAAGGGGTGAAATTAAAACCATTATACATTAGTGCATAATGGAAATATTTTCCTTAATCCTTTTTCTTTATGTCTTTGTGCTCTTTTTTCTTTTTTTTTTTTGAGAGAGAGAGAGAGAGAGAGAGAGAGAGAAAGGTTGTAGTCTATCTTTATATACCCACTCCCTCACTAAAAATGAGTTTGCTCGTCTTCGACTGTTAGGAATGATGTGACTGATTGGATCTCTTTTCTAAGCATTCCTATCTGGAAAACCATACTTGTTGAGGTCTCATACATTATTCATTTTTTTATTCTCCAGGCACATAACACGTATCAGTACATGGCTTATTCTGAACAATTCATGGGAACATCGGAGGAGCAAAACAGTGAGCACAATTCATTATCCTCAAACCAGGCCATGGACATTGATACATCGGTGGCTGAAAATGGTGGAATTAATAACAAGGTACATGAATACAATGGAGATGAAGCTAAAGATGCAGATGGTCTTGCAAATGGTCAAGATGGGGTGCTACCTCCAGAGGACCAGCCAAATACAGAAAAGGGTACTGAAGTTAGAGCAAATGATGAAAATATGGTGCCATAGATGAGAATATATATATATAGTGCCGCCATCCCCGAGTTACAGAGGCAGCCAATGAGCATAGCAGAGCAGAGTGCTTTTATCTTAATTACAGAGAACTGCTTGCTTTCCTGTAGTTGTGGCTTACTTATCAAAAATGTTTTTGCCATCTTAATTTATATGTCTTGGCCTCAAAATTTGACCAAATAATTTAATGAGAAGGAAACCATGACAAATTTTGAGTGCAAGTGCCACCATAACAAGCATTTATTTCAAAGACTGATTACTTTTATCTCTTCAAGTTTTCAAGTGAAAATAAGTGGATATTAGGAAACATAATCACAAAATTTTTGTTCACTGTTTGTGTTCATCGTGCAATAGAGATAGAAAATATATGTGATTTAAAGACATAATACAAACAGGCAACTTAGCAGTTGCTTTATTTCTTCTACTGCAGTAACATAGGATTACAAAGACTAGAACCTACGTTCTCATATCGTTTATTCCTGCAATAAGATTCGGGATAGATTCGAGCGAACCAACAGCTCCTCGATTTTTATTTTTGTAACATAACAATGTGACGTTTCCTATTACCATCCAAGTCTCTTCTTGAGCTGCATCATATAGTCATAAGTCTTGAGAGGGTCGGGGAGTGCCTTAGATACGCTCTCATTTTCTCTGCACCTTCTGGCCCATGCAATCAGCGTGGGACACCCTGCCTCTATGCTGAAATTTCCACATGTCTCGTAAGTGTAAAACCAGCTGGTGAATGGTACAAGTGCCACATCAACATATCCAATGCTCTCTCCCCCGAAATAGAGCTTGTCTCCAAGCTCTCCTTCTAGGGTCTTCAAGCATTGCATTAACTCTTCCTTTGCTTCCTCTTGGTCTTCTTTTCCCGCCACTATTCTCCTCCCGATGCTATATATCTGCAGCATTTGTACCCACGAATAATTTAAAATGCATCAAGAAAATAACCCTTTGATGTGAATTAAAATATGCTTTAAATCTAATAATTTTGACAAAATGTAAATATCACTCACTCACTTTCTTATCAATGTAGTCTCCCCAAAACAAGGCTTGTGATCTTTGATAAGGATCAGAAGGGAGTAAAGGTGATTTGTGATTCCAAACTTGATCAATGTATTGGACTATGATGAGAGAGTCAGAAATGGGTTTTCCATTATGAATCAAAACAGGGATTTTTTTGTGAATTGGGTTCATTTCTAGAAGTAGAGGACTCTTGTTAAACAAGTCCTCTTGCTTGCACTCATATTTTATCCCCTTCTCTGCCAAGGCTATTTTCACTCTCATTGCAAAAGAGCTTGCCCAAAGATCAAGTAGAACCACTTCATCTTCCATTTCAAATATGCTGTTTTTTGGATTGAAAGAAATATGAAAGCTTCTTCTAGTTCTAAAGTTGCGTTATGATGGTTTAGTGCATTACAGAATGAGGCCAACAACAACTATTTATAGTTGTTGATACCAACAATGATGTAATTGCTTACCTAAATTCTCCAAGTTTAGGTTCTATTCAAAATAATAGAAAATAAAAAAAAAACCAGTCAGGTGTCAAATGGAAAAAGGTCATCAAAATCGTATCAAACCCATTTCAGATTGAGAATTTTCAATTAAAGTGTCATTTTTATGCCATAAAGGAACCTACACGAAGTTGCCAGAACATGAAAAGTGACAAACTCAATTGGGTTTTTTTTTTCCTTGTTTCCAAGCAGAAATTTACTCCTTTTTGCAGACCTTTGAAATTTATTTGGTTTATCCAATGAAAAGTAATGGACAAGAAAACTCAACATAACATAGTATCGTTGACTGATCTGTAGCCATGCAATTAATTATGATAAAAGATAGCTACTTTTACACGGAACATTTATATAAATATTCCAAGTGCCAAAAACAAGTGTAGCTCTTTGACACCAATAAATAAATATTAATTATTTGCTGGTTTTATTCCAATTATCTCATTTACATATTGTAAATATAATGCTATTTGTTGAATTGAATGCTAATTAAAAACAAATAAATCTCACCTAATGAAATTAGTGAACAAGTAGTATTATACAAAGAAAGAACTTTTCAACAGTAAAACACATTCAATTGTTTAATTATAGTGATTCGAGTTTTTTACATATATATATTAAGATTAAAGATGAAATTTATTGTTATAATTTTTTTTAAAGATCATTATAATTATTTAATTTTGATTATTGATAGTTCATCTTCATTTTATTAAAAATTTTCATTATATTTTTCATTTTTATTGAATTTTTTACAAATTTTTTATTAATTATTGGAAGAAAATCTAAATATTTTTTTTGAAATATTTTTTGAATCTAAATGATAAATTTTCATCAATTGGTTATTTTATGTCAAGAAATAAAAATATATATATAAGTACATTGATAAAATTTAACAATATTAAAGTATAATGATGAAATTTAATATTAACTCATAATATAATGACAAATCTCACTTTCATTCGAATTTTTATATATTATAAATAAAAAATTTGTATTATTTATATATAAAATCAATACTATCTATAGTTTCTAAACTTTAATCCAAATTTTATTTCGGTTTCCAACATTTAAAAATTTAATTAAATTCTTAATTATTAAAAATTATTTAATTTTGATCTTTTTGCCTATGGGATCATCAAAATTGATGATAAATACCGATTGACTCCATGCGAATAATATCAATTATCATCTCAAGTGATAAATAGGTAGATCAAAATAAAATTTCATTAAAAATTTAAGGATCAAAGATGTTATTATTTTATTTTTTTATATTTTAAATATATTTTATAAGATATTAAATTTACAATATATTTATATTTTTACTCTAATATAATTTATTGATTAAATATTTTTTTGTTATAATAAAAAATATATTATAAAAAATTAAAATTAAGTCAAAAATTCAAAATCCTTTTAAAAATTTTTATATCATTTAAAAAAAATTAAGTAAAAATTTTCATATCGATTTAAAAAGTTAAATAAAAAACTTCTTATCATTTTTAAAAAAGAAATAAAAATTTTCATATCATTAAAAAAATTAATTTATTAATTTATTCATAATTTTTTCTTTTTAAAAATTTTATTTTGAATATATTCTTTATTAAAATGTATATTTAAAAAATAAAAAATTGACAATCAAAACAATCTTTACCATCATCGATCATATAAGAAGAATAAATTGAAATATCAAAAACCTTTTTGACACTTTTTAACTATCTCTTTAACTTTTCCAAATTAACTTTCCCAAATATATATATATATGAGGATTTATCAAGATCAAAATTTCAAGAATCACAAACAAAGCGCAGCCGCCGCAATTCACATGGTAGGCAATCAACGAAAGCCACTTGATAATTTTGACAGAAAAAGAACAAGAATAATTTAGAATAAATTTTTGCAAGCACATTGAATTCTCAGAAAACAACAATCATAGAAGCCCAATTTAGTTACAATTTGACAGCCACTCAATACCCGGCAAATAAATCCCTATAACTAGCCAATTCTATCAACAAGTACAGATGAATTTCCAAGAGCAAGCAAACACAGAAGCACAACCCAACCCAACAAGAACCATCAACCTAGCAATAGAAGCAAAACCAGCAAACCTGAATCTAATTCATCAGGCACACACAATCAACACTTGCGCAGAATTCAGCAAGCAGTGAAAATTTTTAGCAAAATTTGAGCATAGTTTTAGGATTTTGGGAAGCAATCGAATCAGCGACAGAGTAAAAGCACAATTTCCAAAGCACAACACAGAAGCAATTGCTTCTGAAGATACAATTTTAGCACACCACAATAACAATCAAGAAGTCAAGCAACAGAACCAAACCCAGCAAAGATTCATACATACTTAAAGCACAAACACACAACAATCACAACAAGCAATTCAGTAAGAAAACAAAGAATAATAACAAAAAGGGCAGTTAGGGTTTCGGGTTTCATTGATGTTCTTGTTGTTTTGAAGTTAGAAAAATAAAGTGAGTGGAAGATTTGGTCGTGGAGACAGATATAATCAAAGATACCCGGCAAGAATCAAAGGGTAATTTTGAAAATTTACTAAAAACTGGTTAACATTTTATGCTATCAATCCCTTCTGGTAACGGAACTAAACGCCAAAGTAATAAATGGGAAAAGAAAAAATTTTCATAAGAGGTGTAAGTGGGAAAGTAACAAAGCACAGGAAGTGTATGTTAAGTTTATTTTATTAAAACTAATATTTTTATTTTTTTTTTATAAATGTAAAATTTTTAATAAAAAAATATATTCCAAATAGATTTTTGAAAAAAATTTAAATAGATTAATAGATCTATTTTTTTAAAATGATATGAAAATTTTTATTTAATATTTTAAAACGGTAAAGAGTTTTTTATTTAATTTTTTATACTAAATTAAAAATTTTTACTTAACTTTTTAAAATGATATGAAATTTTTATAAAATATTTTGAATTTTTTAAAATTTTTGTTCGATTAAAAATATTATTTAACTGATAAATCATATCATACTAAAACAATAAAAAAATATTTTAAACTATAATATTTTTGAAATATAAAAAATCAATTTTTTCTTTAATTATTTTTATTTTTCTTCTTTATAAAATAAATTTTATAAAATATATTTCAAAAAAGAAAAGAGGGAAAGATATTTAACTCTTTTATAAGAAAATAGGCTTTTTGGATATAAGATAATATTTTTATTATGATTTATTAGTAAAATAATATTTATAATAAAAAATATATTTTTATTTTTAAAATGATATGAAATTTTTTAAAAAATATTTTTAAATTTTTTACTTAATTTTACTTTTTGAAATCTGTTTTCTATTAAAACAAAAAAAATATTTAACTAATAAATTATATTAAAATAAAAATATAAAATTTTTAATTTTAATTAATTTTTTATAAAATATATCTTAAATATAAAATTTCAAGACTATAATATCCTTGATTCTTAAACTTGAGTAATATTCTATTTTGGTCCTCCCATCTATCATATGAGATATTAATTAAAGTCATCCATATGATACAAACTGATATTTTTGTCAATTTAGATCTTTATTATAAACAGAATTATCAAAGTTAGATACTTTGAACATGTGAGGATTTAATTAAAACTTTTTAAAAATTAAAAATTAAAATAAAATTTGATTCAAAATTTAAAAACCATGAGTGTTTTTAACTCTAATATATATGTTATTATTTTTATATCTCTAGATTCAAATCATATCATTTAGCATTTTAATTACTTTCATATCATGTCATTTGGCATATTCTTTTTGAACTTGGTCGTGATCACTACAATGTAAAACAATCAAGATAAATTTTGAAGTTAAATGTTTTGATTATGATATGCTTGTTCTTAATCATTAAAGAAACAATGAACTTGTAATTTTTTTCCTTTTAAATCAACCCCATTTTTTCATTGCAATATCAAATTAATTATACAAGTTTGCTTAATAAGTCTTAATATTTTAAGTTATTAAGATAATGAGATTTATATTTTATATATTGAGTAATAGTAGGTTAAGAAATAATAAAAATGAACTTTTATTAATTAACCATAATATATATAGTTAAATTATATAAAATTTAATATAATAAATTAAAGAAAAAGGAAAGGGAACCTTAGAGGAGTTAATCAGAGAGCTAAGTGCCAACAAAGAACTAGTGGCATTGGAGCATGCTTCAATTGCAGTATCAATTTCCAATGCAAAGTCAAGACATACTAATTTTTCTTCTTTTATCAACTTAACTAATTTCAATGAGTAAATTTTTCTTATTTTTAAGTCTCAAAACTATTGTTTTTTTTTTTTTTCTTTTAAACATAGAATTGAATTTTTTTATTATATTTTTTATCATTGGAAATCATGATATATTAATTTTATAAAAAAAAATTTTAATATAAATAAAAAAGTAAAAAAAAATTAATTAATGACAGACTGAGGTAACATTTTTTAACCACTAGAGTATATTTTATTAGTGGTAAATTATATGAGGGGTTAAAACTTAAAACAAGTTTCATTTTTCGAAATTAAAGAAACTTTCATTGCTTATAGAGCGGTACAATCACCGGCAATTGTATCTTGTAGGAAAGTCTAGAAACTGTTCTACCCACTGCACATCCCCATTAATCCCCAATGCCTGTCTGCCTAACAGACGAGCAGTTAGCATTAGCTCACTTTCAATGTTATAGTCTACATCAATTTATTATTTACTTTGATTTATTGAGTTTTACATTTTTATTTTATAAAATACGTTTCATAAATTAAAAATAATAAAAATATTTATATTTTAGTATCAATTTTAATACATAATAAATGTGAGATTTATAACTCTTATTTAGAGCCATGCATGTGCAATCCTACATTCTTAAAATCGCATGCAACGTGATTTCTTCAATTAAGACATATAGGTTTAGACAGAAAAGGTTCAGACGACTTAAGTACCGTTTGAGATTATTTTTGAAATTATTATAACGATCTAATTATTATAGTAATAAAACCACTAAGGTAATTTGATTATCAATTATTTTATATTATTATATTTGATATAATAATTAAAATTACTAATGATTTTAAATTAAATTCCTAAGGGTGAGAAAAAATCAAAAAATCTGAAAATCGATTTAAATTCGTAATAAATAATTTGTTTTAAATTAATTTTTTTTATTCGGATCGAATCAAATTTGAATATTAAATATATATATATATATATAAGGTTAAGAGCGAATTTTAAATTGAGAAGTGAAAAATAAAAAAAAAGAACTGAATCAAATTATTTATTTTTCTTAGTTTTTATAAATATTTTAAATTTTTATAAAACAAAAATAATAATTTTATATTAAAATTTACTTAAATATATTAAAAATATACATTAAAATAATATATAAAAATTAAAAAAAAAATCAGTAAACTGAATCGATTCAATTCGTTCAAATCGAATGAAAGTTTGGTTTAGATTCAAATCAAAATTTAAATTTTTATAATATTATGTAATATTTAAAAAATCAAATAAAATCTTATCCGAACCAAATTATTATCACCTCTAAAAATTACTGTATTTTATATTTTATGAAAAATAAATCATAAAATATAAATATGCAAAACAATCTTATAAAAAGAAAGTAAAAATTTTAATATTTATTAAATCAACAATTTATAAAATAGTTAAATGTTATTTTATAAAAAAGCCTATAAAATATAAATAAAATTTGATGAAAAATAATTTCTAAAAAAATTATTAAATAATTTTATTATTTTTATAATCAATAAATATTTATTCAGTTGTAATAAAAAAATTTTATTTTAAAATAAGTTCTTAAAAATAAAATTTGAAAAATTTTTACTAATTAACTTTCTTAGATATTGTTAAGTACATCTTTCTTTAATCAAATTGTTAAAAAAAATAATATTAAAATTACTTTTTTATGATTATAAAACTTTCATATCTTTTAGGTTGAAAATCATACAGTTTTTCAAAATAATAATTTTATCACTTAATAATTTAAAATAATTATCACATAATATTTTTAAATTATTACCAAATAAAATGATATAATTACTAAATATAAATCATTATAATTTTTAAATAAATAAATCGATACCAAATACTCTCTTAGAGGAATGAGGCAAATCATATCAGTCTCCTCTCGATTAAAAACACTGCTTACCAGATCCATATTCCATGTCATAGTGGAGGAATCGATCAATTGTGCCACCCTTGCGTCTTCTTGCAATTGACTCTAGCGTGAACGAGCCACTTATTTTTTTCAAATTTGAACAGGATAAATAACATTTGCATTAAAAAATAAAGCTGATTTCCCAATGTTGGTTTATTGTGGCTAACCCTTCTCATATATCTGTAATATGCGTCTCACTTTTTCACCTTCATAGCAATTCGCTTTAATAAAAAGCAGGTTATCATCGGGCAAAAAATAAGTGAGTGATTTTAGAATCTTTCACCTTACCTAAATTCCATGAACTAAATCTTCTCCTTCATATTTCGTAAGCAATGATGAAAATGTTTCTGTATACAACAAAAATAAATAAGGTGAGAGAAGATCACCCTTTCGAAAGCTTTTCTTGGAACAAATTGGTCAATTATGCATCCATTAAAAATAATAAAGTTGAAAACTGAAGTGATACGACTCATAATTATAGAAATCCATCTATTTGTAACATCTAGTGTCCTCATCATTGCTTCTAAGAAAGCTCACTCAACCTTGCTTATATCAAGTTTTATCACACAAAAATCCTCATATTACACAATACCATACGACCTAATAAGATTTATAAAATTTATATATAAGTTATCATTTTTAAATTATTTAAACTTTTATATATATCTTTTATTAAAATTAAATTTATCAATTAATTTTATTAAATTATAAAATCATCAATTAATAATAATTCACATTATGAAAATTTTAACATTTTATCATTATTATAAAGATTATTATATAAAAAACTGGCCATAGTTTTTGGATTATTGGTCTTTGTGACATGCACAAAATTGAAATTATTCTCACATAATGAGATAAAACATCTCCCATTCAAAAACGACAAGCAAATTGAACGTGTGCATAATTACAAAATTTTGTGCAATAAATTTCGGAATTTAGGTTAGGATAAATTTAATCTGTACACATGTGGAGTAGAAATTCCATGTGTCTTTTCAACCGGGAAAAGCTTTAATGCCTATCTAACCTCTTTCAGGGGTTTATGGCTTTGCCTTCCGCTTTGCCAAACACGATCATCGGCGGAAAAGAGGGAGCCACACGCCAAATGTCGATTTGCAAATTTATTTTTTAATGAAAATTATGACTCACGTTTGCATGAAATGAAACATAATGAATAGAAAATTTATAATTGCTTATCCAAAAACAGGAAATAATTTTTTCATACGCAAAATTATAAAACATAGAACTTAAATAAGATTATACAAAAAATAAACTTAGGTTGATGGAATCATAATTAACAAAATTTTAGATAGAAATAAATGTGAATCACAAATTTTTTTTATAAAATGATGATCACAATTTCAAATAGAAAGTACAATAATGGAATAATAAAAAAATTATTTCCTCGTAAATTTAAAATAAAATTACATTTAAAATTTAAATGAGAAACTTTTAAATTTTATACATGAAAAATGAAATCATTCTAAAAAAATTGAATTCTAACTCTTCATACTTTTCATTGTGCTTTTGTTTGATTCAAAGAAATCAAAGAAGATAGAAGAATGTATATAACTAATTTCTCAACAAAATTATACTAAATCATAATTTATTCTAGATATAATAATTCATATTATTTTATATCATGTAAAATATTATATTCGTATCGTATTTTATATAAAAATCACGTATTACAATTTGTATTACCATGAAAATATAAAGTATAATTTTTTAATTTTATTAAACATATTTACGTTTTTTTTAATTTTAAATCATTTTATCTTTATATCTTTTATTTATATTATTTTTATATCGTATCACTGTATTATATTTTATATTATCAGGTCTAGTTTGTTTTAACTAAATTAGATTATTGTTTTTATATTCTTTGAAATTTTCATTTTCTAATGATCAAAAACTATAGATGAAAAAAGGATGAATTTCGTTTATAAATTTTTTTACTAAAATTTTATAATCATCCAATTGTAATAAAAATTTATATAAAAATCTATCACTTGGAAATACAAATTTTATATAAAATTTCGATAATTTTAATATAATTTTAAATTATGTTTGGTTAATTATAATATAATAATTATCGGTAATATGTTCAAAAAATATATGTAATTAAAATTTTATAAAAAATTTAAAATACAAAAATATTATTGAATATCATGTTACCAAATTTTGCTTTCAAAATACAGTAAAAAAATAACGTTTTCATGGAAAGTTTTAGAAGGTAAAAAAAAATTAATGGTAGTACTTAATTTTATTTTATTTTATTTTTCATTTTTAGTATAGTAATGTAGTTTCTTTTTTAATATGGTAAGACAGAATAAATAAATTAGCTTAACAAATCAGACCAAAAAACTGTAAAACACTTTTCTCTTTCTGTCGCTTCCTTCTAAATTTTCCATTTCAAAACTTGAAACTCTTCTGAAAAACTCTCTCATAATTTCAGCTCCATCAGCTGAACCAGACCCAAGAATTTTTCTTTTTCTTTTTTTTTTTTTTTTCATTTTGAAAAACCAAATGCCTGATTCCGAAACCACAGCTGCGTGACTTTAACACTCTCGTTCCGTTTCCCTTTTCCATGGACTACAATGTAACCGCTTTCACCAACCGCCAAGAATCCGTTACCGGTGATGGCGATAATGATGATTCCAAAACCTTTGATCACGGCGGCGTTTGTGGTAGGATAGGCGGTAGCATTGCGGAGAGGAGGGCGGCAACGTGCGGGTTCAAGGCGGAGAGGATAAGTACGGCGAGGTTCCGGACCTCCACTAGCCCTTTGGGCTCCCCATCGGCTCGGTCGCCTTACCTTACTATTCCTCCTGGGATTAGCCCCGCTGCTTTACTGGATTCTCCTATTATGTTGCCCAACGCTCAAGTACCCCCCCCCCCTCTTTTTTTTACTAATTATGTATTATTTTTTCTCAATTAATAAATTTTCCATGATAAAAGTTTTAAATGCTCTGGAAACAATTTTAAAGAAAAAACCGAAATATTTTATTATTTCTGTCACAAGTTCATCTTGAATGTTTCTTTTTAGTGGCAAAGGTCATCTTTTAGGCTCTGTTTGGTTGTTGGTTTTTTGCTTGTTTTTTAATTTCGGAAAAAAATGGCAATAAGTAGATTAGATTATGAATTAAAAACCTAATGTTTTCCAATAATTAAAAAATAAAATTGTGCTAATTAATTTGGGAATAGAATACATGATTTTACTGTAATATAGAGTGTACATGTGTAATAACGTTAAGGTCTTTTAGTTATTCGTTTATTTGTAGGCTCTTTTTTATTTTTTTTGTTCCATGCATTTTTAGTAGATTCAAGGATGTTGGCCTCAAAATTTGTACAAGACGTTTGATATTGTGTACTTATAATATGAAAGTCATGGTGTATGGGTGTATATAAATCAGGCATTTGTTATTGCATTCATAGTTTTTTAGGTTTGCATCAGCATATAATTGTTTAGATTATTTGCTGTCATTGGCAGCCTCAAAATCTAGCCTCCACAGGAAACATTTTAGTTGTTTGGTGATAAGTCAGCTGTAGAAGGAAACTAGAAACTGGTATCAGTAAAGGGTCATGGATTATACAAAACAAACTCTTAGAAACCCCTCAATGGAATGCTAATAAAGGGTTCTTAATGTCTGGTGTTGTTGATTGCAGTTTTACTTGATTCATAATGTTAGATCTGAACTCTGAAAAACTTATACAAGTGCATTTAAAACGAGTTTTTTTTTTTCTTTTTGGCAAGAATGAAGCTCAGTTAAATTAAGTGAAGCATGTTAGAAAGCTTTAATGAGTATTGAGTTCTTTATGAACTTGATTGTATTATACTTGCCTTGTGTTTTATCAATTATATTTAAAAGAAAAAGGAAAGTCCTCTAGTTACAATTTTTTTTAATTTGTTATCTGTTTAAAGAAAATCATCATATACATATAAAAACAAGTTTTATCATTTTTAACTCACAGAGGAATTAATATCTCAAAGTTCTTGATTCATGCATAGCCCTGGATTTTTTCACTAGCATGTTCTCTTGATGATTTCTATTTCTGGCATAGGCATCTCCAACCACTGGAACATATCCTGTACCACTGCTTAATCAGGATGGTCAAGTGCCAAATCATAGCAATGGGGACAGAGGCGGCAATATATTTTCTTCCTTTACCTCCAAGCCACAGAATATGGATTCTCAGCTAAGCTTTTCTAGTTTAGAAGATCAGGTGATTGCCTTCTATTCTAGTAGTACTTTGTCATAAAGTTTAAATCCCTGATGATGGCTGCTTGATTTATAAACTTGACATATTCCTAATCCTTCTCAAGCCACTCAATTTTAAAAAAGTTACATTTATACATGTAAGAAACAAAGAATTAGTTTATGAATATAACCCCACTGAAATTTTTAAATTTATAAATTTAGTCAAGCGATTCCCAACTCAACTCAATTTATAAATTTAAAGATGATTACATCATAGATGTAATTGCATGAGATAATATCTCCTTGTAATATTTTTTTTTATTAAATGTACACTTTTTTTAATATTTAAAACTATTGAATTTTGGGCAAAAGTTTTTTTAATAGTACAATGTAAAAAGCATTTATGCTACAGGTTTATATAATACAAGTTAGTATATGAATATGATCCCACTGAATTTTTTTTTTCTAGCTATGCCCCTGTACAAACTGCATAGGCAATGACTTATCTAAACTTTGACTTTTATAGTTATGACTTCTATGTCTTGTTTTTCAGCCTTCATTTGAGCTTTATTTTACCTGTTTCTCTATATAGTATTTGTCATTGCACATTACTTCTCTTCTTCATTTCCTTTTGTAGTTCCTTTTGACATATTTTTTATTTTTTGATGCAAGACCAGTTAAGCAGACCGGTTTTACGGATCAAGATTATGTTCATTCTACTATAAAACCGGTGACATTTGCTTTTGGGTAGATTTCTACAGCTCTTGCTGAGATTAATCCCTTGTCTTTTATATTTGATCAAATTTCCCTATTATTGTCGGTCTTTGTTCATTTGGGTTTTGGGAGTTAGTCAGTCCTGAACTTTTTCAGATGCAATATTCTAAGGATGTTAAAATAGGAAATGAAGCTTGCTAATTGTGCTGTTAAAACTATCCTTCTTTGAGAAGTTTGGTTGAAGTGGAATCCAAGTTATTCCTAAATTCTATTGACCTAACTTTACTATAAGTAAATAGTTCAGAACCATCTTTGTTCATTGTGGTTGTAAATTTATTGGCCTTTCTAATCACTTCAGACAGAATTCAGTTTGCTTCTGGATTTGCATTATCATCAGATGTTTATGGTGTGATTAATCCGACTTTCCTATTTTAGCATTAGTGGAAAACTGCCTTTTTTAGATAATATTGTGAACCTGCAGCTCATATGTAGATTAATTGATGTCTGACATTACATATGTTCTTTGTTATGGTTGATATGCTTGGTCATAATATTAGGGGCAATTCTAAAAGGGGCTGATGTCATCCTGGCAGGCAGTAGATTTTAGAGGTTTCTGGATTAGATCATCAAACATGCATTCCCCATCACCCGCTTCCTGCATATTTAGGTGTTTCATATAAACCACTATCTTCAGTTAGTGATCACTTTTATTTGTGTAGGTTTCTTCCTCTTTCAATCTCGTTCAGAAAGCTGAGGTTGATTATCAACCTCTTGTCCATTTGGATACCCCTTTGGATTTTGAATTTCCTGCAGAATTTTCCAAAGAAGCTACTTCAAGGAGTTTTGCAGTAGATTCAGCTGCTGAAGTCAAAGTTCTAAATAACATTGTGAATGATAATGCTAACTTGGGATTCCATCCTTCTGAGTTGGCTAGCTATCAAATGTCTATGCCGAAAGAGCCTCTTCATGGACAAGATGTCAGCACAAATCTTTCAGAAGGTGATCAGATGGGGACAAACACTGCAGCGGGAACAGCAAGAACATCAGAAGATGGATATAATTGGAGGAAATATGGACAGAAACAGGTAAAAGGTAGTGAATATCCAAGAAGCTACTATAAATGTACCCATCCAAATTGTCAGGTGAAGAAGAAGGTGGAGCGATCACTTGATGGCGAAATTACTGAAATCATCTACAAGGGTGCCCATAATCACCCAAAGCCTCAGCCTTGTTGTCAGCCATCTATTGGGTCCACTTTATCATCTGATGAAATGTCAGAGAGTGCAGAAGGCAGTGGAACTTGTATCAAAGTTGAAGGTGGTTTAATTTGGAGAAATGCCCATGCAGGTTCAAAGGATATTAAGCTTGGATCTGATTGGAGAACTGATGGTCTGGAAAGAACATCCTCAACATCCATCGTAACTGATCTTTCTGATCCACTATCAACTGCTCAAGGGAAATCTGTTGGTGCATTTGAATCAGCTGAAACCCCAGAGTTTTCATCAGCACTTGCTAGTCATGATGATGATAATGATGGTAGGGCTACCCAGGATATTATATCACTCTGTGATGATGCAGCTAATGATGATGAGTCTGAGTCAAAAAGAAGGCAAGTTCTGTATTAGTATACATGTGACTCCGTGAATGTGTATCCAAGGGCCAATGCTATTAGCTTTTACTAACATATATTTTGCTTTGTTGTCCACTTTCATTGCAGGAAGACTGAGAGCTGCTTGACTGAGATGAATGTGGCTTCTGGGGCGCTCCGTGAACCAAGAGTCGTTGTGCAAATAGAAAGTGATGTGGACATACTTGATGATGGCTATCGTTGGAGGAAGTATGGACAGAAGGTTGTCAAAGGAAACCCTAATCCTAGGTACCAAAACTTGTCATCTGTCTCTCTTTCTTGCTCCATTACATTTGTTTTGCATGTGAAACTAAATGAATCATCCAAAGATGCAGTGGTAAATTTTATGTTTATGCTTCAAGCATGCACTGCTCTGCAAGTTTTATGAGGGTTAAATTCATGTTATTTATTCTCAAAGGTTACCAAAAAAAAATCTAGCTTCATTCTTTGTTGTATAAAACCTATTGAAAACATTTTGTTGCTTGTCTTATAGGAGCTATTACAAATGCACAAGTCCTGGATGTCCTGTGAGAAAGCATGTGGAAAGAGCTTCCCATAACCTAAAATATGTACTCACGACATACGATGGAAAACATAATCATGCAGTTCCAGCAGCCAGAAGCAGCAGTCATGTAAACTCAAATGGTTGTACTTTACCCCCAACCGTGCCTAACACTCAAGCTGCCCTAGTATTATCCAGAAATACCCATGCTCTAAGGCCTGAAACACCAATCCAAGATATTTCACCTCCTTTTGATCAAAAGCCTGAATTTAAAAATGAATATGTGAGACCTAGTTTTCTTGGAGATTTCAGCAATGAGATGAACCTTGGGGCATCTTCTCTGGCTTCGGTGTACCAAATGAAGTTTCCTTCCATACAAAATGCTGTTCCTTACAGCTCTTTTGGACTGAACCGAAACTGCATTGGAGCTCATTCATCTGGCCCAATTGCCTCGACAGTTCCAACTTTTCCAATTTCATTGCCATTGAATCTCCCAACATCTGCAAATCTATCATTGGCTGGTTTTGATATTAATTATGGTGCGAAATCAATTGGTCCAGCTCACTCTTTCCTTTTAGGGCAACAGTTAAAAGAGAATGGTACAAGGTTCCATGGGATTAAAAAGGAGCTAAAAGGTGACAAACTTTATGATCCTTGCCTTCCCATTGTTGACCATGCAAGTGCATCATCATCATCATCATCAGTCTATACGCAGGCCAATGGAAATTTTCCATCCTAGATCGCATTTATTTGCTTCTTGGTAGAGTCTGTAAGATGTTGGGTTCTACTCAAGTTTCTCCAGAATTAAAGGTTCTTTCTCAAGCTATGTTGCTGAATTATCATATATAGTTTTTCTCCTTCCTATTTATACCGTTTCTTATACAAATTTCTAACAAATATATGTATGTGATCCTTTATGATTTTCCATTTTATGCATAGAAACTAAATATTACAGGTTAAAAATTGTTTGTATCTTGATGCTTTGTGCTTAATTGTGAAAATTGTTTCTTAATGTTTTATTATTTAATTGTTATACTATAGGATTATTTAATTAATGTCCCCACCCCACCCTACTATAGGATTGGGCTGTTCTCAATTTCAATCTCCAAGCACTAACACTCATTTGACTTATTTGAAGCAAGTGCTGTACAAACTATCATTAATTTGAATGCTCTCATATGGTAGACTTTGAATTGAAAATGAATCTCCATGCTTTGTGACGTATTTTCCTGGGCAATGTGGTAGGCCATTGAAAAGCTTTATAGCAGTAGAAATTTTTTTTTTCTGTTAAGTTTATTGAAGAAATAGGTATGGAGCTTGGCATGGTTTGAATCTATCAGCTGTGTCTGGATTCTTATGTCTGTTTGCGAGTGAAGATTGCTGATAAGTAGGTGCATGGATGTTTAAATGTAATTAATATACCATGTTATATCCTTGAATGTCATCATTTGCACTTGCAATTTTAATTACTTTACTGAAGCTTAGTTAAGACTAGTGTACCATGGCCATTATTCTTTTTTCGCAAAATTTAATGGGACGTGCAGTTTCCATTTCCTATTCGGTATGGGATTAAATACACCCTATCTATTCTCTTAGAGAGCGTGACATTGGGATCAAGCTGTGTGTGAACTTGCCTAAAGGTTGCTTGCGGGAATTGCGTATTTACTGTCCAGTTTTTAACAGGCATGGGATTGGCTATTTGTTTTGAGCTGAAGAAATCGAAGGCAAGGAAGAACCTGATAAAATGATAACCAAATTAAAAAATATAAAATTAATTGAAATTTATAAACTATGAGATTGGAACTTAAATTTTAAATATTCTATATTTTTTATCATTAAGAAAAGATTTATAATATCTTTAAAAATAACTTAAATAAAAAATAATCCAAATATAAGCCGAACTCAAAGTTAACCAAACTATTGTACGTGGACTCATCCTATCTTACCACCCCTAAAATCAACGGCAGGATCTCAACCCTACCTCATCATCAGTGATAAAGCAATCAAGCTTACCTAAACCTCGAGTCCGTCGAATCAAACCCATTAACCCACCACCCTGCTAGCCCACACATGCTCACGCCCACTTCATATATAAGCCTATAAATTCCCCGCACCTCTCCTCTTATAAGCCCATTTCCCCCAGTAATTCTAACGTAGCCCACCGCCCCTTTCTTCCTTCCCCGATAGTCACCAAAGAAAAAACAAAACAAAAGCTTCTTAATCGCCTAGGGTTTTTGGGTTTTTTTTTTTTTTCATCTTTATCATCACTCAATCATGACAGGCAAAGCCAAGCCCAAGAAGCATACGGCCAAGGAAATAGCCTCCAAGGTCGACGCCGCCACAACCAATCGAGGCGGAGGCAAGGCCGGATTAGCTGACCGTTCAGGGACCGAAAAGGGTGGACATGCCAAGTTCGAGTGTCCTCACTGCAAAACAACGGCTCCAGATTTGAAGTCGATGCAGATACATCATGATGCGAGGCATCCCAAGATTCCCTTTGAAGAGTCAAAGCTTGTGAATCTTCATGCTACTTCTGTGGCTGATTCTTCCAAGTCCCGTCCCGGTGTTAGGGGAAGCTTTAAAAAGTGAAAAAAAATGGTTGTTTTGGTTAAGATTTGGCGTTTTGGAGATGTTCTGAAATCTGGGTTTGTTCCTTTTTTTTATTTTCTGTTTTGGGTTTTAATTGTTTGTGATGATAGTAGAGATGGGAGAAGAAAGGGGGTTTAGGTGAAAAAGGTTGGATTTTTTTTTTAAGGCCTCCCTTGACTATGATGATGATGATCATGTATATTAATCCATCTTGATTATGATGGTTATGATGATGGTGATGCTATAGCTTCTCTATTTTAATGCTAATGAAGTGTTTGTTGAATATATGGTTCTTGTCTTGCATTAATATGTTCGTTATTTTAATGCTAATGAAGTGTTTGTTGAATGTATGGTTCTTGTCTTGCATTAATATGTGCGTGTCTTAGATTTTTGTGTGTGCTTTTTTATAGTTTAAGAACTTCTTTCTTAGAAACATTTAGGAGTGACTTCTTTTGGAGGCGTGTGGTAGCTAAGCTTAGAATAATAAATTCTTATGATTGTTAACCGATACTGGGTTGATTATGTGTTGCCTAATAGCTGGCAGATGAAAGCTTCATTTCGGTAAGCTTACTGTGTTCTATATTGCTTATGTATGATTTTGTTATAATTTTGTGTAATGTTGGAATGCAATCGATCTTTGATGTTGTGATCTGATGCTGGTCGGGATGGGTTATTTCTTAGTAATTGTTCATGCTTTCCCCTTTACTTTGCTTATGACTGAAACTTTGCTGAAGATCTTGCTTCCCATTTTGTGCTCTGTTTTCTGTTATCTTACTACAAACATTTATTCTCGTGAAAGAAGGGATCTTGGTCCCATTAAATCCACAATCATATCAATTTTTCTTTCCGTAGATTTCTTCTTCTCACCAATTGGGTATGGAGAAGTAGTTAAGCAAATTGCCTAATTAATTTTGTTTTATCATGTTTTCTTATTCTTGCTTATTTACAATTCTTTTAGCAAATATGACAGTTTGGATGTTATTTTGATATGATTTAACCAGAGATTTGGGGACGGGACTTTTAATGGTGTTCAAACCTTGGCAGAGTATTTTAAGGGTATTTTCCATAAACAGATCTCATTACATAGAGTTAACTGATTATATACATTCCCTTCCTTTAGAGGACGTAAAATTAGAAAGTTGTCCCCAGCAAATGGTCGGCAAATTGATGAGAGCTGGGTGGCAGTGCCCAAATGCTTCTAGGATTCAAGATTGTGAATGCCATCAAATCAGGAGTCAGTAATATAGAATAAAGTGGCTTAATGAAGAAACATTTGTCTTGATTTGTACCTGAAAACCTTATATAGAGTTTCCTATATTAAGTCTCTGAAGTTTTTCTGAAAATTTATGTTATACATTCATTAATGATGTCAACTCAGCACTAATTGCAATTTTATCTTTTTTTCTGGTATAAAAAAAGAGTTCACAATTTAAAAATAAAAAAATTATAAATGTTGATATTTGAATTTTAAATCTGATGTTATCTCTTATTTTTAAAAATGGTTAAATGATTGCACGAATGATCTGTATTAACCTTCATATTCACATTTAATCTTTTGGTAAACTTAATTTCATAGAAAAATCTTCAAGTCTGATCCAAACTAAATGAATAAGCAATGCATAATATCTTTGGTCCCTTGAATGTGAAGATAATTAATTTTTCCTTTTATGAACCATTTTAGACGTTACATTCAATTCAGTGGTTCACCTCCTTGCTCCTGGGAACAAAGAAGGATTGCTCATGGATAAGCTAGATTTCCATGATCAAATATGTACTGGTTATAGGAACCATTTTTGCTCTGTTTATTCCATCATTTATGTCTGGATAATCAGAGAAATATACTTATATTTTCTCAATATCGTATTCAAAATCTCAAAATTAAAATTATCACATCTTAATCTTTAGATTTTAGCAAAGAGAGCCAGCCTTGGAGGCTTGAACCATTAAATTTTCACTTTATAATTATAATTTTTTCAACAAAATACCAAGACTTCGAAGAAAAACTCAATGATTATAATATAATTAACTAATCACAATTAAGAACTGTGTATATAAGACTCATGAATCCGTTTGTATTTAAAGATTTGCATGAGTGAATTTAAACGTATTTTTTCATAGTAAAGATATCTTTTTTGTGTAAAATTTTATGAAAATAAATATAAACATTATTTTATATCCAAGCACGTATATACATATACGCACATATATGCAAACAAAAAATTATTAAAAATACAAAAAAAAACAACATTGATCTCTTTTTTTTTATATAAATTTTTTTTTTTAAAAAAAAATCATAATTATCAAAACTACACAAAAAAATTAAAGATGTTAAAATAACTTAAATCTTAAAATTCATCCAAACTCGATTTGATTATAAAAAAGATAAATATTCGAATCTCGAAAAACCTAAATTTAAAACAATCCGAACTCAAACTAAAACTTAAAAAATATAATAAAATATTTACAAATTTCATAAAATTTAAAAATATATTTGATTGATTTGAATATTTAAATCCAAAAATTTTAAATAAAAAAAATTTGAATTCAAAATACTCAGAATTGTTTGTCATCTCTACACAAAACTCCTACTTGAAAATATAGCAAATTACAGTTAATAAGATCATTTCTAAACTGGCATTCTGATCTGTTCTATATATACATCATAGCTAGATAGTAGAAAGTTCATTACATTATGTTCACTAATGAAATCTCGTGTAAGTATACTCTTAAATTTTAAGAATCGTATGTGAATATTAAAATATAAAATCTAATAACATTACTACTTGTTTGACACATAATTGTAAGTTGAAGTAATTGCAATCTTTTAAATAGATTAGATCTTCTTTTTTATTTTTCCCTTACTAACGGTTTTTAATATATAAATATTGTTAATTAAAAGTGACGAGAGGGATTTTAATTAATTTTTATTAAAATCCTAAAAATTTTTCATGAAAAATTTATTAGGTCAAAAGTCTGCGCAACAATAAAATTATATTGGCTCGTGCAAAACACATACATAAATGATCACAATTAATTATTTAAACTCTCTTATTTTTATTATATTAAGATTAAATTTATCAAATTATTTTTATTAAATTATAAAATAATCAATTAATAATAGTCCACTTTCTAAAAAATTCTTACTTCTATCTCAAGCATGCTGGATTTTCTCCTCTGGTTTTTTTCTCTGTTCATTAGCGGTTTTCTTGGCAGTCTTCCAGAGAAAACATTTTTGAGCATGGATGGGTGTCCTGCTTTTTCACAAAATCTTATGTTTTATCTCAGTCCACGGCAGCCCGAAGGAAAAAACAGTTCCCATATTAATTATTGATTGCAAAAAATTAAATTTTCTTTTTTTTTTCCTAAATTCAATTGCTTTAAGAACTATTAATTGTTCTGAATTTATCAAAAGTAAACATCACTTACATTTTGTTATGTCGCAATAAGAATCAAGGAAAGCGTATTGAAAATAAATGAATAATGCTTTAGTTAATTTGTAGTGTTGAACAGTTGAACTGGCTTGTCTTTTACTGGCCTTTAATGCTTAAAATTTTGTTTCGTAGACAATTTGCATCCAGATGTTCATTTTTTTTTACACTCTTTTTTTTTAATTAATATTTTTTACTTACTTTTTTCTCCTTCTAGAAATTCAGAGGGTGTATTAGTACGCTTAAGAAGAGATAGATCGAACATAAATTACGGCCCAATGTCACCTAAGTCTGAATGCCCCATTGCAACCAGCCCACATCGCTGGAAATGGACTCCTTCTCACTTTCACAGTTTCTCACCTGAAAATTTAATGGAACTGATAATTTTAAGTATTATATTATGATACGGCATACAAAAATATGAAAAAGATACAAAAGAGATGGTTAAAATTTTTATTAAAAATTATATATATATTTGATAAAAAATATATTTTATATTTAATGTATTGATATAAATTTGATATAATAAATTTTGTGTTTTGCACAAAACAGACATAATATAATATAAATTATTAAATTCCAATCATAACAGAGACATAATTTTTTATACATGTGATTTTGATTAAATAATAATTTTTTTTATGAATTTCATAAAGGTCATCTCATTTATCTTAAAATTCAAACTCATAAATCTTAAAAATAAAATCTTCAACTCTAATAAAAGGAATATCTGTTTAAAGATAAGAGAGGCAAATTTGTTCGAAGTAGAGATCAATTTGTCTTGCCAAAACGACTTTTAGAACTTAATAATTTGTTTAATTCTAAGTATTTAAGTGGTGCTCCTTATGATGAGGTCTACTCTTTTACACAGCATCTCCAACTCCAACATAATTTCGCCATACCTTTCTTGTTGCTATACTTTTGTCACTATAAAAATTATCGATGTCATTGCTGCTAATCCCAAGCGTTTAAGCCTTTATTGATTCCCCACCTTCCCCCCCTTGACAACAAAAACCAGATTTTGTCCATGGTATATGTTAGTTGCCCATAAATCAATAAAAAAAGAATGCTATCACGGTTACATAAAGACACCATGAAAGAAATAGTCATACATAGAAAGAGAGAGAGATCAAAATTCTTCATTGATCTTTCACTGTAAAAGTTTCAATAAATGCAACTTGTTCTTATGGTAGAATAGAACTACAGAACCTAGAAAACTCAATTAGGGTTTTCGGAACTGCCTCTCCCATGTATAAATTCGAGAGGGGAAAGTATGCGAAGAAAACAAAGGTACTTTATACAATGGGTTTTAAAAGCTGTATAAGAGCACTTGTAAAACTGATTTTAAAGTAATGACTGGACAAAACCTATCTTTAACAATGAAAAGAAGTGTGAGTTCCCGTGTAACACTCAAACCGATGTGTGAATCTTTTAAATCGAAGTTATTTGGGGCTTCTGTACAGTCTCTTCGCTGTAAAGCAACCGCCTCTTTTTTGAACCATATCCTTGGTACTGATAAATGATGCTGTGAAGACACTGCCTTATGCATATGATATCAAATGTTTCTATAAATCTCAAATCAGCTTTCCTGGATTTGATGCCAGCAAAACGTTGATACTCCTCAAAGACAGATGACAAGCACCAGTTCTGCAGTTTTCTCAAGCAACCAACCAGGCTACCTGTGCGATGCTGCATGAAGTAAAAGACAAAAGTTAGAACTCCTACAATTTAAAAAAATACCAAAATCACAATGTTAAATAAGTGAAATCAATCACAAACCAACCAAGCACTGCACCAAAAAGCCATAATAGTTGTTTCCATATAGCTTCCATTGAATTCAACTTACAAGCCATATAATTCATGCAAATAGATCAATTATAGGAATATCTTATCAGCTAACCTAAGACTTTAAATGAAACTCATGCCTGAACACACGAATGTACCATGCATACCTAGTAACAACAAGCAACAACTAATTTATAAATTCAGTTCCACCAGCTAAGCTTAACTTTTATATAGGGAAGGAAGCACAAGTAATAGCTGAATTAGGACTATTACCTTTCCACGTTTGCAATGGATCAAAACAGGATGATTTCTCACATCTGTAAACGAACAATATAAATATCTTAGAAATCCATAAAGGTAAAACATGCAGGTAAAAGAAAAAAAAATGAAACTAAATGAGTCAATTCAATGGTTTATGAATTCAATACCAATTAAGATTTTGAGAGCCCCCCTGATGGCATCCTTGAGACTTGCAACAGAAGGCTCCTATACAAAGGATGGTAAACAATAATATAAGCAGAAAAGGAATACAATTCAGCTATCGGGAATCAAATGTACCATTAACGACATAAACATCATATCACACTTAACAATAAAATGTCTTCAATTTAAGATAAGATAGTATTGACTTTCTTGATTCATTTAAGATTTATCCATATTGACCATTCAACATTCTTCTTGACCAGAAGGTTGCTCACATTTGGTATCTAATAAGTCCAAGAACTAAACAAATTATATTCTTGAGCAAATTCCATTACGTTAGATGGTCTGACTCTGACATTAAATCCTTCACTAATCAGTGACACAAAAATCTCATGCAATTTTAATAATTCTACAAAATTCTTTGAAACAAAGCTGAATTAGATAGGCAAAAGATTCAACTTCATATATTCAAAGACGCAAATTACTTAAATTCAAAAAGTATTCACTAAAGTTACTCAGTATATGAAAACTCTATAAATTGCCACAAAAGCAGAGAAGAAAACGTAGGGAAATATACCGTTTTCCCTTCAATCCCGAATTGGAAAAGCCGGATATTATGAGATCGAAGAAACTCCAAATTTTCCTCAGGGTAGGGCTCTTGACACAAATATCTGTTCAAATTTTAAAAAAGAAAGTTATTTTCCAACTAAAAGAAGGTATATTCCGTAGTCACTCGTAAAAATATATATATTTTTTATTTTTCAGAACAACAAAATACAGCATGCATGTCAAAAATTAATTATTTAATCCTTTCAACTTGTCTTTCTTTCTTCTTTTTCTCTCTTAATTTTCTCAGCAACCAAGCAGGCAAAAAGAAAAAGGGAAAAACAGAAGAAAAAAGAAAGAATTTAGGATTCTCATTAATTGTTCAGAAAATCGATGGCATTAAGAACGAAAATTAAACCTCCAAAAAAGTTAAAATAATAGGAAAAAAACACAATATTAATCCGACGTAAAAAATCGCTTCATTAATGCAACCAAAAACGAAACATATATATATTTTTTTTACAAAAACAAAAAAGTTAAAAAAGAAAAACAAAGATATAAATTTTAAAAAAAAAAACTTACATGACGGATCGAAGATCTAGGGTTTCTAAGAAGGCGAAATTGCGGCGTTGAGGGAAACTAGATCTGCAAATGCCTTCTTCCACCATCGAAAAATTAGGCGGCGGCTCCATTACGACGCCGTTTCCTTCTTCTCCTTCTACAATCACCCCCATCACTCTCTCTCTCTCTCTCTCTCTTTCTTTTGTGTACTAAAAAAGAATAAAAGAATATATATATATATATATATTATATATAAAGAAAAACCAAAAAAAATGCAGCGATCAGAAACTACAATGAAACAGAGTAACAACTTCTGGTTGGTTTTGGATTAGACAATTTTGTTTTTGTTTTTGGGCCAATTTTTATTTGTTTTTTAAAAATAATAATTTGAGCAAAGGGTAAAACCCAGAAAAAAAAAAAAACAATTATTTTCTTTTTTTAGTAAAACGGAGGGGTAAAAGTGGAAAAATAGAGGCGGCTTAAAGGTCAAGAACCTGATTAGATTTGGAAGTGGTCCTTGGATTCCCATTTGACTTGGATTTGGATTTTGTGGATGTTCTTTGAATCCTTCATTCTCACACGGTATAATTCTTTTTCTCATTTTCAATTTTTTTTTTGGGTTAGAAAAACAAAATATATATTTAAAATGGAATTTTTTTAATAATTGGAAATTATTTTATTAGACTACAATTTATATAATTGATAAAAGATTTAAATTTTACAAATAAAATTAAAAAATCACATATTCAAATATATTCAATTTAAAATTTAATAAATTAATATAATAATTAATTTTTAGGTGACAACGTTTGATTGTCTATTGTAAAATTAAAAAATTAAATGATCTATTAATTTGTATATGTCATTTTCATACCAAATTAAACTAATTTATATATGTCATTTTCACATAAAAATCAAAGTAATATATATTTTTTTGTTTTGTTGTAATTTTATTGGATGTCATGTGACTAAGTTTAAAAACGTCATTCATTTTATTTAAGAGAAAATTTTGAAAGTTTAAACCATTGTTTATAAGAGATAAATGCCAACTTTGTTCTCTTTAAAATAGGGTTTTGAGTTGTTAAACTAAAAACAAAAAGAATTCCACTTACATTTAAAAACCTTTGACTAAATTGAGGGTTTTCAGTTTAAGTATTTAAAACTTTAATTTACAAAAGAAGTCTTCATCTAACTAGGATCTTGATAAGGCCAAATTCAAGAGTGAAATAAGTAATAACAATATATATAACCAAAAATAAATGAAGTGAGTGCGTTGTGCTTTAATAGTTTCAATGACTAAACACTTGAAATATTTATTATTGTCAGATTTTATTATGTGAGTCCAACTTAATAACAATTATTAATATGTAAAAGGATTAAAAAAAATTTAAAATTATAGATATATGATAACCTAAATATAACTCATAGATTGAGTGTTTTTTTTTTTTTTTTTTTGGGCTAGAAATGTAGATAGAGTTCTTTAATATAATAATAATGTAAATGTACTCCAGATAGCTGATGTTCATGTGAAAGTTTAATATCAAATGTTCAATCTAAAACCAATTAACATACTTATCTACTCAATAATCTATTAATATTTACAGTAAATTTAAAATCAAATGTTCAATCTAAAATCAATTAACATTTTTAGTTAATCAGTAATCTCTTAATATTTACGACATAAACCTTAACATCTTTTTTTAATATGCATAATATTAATTTTTTTCAATCTTTAATTTAATTATTTATACTTAAAAGTAGACCTGATAATTTAAAATACGATAATGTAACACAATATGAATATAATATGAATATAAGACATAAATGTGATACGATTTAAAATTTTAACAATAATTATATTTAAATTTAATAAAATCAAAAATATATATCGTATGTTTTTTTATCAACATAAATTATAATATGTAATTTTTATAAAAAATATAATACAAATATAAAAATTTTAATATTTTACTACACGAATTACTAAATTTACTTAACAGCCACATACAATTACTCCAAAAAAAAAAAAAAAAACCAAAAAGTATTAATTGTTCATCTTTGCTAAATGTACGTAGGGGTGATGAATTATTAGAGTTAAAAAATAAAAAAAAAGTTAGGTCATCTTGATAAGCATTATAAGTCAAAGGCCATCTTTCTTTCTTAAAGAGAATAAAGTCTCTGACTTTTGTTGTGTGCTACTGGAGATTGTGTTTAATTTGTCTTTTTTTTTTTTTTTTTTTGGGTATTGATGAGTTTCGAATATATTCTTAAAATTTTATTCACTTTCGTACTTATTAAAAGCATATTTTTCTCTTTTTTTTCATCTGAAAAAAAAAAAAAAAAAAACCTTATATTGGCTCTCCCTCGCTCTCTTGTTGCTACCATTGTTTCCCTTATTGACTAGCATATGGCAGCTGCTTCCCCCATGGCCAGCCACCTAAAGTCAAGCTTCACCAATTTCAAGGGCATTGGTCTCACCCAAGGGGCTCTCTGCTTCTCCACTTAGAATCTTGCCTTCTAAGAGGCGATCTTCCTTCACCATCATCAGAGCCGTCCAACCTGGAAAGGTGTGTTTAACAATTTACAAATTTGAATTAAATAACATTTTTAACTAACTTTAAACATAGTCTATAACCATCCGTTAATTGAACTCTTGTTTTTATAACTTATGAATCGCTTTCAACTCCCAAGAAGTGAATGTCATATGCATGTCGAAGTGTATCACTTTTGAAACACAGTTAAGCAATAATAAAGCAACATTGAGCCTTAATTAAAAGGGGGAAGTGGAAAATGGATATTGTTTATGCAATCTTTGCAGTGATCATTTGATACATTTGTCAGCTTTTTTACGAAGAAACCTTGTTGGAATAACGTGGGTTGGTCTAAATTTTGCAGCCGACATTCCAAGTGATTCAACCCATCAATGGAGACCCATTTATTGGAAGCCTAGAAACCCCAATCACTTCAAGCCCATTTATTGCATGGTACCTGTCCAACCTTCCAGCTTATAGGACATCAATGAGCCCACTTCTGAGGGGAATTGTGGTAGGCCTGGCTCATGGGTTCCTCCTCGTAGGACCATTTGTAAAGGCATGGCCTTTGAGGAACACCCCTGTGGCTGCAGGAGCTGGAAGTCTGTCAGCTGCTGGCCTTGTGGTTATATTGAGCATTTGCATGCGGATGGCGTTGCATCATTTAAGGAAGGAGAGCCATCCACTCCTTCTTTAACCTTGACTGGGCGGAAGGAGGAGCCAGATCAGCTACAAACGGCTGATGGATGGGCTAGTTTCACCAGAGGAATTTTCTTTGGAGGAATTTCTGGTGTCATTTGGGCCTACTTCCTCCTTTATGTCCTAAACCTTCCTTACTACTTCAAGTAGGTTTTTTTTTTCGTTCTCTCCCTAAATTATGTTTTTATACGCAGAGACAACTGAAAATTGATTTGTACATTTGATATTGTATGTTTCCACAAATTTTTTTTTTTTTGTTTTATAAGATGCCACTTGTACTTAACTAATTAGCACCTTTTATCTATATCTATAATTTTATAATTCATATATTTATACATAAAAGCACAGAGAAATTTTGAATGAACGGAAACCAATATTTTTATTTATAAAATTTATAAAATTTAATTTTAAATTATTTTTTATTAATTATAATTTTAAATTTTTAACAAAATTAATTTTGTAAACAAAAGAAATGTTCTAAATGTTCAATACAGTAAATAGCCACACACACACGCACACACAAAAAAACTTTTGTTCCCTCAATTTTAAAGAGTGTTGCTAAATGCACTATAAAATTTTCTCCTCACATCTTAAATTTTTTAAAAATCTTTTTTAAGTAAAATTATTTAATTATTTTTTAATTAATACTCTTTACACTCAAAACATAAATTTACCAACAAAAAAAAAAAAACCCTCGAAAATCACGTCTCCCTTTCTCTCACACTTCTTGTTATCTCTCTCGAAAATTTTAAAAGATTTTAAGACCAATCAAATCAAATTAAAAAAAAATTTCACTCATTTAAAACAAAAAAGAATAAAATAAAAAATAAATCGTTTGTTTTTTTTTTATTTTTTTGTTTAATTTCTTATTTAGTTACTTAAGATTTCATATGCGATTCAAAACTTTTAAAAATAAATTTACAAAAAATCTTAAAAATTTTTAAAAATAGATTTATGAAAATCTTTAAAAACTTTCAAAAATAAATTTTTGAAAATTTTTAAAGATTTCTAAATATCTATTTTTCGAAAACCTTTAAATTTTTTTAAATATTCATTTCTAAAAAGGTTTATGATTTTCTGTAAATTTATTTCTCAAAATTTGTATAAAAAATAATTAAATAATTTCACTTAAACTTTTTTTAAAAAAAATTAAAGTGTAAAAAAAAAGTGTGCAGCACTCTTTTAAATAACATTAACGAAGATATTTTAATTCGATTCAATTATAGTCGTAAAAGAGCTAGTCATTCTCTAAATTATTTTTTTTAATTTTTTAATTAATTTCTTAATGTATAGAAACAAATAAAAATAAATAATTTCTTTTAAAACAAATTGGATAGGTATAGTAACTATTCTCAAAGATTGAATGTCGAATCCATAAAATTTCATAATTTTCAAATATTAATGCTGATTTTTTTTCCTAATACCATATAATTACAAAACAGTGAAATTTCTCTTATCACTTATAATCTTTATACACCAATCATGGAACTTTGTAACAACTATAAAACAAACAAGGGAAGAAAAAAATTTCATTTCAATTTTAACCATTTCTTTGACACTTAAATATATCTAATTATCATTAGCAATACCCACTATTATCCATTCTGATAAAGACAATCTTGTTTCACCAGTAAAACAATCATGATCTCTTAAGCTTTTTTTTTTTTGTCTAAGTAGAAGCATGAACAAGGGGCGAGCCAGCTGCTGCATGTGTTTCCATGGGGAGTTCACACTGACCCGAAGGAACAGAGGGGAAAGTGAACAGCTGTTGAGGAGAGAGAAGATTGTCCCAGCTGCCCATGCTGGTGCTGGTAGATGCAGAATCATCCAATCCTATGTGTGCCACATGTTTTACATCTGTTGGGAATCCTATTTCCATATCTTCCTCCGAGTCTTCCATCTCTTCCTTGTAGGCTAAAAGCCCAAAGAGCAATAAAATGAATGCAATCAAGATTCAAGAGAAGGAATTTACTGTTATACAAGAGGTTAAACCACATGAATCCGAGCTGAGCTTAGTTCATGTAATCATCTTTAAGAGGTCACACAAGGCGGGTTGGGTTTCAAATCAGGTAAGGCTCTAACTCTTTCTCCTATCCCAGACTACGGTTAAACCACCTTGAAAATAGGGTAACAGCCGATCCTGGAGCCTGACAATCGAGCATGAACGAGGCTAAACCTCTTGCAATTTAACTAGTACTTCATCAGACTATAAAATACTTGTTGACTCTTTCATTGCAAAATCCATTAAATGCTGTAAATAAGCAATTAGCATGCATGCATCGTCTTTAGGATCAGAAGAAAGGCAATGACAAGTAATTCAGACATTATTAGCTATGGACTTACCAAACAATTGTGACAAAGTCTTGAAACTCTTGAACAGCCTATGAAATCCAGTTGATATGTCAGGCTTTGGAAGAGGTAGGAATTTCAATGAATACTTCATGCTTTCACTCGATAAACTTTCTTCGTCTTCCTCTCGTTTTCCTACAAAGAAGGAAGTACATCAATCAAAACCAAATTAATCTCCACTAAGAGAAACCAAACGAAAATGAAAAAAAAAAAAAAAAAGCATTAAAGAAAGAGACTTGTTGCAGTTGAATTGGTATCTGCAGGCTTTGATCTTCTAGGTGGCTGCACAGCTACAGCCACACTTGATTCAGAGACACAACCAACTGAGAAGGGAAGAACAACAAATCTTTCCATTCTGTCTCTCATTTCTTCATTAAAAAACCAACAGAAGAAATAGAATAAGCAAAAATTAAAAAGGTGAGTGATCAGTGAGCGAAAAAGTGAGACACCCAAAAAAAAAAAAACCGGTTGTTGAAGGAAATGCAACCATTTGAAGCGTAATTGCTTTGTTATATTGGGTGGCTATGTCTTTGTTATCAAGTTACAATAATTCCTATGTACAAAAAAAGGGTCAAGAATACATTTGAGTTTAGTTTGGTAGAGAAAAAGAGAGGTTTGGAAATACCAACTGATCTGATATGTATGTTTGGACGTGTATTAATTGATACTAACCGGATTAAGTTGTGAAGTTTAAGCCTAAAAACAGGCCTAACCCAAGCTATGTTTTTTTTATCTTTACATGTCACAAACCCCAAAATTAACTCATGTCTAACTTTCTGTCACTTTTCCTCGAAAACTTTTCACCGCGTTAAGTCTCCACAGTGGGCTCCGACTACCTTAACTTGCGTCTCTTATACAATAAGCCACCATCTTTTTTTCTTATCTCCATTGTTAATTTTTCAGCCTCAATCTTTTTATTAGCATAGTTTTTTTTTTCCCCATTTTTTGTTTACTTAATTTGGACTCTCCCTTTGAAGTAGTAAATCACAAGCGATCTTTTGTGTTGAAAACACCAAGCTCTTGGTGATGGATACCAAATGTGTGTTTCCTTGATTTTAAAGAAGAATAAAATGATAGGATTGAAATTTAAAAAAAAAAAAAAATTATTGAGAATTTTATTGGAATTTTACAACTAAATACTCGGAAAACTCTACAGTCCAATGAACAAGTGCATATCAAAATTTGAGGTGTCTATAACAAGATAAAAATAAAATAAGATTCAGGTTTATGCCCTTCTTTATTACAATGATGTTTTTATATATTATAAACATTAGATTTGAACAAATAACTTTTGTGGGATTGGGGGTTGGTGTGGACCTGATTCCTTCCAGCACATAATTGATAAACATCAGAATAAGGAAGAGAAAAAGCAAAACTTGCTCCAAACAAAATGCTCTCCGGAAACACAAAAATTAGGTTTGCTCAAAAGCAAGTGTAAGGCAAAACTTGAAGTAAATGCAAAGTGCTTCTATAAGTTACCAAAGTGCAGTCAGGAGAAAATATAAGATGATGACAAACAAGAATGGCCTGAAGATGAACTTCCAGAATACGTTAAGCAGTTATTTATCAGATACGTTTCACCATACAGATGGAATAGTATGGAATGCAGTAGAATTTAAAAGTTCAATTGTATGAGTGCATTCGCACTTGTGTAAATGACATCCCAATCCTATACGTTTACTGCTGCTCGATTAAGAACTTCAGGATTCTAATTCTCAGAAAAAGAAACCATGGAAAAAAGAATGGATGTTGTAAAGTTTGTAGATTCATTGGCTATTAGATTGAAGCAATCACAAAATATTTTTAGTTTCAAGAAAACAATAAATGTCACGATATCAGATAAGCTGCAGGGCTGCAGCCATAACATATGTTGCAGATGGGTACTATTTCAAAGCTAATTCAGATCCCACACAACTCATAAAGAAGTGCCATTAAAGCAAATTTCCATCTACAAAAAAAAAAAAAAAAGAAGTTTAGATAAACATTACAGGAATAAAGAGGTAAGATTCATTACTGATGTTGCGGATGCAACTTAGTTGGCTGTAATTAAACTCCAATAAACCAACTGCTCAAAGCATAAATTTGGTAAAGATAAAGAAGAGTTCTTGATAACTAGAAAGTACCTTTATTTTCACTTCAGCATATTCTTTGGAATTGAATATTGATGACATGTTATCCCCTAAGCTACTTAATGGGATTGACAAAATCTTCAACTTCCGTTCAGGATGCTTGTGTAAGCACATAGGAGCAGTAAAGGCAACTAGATTCTGTACACCAGTGTTTGCATGAGGACATCCGGCTTTGGACAAAACGGATGGTGGATTATAGTTAGCTATGATAACATAAGAGATCACAGACACAAACACCTGGATGCCTGTTGATATGCGTGTGATTCGGTGCCTTAAACATGGGTTCATGGCTTGTGAAGGTCCTATTCCTCACTTAAAACCAAGAGGCCCACTGTAAGTAGGTTGAACACAAAACAGAAGCAGGAGTGGCTTACCCCGTGCAGTTGAAGTCCATCCTGTAGTGGGATGCGGATGAAGGTCCTTCTGAACCACAGGCATCAATAAGACAAGCTCTGAAAGGTGACAAGACAGCTGTGATTGAGGTGGAAAGTCGGCTGAATGCCAAAGCTCAAACTCACCATGGGCCATCCCTTGAGAAAAGATATCCCTTCCATGTTATACTCGATGCTGGCTCGACACTGGTAACACTCCCGTTAAGGCAACGGGATTCTGTACACCAATGAAATAATTAAAACTAACACTATGAGACACATGACAAGCACCAGTTCAATCACCATTAATCTCTGCAAGAGCAGCAGCCATGCTTAAAATGATGAAATCTACGAATATCTCTCCCAATTATTTCCCTATCTAGAAGCTGAGAAGTATATTTCAAAAAATTATGACAGTTATTGCAAACTCAAAGGTTCTTCATTATCCGAATTGGTGTTTGAGATGTCGTGCTAATGATACTGTAAGCAGTAGCAAATTTTTCACTGTGGAAACCAAGCAGCATTTTCCCTTGCTCTTCTTCCACATCTTGCATCACCAGTTTGGCATCAAATGAGTACCCAATTTCCCTCAATCTTCCAATTAGCTTGTCCAAATATGCATATATCTCATCCTTTTGTGGATGGGATCTATCCCCCATGACAAAAGTGTGAACCTGATCCTTGATCTGGATCCAAGATTGACCAGGATGCTTTTTAACCCCTCTGCTTTGCATCAAGCTCCTCAGTTCTGTGGCCTCCTCCCATCTTTGTTTTGTGGCACAAATATTTGATAGCAAGACATAAGGTCCAGCATCAAGTGGTTCCAGACGAAGTAGCTTTTCAGAAACCCATTCTGCCATCTCAACATTTCTATGAAGTAGACAAGATGACAGGAATGACCTCCACACTGCACTCATGTGATAGATGCCATTTTCATCAATAAACTTCTTTGTCTCGCTCAACTGACCAGCTCGCCCATATAAATCAACCATGCAAGTGAAATGCTCAACTCCAGGCTTGATACCATAAACTTCTTTCATCAGTCTGAAATATCTGCAACCTTCTTCAACCAGCCCCGCATGGCTGCATGCAGTTAAAACCGCAATGAAAGTTACCTCATTTGGCATAATTCCCTCACTTGTCAAGAATTCAAATAGCTGGACAGCCTCCCTCCCTTGACCATGTAAAGCACAACTAGATATCATCGATGTCCACAACACAACATTCTTATCATTAGTTTGCTTGAAAATCATCTGAGCATCACCCAAGTTTCCACATTTAGCATACATGTCAATCAATGAGGATCCCAAATAAGCATCTACTTTGTGCCCAATTTTCTGAATGAGAGCATGAACCTGCTGACCAAGTTGCAAAACTCCACAATTAGCACAAGCAGAAAGAATGCCTGTGACAGTAAACCTATCAACCTCAATTTCTTTATGAATCATAGAGGTAAATGTTTTAAAAGCATCTTCAAACTCACAATTTAGAATCAATCCAGAAATAATCGAACTCCTGGAAATAATTTCTTCAATGGAATTTTCTTCCCTCCTAAAATCCATATCCATTTTCTCAAAAACTTTTGATGCCAGTTCCATTTTCCCACATTTGCAATACATATCAATTAGTGAATTCCTTATGAACCCGTCAACATGAATTCCCAATCTCAACACCCTCCCATGAATCTGTTTCCCTAATTCTAAATCTATTAATGATGAAACCAAAACCAAAGCTATGGAAAAAGTAACTTCATTCAGCAAAGTTCCACCTTTTACCATCTCAAAAAGTAGTTTCAATGCAATTCTTTCAAACCCATTTCGCATTACGCCATTTATAATTGTATTCCAACCAGCAACATCCTTAAAACTCAACCTTCTAAACAAATCAACAGCCTTATCCACATCTCCAGTGTTCAAATGTGCACCAATCATTATATTCCATGTTACACTAGTTCTCTCTCCCATTAACTCAAACAACCATTTGGCAGATCCAAAATCCTCACATTTGACATAAAAATCAAGAAGGGCATTCTCCAAAACGACATCAAAAGCAACCCCATTCCTTAAAATCCACCCATGAACTCCTTTCCCTATCCTAAGCTCACTCAAACTAGAACAACACTTCAAAACACTTGACAGAGTGAATTGGTTTGGTTTTACACCCTCATTTTGCATGTCATTAAAAAGTTCCAACACAATCATATTAGAACCAACACGTGCAAAAGTAGAAACTATTATTGTCCACGTTCGCACGTCTCTATGGGACATTTCATCAAACAATTTAAGTGCATGGCTTAAATTTTTAGACCTCCCGTAGACATTTAAAAGGTGGTTAGCTACGTTTAAGTTTTGAACGGAGCCATCTTTTATGGCCTTAGCATGACGGGAATTATCAGTGGGTAAAGGTAAAGATTGGTTGGAGTAGAATTTACATTGATTGAAACTGTAGGGAACTATTTTCTTAAAGACAAAGAGAAAAATGGTGGCGTTTTTAAGATGTTTCTTAGGGGTTAAATAAGTGGGAAACATTTTATCAGTGGTGCTAGGAATAGAGGCTGCATTCTTAGAAGCGTAATGGTATGTTTGGTTAAAGAGAAAGGATGAAGGAAGAAATACAAGGGGGCAATGGAATTCATGAAGTGAACATGGCTATGCAAATTTTATTTTGGTTTCATTTCTTTCATTCTCAATCATAGCGTTGGACAGATTATTTGGGTGAAGATTGGATTTGCCACACTGCGCTTAACTCCAATGGTCTACTCGCATGGCAGAATTGTTGGAAGTCATAGAGAGAGGGATATTTGTAAAAGAGGGAATGGATGCGAACTTGTCAAAAAAAAAAAAAAAAACAAATGATAAAACCAAAAAAACAATTCTGTTCGGATTTATTTTTTTATTTAATTCAGTTTAATTAGTTTAAATTTTAGATAAATAATGAAAAACAAAACTAAAAGTACACAAATCAAATTAAATTATATATTTTTATTAATCTTTATATTTTTAAAATTTTATAAAATAAAATAATTATTGTACATCTAATTTTTTAAATATATTAAAAATTATATCAAATAATAAAAAATCAAATAATAAGTTTTAATATCTGATAAACTGAGCCAACCTCAATAAATTTAATTCGAATTGGTTTCAAAAATAATTTGATTCAAGTTTAGATCGATCTTTAAAAATACTTAATACTTTAATTCATCCCAAATAACCTAACCGAACCATTATCAAGGGAAACCATTAAACCAACAAAGTAATATGTGCCATTGAGCAACCAAAAAATTTTGCTGTCAAAATCATTTTCCAATATCTGCGAGAATGAAGTCTAAAGTAAACCACTTAATCTTACATGTAAGTTATGTATACAAAAGAAAATGGGACAATTTTCTGGTTTTCAACCAGTTAGTACAAAACCCTTTCAGTGTTATAAAACCAAACTCAAGGAAAATTTGAAGTGAAGAGCAGTTGTGCTCCAAAAGTAGCATGTTAGCCTACAATCATAGGGGAGGATAGAAATATGAAGACAGGGAAAAGCCAAGGAAGAGTAAGCCTCCAATTGTAGCAACAGTGCGTTGCGAGATCTTGGCTGCTGGCATGCTTCCTCCCACCACAGCCAAAGATGTGCAGATTGTGTGTCCTAATGTGGTTCCGACAGCTACTCCGACCTCATTTTTATCAACTTTATTTCAAGTAATTACAATTTTTAACTTAATATTTTAGTGAATGAACATTTTTGTTATATAATTTTATTTAATTTATTTTACGTATAAAAAATAAAATTTTAAAATAAAATTTAATTTAATATATTTTATTACTTGATTAATAAAAAAATAAATAATTGAATTAATTTTGATTGATTAATTTTTAAAATTAAAATATTTGATTCAATTAATAAAAATAAAATAATTTAATTTTAAACAATTCGTTTCAAAATTAATTAAACAATTAAATGAACAGTATCTATATTAAACAGAATTGCTCTAACGAACTGCCACCAAATTCCTTCGTTTCGATAGTAACAGTCACAATGCCACCAAATTCCTTGGACTTTAGCGGTCCAAGAAGACAAGCTTCTTCTATGCCTGACAGACGTGGACACCACCAAGAGCTGAAAGCAATTTCCGAAGTCCATTAGGAAGTAGAAGAGGCATTGCCATTTTCTCACTGACAAGACGAATGTGTTCATTACATAGAAATGCAAGCACCAAAATTATTACCACAAAAAAAAAAAAGTTAAGTTATGATGACAGCATACCATACCAAAGACTTTCCACATGTGGATCTCTCGGCCCTTCCTTTTTTTGCAATCTTTTTTGAAAGGCCGACTTCAAAAGAAAAGGTTGACCAAACCAAAGGCAAATAAAAACAGAAGCTTTTTCAAGTATCAGAGCTGACGTTAAAAGATACCAAGGGGAGATCCTCTTGGCGCCACTGCCACTGCCACTGCCACCATTATTTTTTTTATACTTCCCCTCTCCTTCTACTATTAACACACTCAACTACTACTAACATATTTTAACTTTTTTGACCTTTTTCTAGAATTGATTATTGGAACAAGAAATATTGGGTATCACAGAAGCCATCGTGGTTAGAATTTTTTTTTCTTTATAAGACTGTCCAACTGGCGTTATGATGCGGGAGTAAAAATCTTAATACTTTAAAAATATATAATATATATAAAATGTATTAAGAATATAAGTAGGTTAATGGAAACAACCCTTTACATAATTATTTGATAATAATTTTTAGAAACAAATTAAAAAGTAAAAAAAAAATCTTAAATAGTTAAAAGTTATATAGTGGCACTGTATGTAATAAAGAGGAAATAAAATAATTATTCTTATATACATAATTTGATTAATTGAATAGAAGACTTTTTTTTTAACAAAAGAATCAATAAAAAAATATATTTAACGTTAAATTTTCAATACCATTTTTATATAATAAAATTTTAGTACTAGTAAATATTCAATATTTAATTTTTCATTATTAAATTCTTTCTATTTTATCAAATAGTACCTTAAAATTCTCAACATTGATTCAACTGAAGATAGAAAAAGATCTTTGAGTTCAAACTATTTACATCCTCAGCCATTAGGGTAGTTGAGATATTAGCCAAACAATATCAATAGGCACAACGCAACGTGTTTCATGTCTACGAGTGTTTTATTTAATGTTAATGAGTAAGTGTTATAAACTAGTCATCAGTGAATATTTAATGGGCATTTATAATTTTTGTATTAATAATTTAAAAAATAAAAATCAAATTTATTTTTTTGTTTTTTAAATTTTATCTTACATATTTATATAATTTTTTCTAAATATTTATTAATATCTATTTTTAAATAAAATAATTAATTTTTAAAAAAATTTTAATCTATTTTTAAATCTCTTTATCTTATTGTATATTTAATTGAATAAAATATTATGTGCCTAAGTTTTTTTGAATTCGTAAATTTCAAGTACTAACTTTAATAACATTTTAATTAATTTTAAAAAATAAATTAATTAGTTTTAATTAATATAAAATAATAATTTATATTATTTATTAAAAAATTTATAAATCTATATAAAATATGAATACGAGTAAAAAATTAATGTTATATTATCCATTTCATCTTTTTAACAATAAAAAATTTAAAATTATTTCATCTTTGTACCCATTCTAGTAATAATATCCAATTTTATTTTCATTCTAATAAAAAACTAAAAAATTTATTAAATACAAATAAAATTAAAATCCTTAACATAATTAAGGTGGGTAACTCAATCTATCTCGACGGATTTTGATCCGATTCAAATTCATAAAATTAAAATTTTTTTTTAAATCGAGTTTCGGATCGGATCAAGTAGTGCTAATAATAGGTCAAGTGAATTCGAATTTTAGATAAACTCAATTCGATATTATATAAAAATAATTTTTTAAATATTTTTTATTTATATATATTTATATAATTATATATTTAAATATTTATATTTAAAAAATAATATTTTATTAATTTCGAGTCAAATCAAATCAAGTATAATTTATATATTATCGAGTTAGGTTGAATTTGAATATAAAAAAAATAAAAAAAATTAAATCAAATTAAAATTAAATTTAATAAATATAAAATTAAATCGAGTTCAAAATTAACAAAAATTTATTTTGATCTAATACGTTATCAATCATAATTATAACGCATCTCCTTCATTGGAAAAATACTTTTTTAGCACTACTTTATTTTCATCTTTTTTTTTTTTTTAAATGAGAAAATGAAAAGAGAAGTCCACTGTTGGATTAGAGTGTAATTAAAGTGCGGTACTCTCGTCTTCCTTTTTTTATACACCTCTCCTTTTTCAATGCCAAAAAATTATGTTATATAATATATAAATATATAAATATATATATATATATATTTAACACCTAATTGTCTCACTTATTTTATGTGCCAAAATTATTTTTCATTATTATCATTATTTTTAGTTTTTGGCATTCAAAGCCTTAAAAGCATCATATTTATATAAAAAAAATGTTAAACTTTTTGATACGTAATACACCAAAATCAAATTTATTTGAAAATAAATAGATACAATAAATACGGTTTGGGAATAAATAGATATAAAAAATTTTAAAATATGACAATACTAATATATGAAAATAATATAATTTAAAATTTTAATAAAAATTATACATAAATTTGATAAAAATAAAAAATATATTTTATATTTGATGTGTCAATATAAAATATAATATAATATTTATTTTATTTTATACATATTTAATATAAAATAAATATGATATAAATACATAAATATTGGGATCTAAAAATATAAAATAATTTACTTTCTTTTTTAAATTGCAAAGTCAAGGTTTTCTCTATTATTTTCTCAAATTTCCATTTGAAATAATTCAAGTATTTAAATTATGGACTTTAGTAAAACAAAATTTCAATTCCTATGATTATTAATAACAAAATCTTATCCATTGCAATGCTTGATATTGTTAACTTGAAACAAAATTCTTGTCCATAAGTGTTTAATTAACTTATTTCACTTTTATAAAAAAAATTAATTTATTTCACGTCATTATAAAAAGTTTAAATTCTTTATTTTCAAAATTAGTGGCCCAATATTACGTCACAAATTAAAAAAAATCTTTTTTTTAATTTTTCAATTGTTTCCCTAAAGTTTTCCATTTTAAAATAGTGTTATTGTTTGACAAAAACAAAAAGCTGATCACACCAAGGAATAAAAGAGTAACCAAAAATTAAAAATAGTTACTCAAAAAAAAAAAAAAAAAAAGACCACAAGGAAATAATAAAACCGGTCCAACCCGGTCGAAACCACTCGCTTTGATGTGATGACACCTGTCAAACAGAAATTAAACCACCAATAGAAAAAGACCTGAAGCAAAGACAAATAGAACAGAGATGGAATTCAGTACTCGCGCGAGTGAGGAGAACAATGATCGTCCGTTTGTGTCAAACGCGGGTGCAAAGAAGCAGTGGAAAGAAAAGAGAGAAAAGGCAAAAGGAACAGAGGAAAAGAAAAAAAAAGAGTTGGTGGGTTTTGGATGGTTGGTTTTTATTCCTTCTTTCTCTTATTTATTTATTTTTATTTTTTATTTTTTGTGGAGAAGAGAAAACAACGCTCTTTTGCTTTTCAATCAAAAAATAAAAAAAAAAGAAATGTTTTTTAACTGAACAAAGAAAGACTCGCGTGAAGAAAAGTTATCTTTTTAGTATTTCTTTTTATTTCCACTCTAAAAAACGTTAACGGTTTTTTTTTGGTTTCTCTGGTTTCTGTTAGGAAGGAGGAGGACGAGAGGGGAGAGCTTTTGCAGAAGTGACCGCGTGGTTTGTGACGGGGAATGAGAATTCCGGCGTGGAGGCGGTGCTAACGTGACAGTTGTGGTGATGGAGGAAGATGACTGCTGAATGGAATTCACATTCGATGCAGGACTTCCGATGTCCCGAACAGCAGCAGCGGCGACGGTGACCGAAGGAACCTCGTTTTCACCATCGTTGAATCAAGGCCTCTCTCTCTCTCTCTATGTCTTTGTTTATTTGTTTCCTCTGTTTTTATTTATATTATTATATTATTTTTATTTTTCATTTATTTGGTGAAACGCAAGAGAAATGCGGTTCGTATGTTTTTGTTGGTTATTTTCCCGTCGTGAATTGTCCTTTTTGCACATTTTATGGTGAAATTCGGTTTGATCATTGTTAAAAATCAGTCATTTCTGGTTAAATTTTAAACTAAGAAATTATGTCAAATTTGAATTTAGTGATTAGTCTTAAATTCTTAATTTCTTTTCAATTATGGGGAAAAACAGTGCGATTTGCGATGATTTTGAATAAATTTTTGCAAGTTTTGTTTTGCTGATGTGAACTAATTTGAGATTCCACGATCTTAATTTATTTTAAAGTCAAATTCAAGGTTCTAGGAAATAAACTGAAATTTAAAATTTTGTGTTTTTATTTTTTTTCATTTATTGCTTTATTACTTGTAGAAAAAGATTAGGTTCTATTCCTTTTTTTTTTTTTTTATAAAATTAAGCTCTATTTGATTATTGCTTTTACTGCCTATCTTTTAGTACTCTACTTTTTGGAAAAGCAAATCACAGAAAGCAAAATAATGTTTGAAAAAAATTCAAAAATGACTAAAATGCTATTCTTATTCTTATAAGTATTATTATTTTATATATAAGTAAAATCATGAATTTCATCGTTAAGAAAAAAAAAAGGCTATTCAAGTAATCTAGTCTCTGTATCTTTCAATGAATTTGATTTGATAGTGCTGAAATTTGAGCTGCATTAATTTTCTATGTTTGCAATTATGAACTGTTCAGTTCAGCCAGTGCAATTAAGGTGGCTATGGGGGTTCTAGTTGTTATCTTTTTACATCTTTTTATCACTTTTTGATTGGGATTTATATAATTTTTAAGGTCGGTTCTTCATTTTCTCCATGACTGTCTGTGGAAATGCAACCAGGCAGTAGTGGCAATAGGTCTTAGACTAAATAATCCTTTTCTTCTTTTCTTCTCTTTTGTGCTGAAAATTACAAGTCAAAATTTGGCATTTTTCCCTGATGATTCTTCATAAAATCAATGAGGTTACTTGCCTACATGATTGTGAGAAAATAATTTACTTCATATTTTCTATTTTCCTTCTGTCATTTCTTTGAAATTCCTTTCTAAGAGTAAACAGGTGGTCTTTCTTTATTATTATTCTTGTAAAGTAAAAGGTTGGGGTTGATTATCAAATATACTGGGATTTCTCCTTGTTTACATGTATATGTTATTTATATGAAACTATGGTCATAATGCAGGAAGAGGGATACATAACTTAGATTCATGATTCTCCAGTGAGTTTTACTTTGTAATAGACATAAAAGAGAGGAAAATATAATCCTTTTGTCTTATTTTCTGTGTTCTTTAGACCTACCTGCTCATCTTACTATTGAGCTGTTTTTAATATTTGGCCTATATTTGGAAGGGTAAAGAAAGGAGAGAGAACCGGTGGAGGGAGAACTGTAAGGAGAAAGGGGGTGAGTGTGGATAAGGTTCCTTTTGCTTGGATTTCTTAAAATAGATAGAAAGTAAAGGAACCAGTAGGTTACCGTAGTGACAAAGAAATGAAATCATAGCATATAATCTTTCTTTAACAACTATATCATTTATGTGTTAAAATGAAAGAGTAATAAAAGAGCAACTTTGTGTGTACAATGAAAATTTTTTAATGAGGAATTCTTTCCATAGAAAGCCCTCAAACTTGGATGGAATAAAAACAAATGGAGAGTTTGATATTTCTGAGTTCACCTCAAAATCTATGTTTCACTATTTCAATGTTTCCAAACAAGGGAGAGGCATCACTCCATCTCCCTTTGGATCAATCCAACCATATTCTCTTCATATATCAGAGCTGCTACATGTGATTGTGAGAATCATATTAGCACTTCAGATATAAATTGTCTTGTTGCTCATCTAACTTTAATGTGGACTGTCCATGTTAACACATGATTTTAATATGGGGAATCCAAAAAAAACAAGTAGATTCCAGACATAATAGTTTAGTCTCATGTTCCAAAATGGTGGAGAATAAAAAATCTTTTCTCTGAGTACCATTTCTCTTCAGTTAACCTAATATTCTGTTTTGTGGTAGTGTTTTCTTCGAAATTGATTCATCACTTTAATGATTTTACTTCAACTTAGTCTCTCGAACTATAAATCTTTTACCTTCTCTATTTTTCAGTTATCTTGTATAGGAAGCTACTTTTAAGCTTTGTCTAAGTGTAACAGACACCTATTCTAAGATAATGTATATTTTATTTCACAGAATATTGCTACATTTGTTTGTTTTTTAAACTTTCTGCAATGAGCATAGTTGATTTGCATGCTTCCTTCAGATGCTGAGTTTTCGAAAATGAACTTTTCTTTTCTCGGTGTAAAAATTCTCAAGTTAGTTGAGGTCAGTTTGGTTCTTGAAAAGGAGGAGAAAAACATAAAAGTTTTTGTAAATGTCTTTTGTTGAGGCCTTAGAAAAAATAGAATTGGATTCTTTTCCTCAAATAATTTAGCCACCTTAGAGGCATGCAAAAGCCAAAGGTTTGAATGAGATTTCTGACTGCTGCTTGTCGGAAACTTGTTTGTTAAAGAGATGTTCTTGCCATCCCAATTATTTCATGCAAATTCTCAATCATTTGCACTTTGATGCTTTCAGTGTTAGAACATCAAGTTTGTCTATTTTAAAGGCAAGGGATAAATATATGATACTTTAAAGCTAATACAGATTGAAATTTAGAGTGTTGTATGTTCCAGGAAAATTGTTTATGAATTGAAATTTTCCAATCTTCTTTGTAGTTCTTTGAGTCTGTTTTTTCATGTATTTACCGAACCTACGCATTTAATATTATTTCAGATGCTATGTGGCAAATGAACTTGAGATCCAGTGAAACCATGGAATCTGGTCCTTACCCTGAGCGTCCAGGAGAACCAGATTGTTCTTATTATATCAGGACAGGCCTTTGTAGATTTGGGGCAACATGTCGTTTTAATCATCCTCCTAACCGAAAGCTGGTATAAAGCCTTGGCTTGTTTGGAAAATTCTTATGAATTCAGAGTTAATGCTTTTTGAGTGAGATATTATTGGTACAATGTCAAAGAGCTTCTTAATTTTATTCATTTTAGAAGGCATTTATTATCATTGGCATAGCATTGCTTGTTGAAGTTGTAGACACATGAAACTTTTACACATGGGTCTTTACTAATAAATCACTCTAAAACAGAACTCGATGTAGCTGAATTTATAGAGTATTAGATGCTTAAGAGATAAGCATGGTTCTGTACATGCACACACACACACACACACACACACACACCCACACTTGCTGCTACAAGCATACTTCACCTGCTACTCTCATTTCATTTTCACTTTGTCATTCTACTCATTTGAGTTTTTATATATCAATTGTCATTTGAAATGTTTATTTAGATTATATCAAATTCCAGGTTATTGCTGCTGCAAGGATGAAAGGAGAGTTTCCAGAAAGAGTAGGACAACCTGAATGTCAGGCATGTACTTATTCCTTGGTCTCTTCCTCCCTTGTTCCTGCTTTTGCTTCAAAAGATTCTTGTTGTCATGGGCAATTCGTAAGGGCAGACCCAGTCCTGTCTTTATACTAGTTTAAGAAAATAAACAAATAAAGAAACGAAGAAAATGGAAATATGCTAATAATTTGGACTGGAAAAAGGTTTACTTCTCTTTTTAGCGGTTTGACATAGCAATCAAACTTTAGTCTGAACCCTCAAATTGACTAGATGATTCGCTTCTCCTAATATTTTTGCTTTATTCTTGTATGTTGTCACTCGTTCTATTCTAGAGAAGCAAGGTAGCACTGACTCCTGCTTTTATTGCATTGGAAGCCAAATCTCAATCTTGTCAGAAGTTACACTTTTGGTTTTACTGACTGAAATCAGATATGGGACTCTATGTTTCTCATTTTCATGTATGTCTGGATCTGACAACTGACATTTTGCTCTTAATTTCTCTGCAGCACTACCTGAAAACAGGAACATGCAAATTTGGAGCTACATGCAAGTTTCATCATCCTAGAGATAAAGCTGGGATAGCTGGGAGTGTTTCCTTAAATATTTTGGGCTACCCTCTTCGCCCGGTTTGGATTTCATTTTTTCCTTTTACTCTTTATAGTACAATCTTATAATGATACATTTTTTAAGTCAATACTCAGGTCTCTTCCTGTTTCATTTTTGTTTGTTCCTCTGTCTTTTTAAAACAAAAACTATTTTTCTATTGGATAAGTTTAGCAAAAGGTGAATATTGATACCATCCAGTTAAGCTTGCCCAATTGATAGTCATATTGACTGAATATTAATTGGTTTATCGTTTAGATTTGATATAAAAAATACACGCACATAGACAAGGATCATAAAGTAAAATGTTATCGCTTGCTATGACTCAAAGAAAACCTTTTCTCTTTTCAGTTTTGATATGAATTTGTTTTAAACTTTAAATATGGATTCCACGAACAAAAATACTGCTGAATTTTGGACCATTGTTGGCCTCAAGATTGAGGTATAATCGTTGTACAAGTTTGAACCTTGTTAAGGGAAGCTGTATTTCTTCAATGATTGGTTTCTAACATGTGGTTTTTTTTATGGTTTTTGGTGTTTCGTTGGCTTAATGCAACTTGTTTTCTTTTAACTTTTCCTTCATACAGAATGAGACTGAGTGTGATTATTATCTAAAAACTGGACAATGCAAGTTCGGGAGCACTTGTAAATTCCACCATCCTCAGCCAACTAATATGATGGTTTCATTGCGTAGCTCTCCTATTTATCCGACTGTCCCTTCTCCAACCACTCCTGGTCAGCAGTCATATCCAGGAGGGATTACAAATTGGTCAAGAGCATCTTTCATTCCCAGCCCCCGTTGGCAAGGTCCTTCAAGTTATGCACCTTTTATTTTACCCCAAGGGATGGTATCAGTTCCAGGATGGAATACTTACAGCGTAAGCTTTTCCTTAGCTTATTACTAATTCTGTGTTCATTAAGCATGCCTGTTTAGTGTTTACATTTGTTTGGACAACATTAAAGGTGTGACAAGTGACGCAACTTATGAGAATTGTAGTTGTCAATATGCTAATATTTTGTATTTAAAAAATAATAATGTCTCTGGAATCTAGAGGTGCTCTAATATTTTCAAAGAAGCATTATCAACCTTCCTCCTAAAGGTTTCTTTTATGGTTGATCACCTTCTATTCTTTTTCTGGGCCTGAATAAAATGCATTTTGGAGCAGGCTATAATGGTGCAATTTCAACCAATGACCGTTTTTTCCCTCTAAAGAAGAATTTTGGTTCTTAGCTTGGTTACAATTGCATAATGCTAATATTTGATGGAGCTAATCCCAGAAACCATGGAAATAGTAGTTTTGAGATGCTTGTGATTAATGTGAAATTAGTGGTATTTTGGTAGCATTAAGAGCACCTAGAATTAAGTCTGATTGAAGTTGGATAAAGTCTTGGAGATCACAGGTAGACAGTATTGGTGCTGTTACCAGTGGTAGTGGAGTTGTATTGCTTATTGTTGTTGGAGACACTTGTGGCTGGCTGATGATGTGCTTGGACAAGTATGATTTGCTGCTTATTTGGTTGATATTCTGAAGGAAACTATTCAGGCCTAAAAGTTAAACATGACCCATCTATTTCGTATCATGCTTATTAGTAGGTTTTATGGTTTAGAATCAAATAAGCAAGTCAAACTCTGGGTCAACTCCTACAACTCTTAATCAGAATAATTTCATATGCTGGTTGCAGTAGTTTGGTCTTTCGTAATGGTAAACATGAACTGCAGAAGTTTCTTTTAAAACTATATCTGTGATTGTTGAATTACTTGACAATTTAGAAATGAGAGCGAAATTAGATCAGAAATTTTGTAGCTTAACTTTAACTTATTTTATTAGCTGCTTGTTTCTACAAAAACCACTAGCCTATCTCCTTGTGCATACATTATCAACTGTATGCTATAAACCAGAACCTGTCCACAAATGAATTTCATTGAAGAACAAATGTTTTATGTTAGTGTTATAGTTGTGGCTATCTCTAGAGTGGAGGTTTTTTTTCTAGCAGTTTGGTCCAAACTGCTTGATGTCATCTCTTTGTAACTGTATCAAACTGCCTGAGAGCATGCATCTACTCTCCTTTTTTTCCTGTTTGTATTTAGTTATACAGAATTTGATTTTGTAAGTTGATTTTCACTTTGACTAGCTAGCATCTATGCAGCATGTAACTTCTAATCTTTGAGAAGTGCTACCTTTAATTATCCAAAAGAAGAGAAGTGCCACCATCCTAATACTTCTCATTGCTCCAGGGTCAATTGGCATCAGTCTCTTCTTCAGAGAACCTGCAGCAGACAAATGCAAATAATCAAATTTACGGAACCTCACGCCAGAATGAATTGGCAACTGCAGGATCTCAAGCGTCCTTTTCTCAATTTCGTTCTGGCTCTGTCCCTGTAGGTTTTTATGCATTGCAGAGGGAGAATGTATTTCCGGAGAGACCTGGCCAGCCTGAGTGCCAATTTTACATGAAGACTGGAGACTGTAAATTTGGTGCAGTTTGTAGGTTTCATCACCCAAGAGAGAGAGTTCTTCCTGCCCCTGATTGTTTGTTGAGTCCTATAGGCCTTCCTTTACGTCCGGTGAGTTATGTATTCAATGTTAATTCTGTCTTTCAATTTATTTTTGAATATTGATCTGTTCAAATTATTACAGCTGTTTATGAAAAGCCTAGCCTTCATGCTACTTAAAAATATGTCATTCCCTACCTATTACCTTACATTACCTTTTATTTTCTTGAAAACTTGGTTTCTTAATTGTTGGGTTTTAAACTTTTAATTGCAGACGAAGCTAACAATTTTTTTATGTTAAAAAAATGGATATTTGCCTTGATGCTCTTGTTAGGCACGTGGTCATTCTATGGTTGCGATACAAAATTTTACATTAGATTAGAAGGAATTGACATAAAAAATAAGTTGTTGCATATTGACATAGGACAAAGGATGATCTCCCTCCATGTTTATTTGGGTTGCAAATAAGGATTGTAGGGGTTATGTTTGTAGATCAAAAAGTCTAAGGCTATCAGGCATTGGTTGAGTTCTGATTGTGAAAAGTAATGGAATCAAGAATTAGGTTGCTGTAATTTTCTGCAGCTACCATACTAATAGTGTGTGTAGGCATATCTTCATATGAGGTGCTTGAGTGATAAATTTTAGGTTGATTGGGGTGGTTGAATGAGGATTTTATGGTTTAAATGAGCAGCAGAATTATTCTAGTTCTGTGGAGAGTTATGACAGCAGCATGAGGAATCTATGTTGATTCATGTAAAATAAAGAAAATAAAATCTTACCCTGTTAAAGCTATTTTGCATAAAATTTTATGATGTGGTGATGAGTCAATGGAGGACAAAGCATTGGAAGAAGAAATTATGTTATTTCTATTTTGATATTAGTTTTTTTTTTCCTTTGGTATTTCTAAATTCAAATTTAGGGTTAGTTATGTGTGAGTTTCAATGTGCTAATAGATCCAAATATTTGCCCTTTTCAGGGTAAAAAGGTAGTCCACTAATTTGTGGTAATCATGTCAAGAATATTGTTGGTAGCTTCAAGTTGACATAATAGATGGTTGAGAACAATGTTATTTCTCCTTATAGAATTATGGAACCAATATAGTTAAATTTCCATTTTGCACAATCTGTAGGGTTTAATCCTTCAACTTAAAACAATTAACTTTGTACCAAAAAGAAAAGATAAATTGTAAGTTTTACCACAAGATCCTCATAAAGCTTGTATATGAACTTCAGTTTTACTATAAGGGTTTATTTGGATGGGCAGTGAGATTGACTACAGTGATATTGAAAAGTGTAGTAGTGGTGAGATTAGTTACTATAGTTGTAAGATTGAGTATTATTGTGGTGAGATTAAAATCTTTGGTGGGAATATGTGTTTGGATGCAAATAGCAGTGACAGTAAGATTGGGTATGGTAGTTAACTGCCCAAACAAAGATAGATGACTACCATGTTTGGAAATGAGGTAGCTGAATGCCCAATCAAAAGCAGTCGATTGCCATAATTGAAAAATGTTGTGTTTTAATTTTACACTAAAGCAGTTGAATGTCTTAGGAAAGGAAAGTCAACTGCACTAGGGATATTGAACCACCAGACTCTTCCTCTTTCAGTCTCCAACTGGAAGGGCAATGGGATTGACAGCCCTTAACCGAACCACTGGGGTGCTAATGCATCCCAGGATGCAGTTGAGGGCAAAAGTGCCAGATAACATGGCATTGGGGATATGATGGTATCCTAATGGATCTTAAACTTTGTGTCCACAATTTTGCTCATTGTAGCTAAAAATTTATAAGGTTGCTTCTTTTTGCACCCCTTTTTCTCTCTCCAGACCCACCTTTTCTTTTTCAAAATTATTTTTAGGTGAAATTACTTAATTACCCTTTCTCATGTTAATTTTAAAGTTTTCGAATATGCATATCAGGTAAATGTTATAACTTACCGGATTTTCATATTTGGTAAGTTTAAAATAAAGGTTACATTTTGGGTTTAGGAAAAAATTTTCAATTGAGGAAAAAAGTCTCATATCCTGAAGAATTTCCACAACATTGCAAAGAATAAGCACGATTTGTTTTAATAATTATAATCTCATTTACAAATTGATAGATAAACACTGTGCATGTGGGTCCTTAGATTTCTTTTTGATTTCAATGATCTGAGATAGGAGCATTTAAAAGTTTCTGGATATGTGAATTTGGAAACTTTTAAAAGCTTTCAGATTTGCAAATCTGGAGACTTTTAAAAGCTTCCAATTTGGCAAATCCAAAAACTTTTAAAAGCCTCCGGATTTGCAAATCTGGAAGCTTAATAGTGTGAAGGGCTTAGAGAAAGGATAATTAAATAATTTCATTTACAAATGATTTTGAAAAAAAGGGTGTGACGAGAAAAAAATGGGGTGCAAATAGAAGCCCCTAATTTATAGTTTTTTGTTACAGAGTTACCTTTGTAATGAATTATTTATTATCCCTAATAAAATTCTTTTGCAACCCACACCTCCCAGTCACACCCAATTACCTTATCTTTCATCACAACCTGACACCAACTAAACCAAAATCCGTCTTATCTTCCTAAACCACCTAAACAGACTCTTATCTTTTGTCTTAAGGTTAGAGGATGCTGGAAATGGAGGTAGAAAGCAAAAAGAAAAACTGTTATTAATTCAAATGTAGATTCAATCTTAAATAGCAAGAGAGACGAGAAATACTTAAATTGTTTTGTGTGTGCCCAGTCGTTGGGAGCGTCATTAATGTCATCTATTGTAGGGAGTTTGGATGCTTATTGCTGCACAAGTTTTCAATGCATGCATGTCTGAGTGCGTGCGTGTGATTTTACCTATGAGGGCTATAGAGGAAGTGCAAAAATGTTTACTTTGTTATATTGAGCAATTTTTAAGAGAGTTAGTAAGGTGGCGGCAATGAGTACAAATAACTAATATACTCTTTAACCTTAATACTTAACACTCCCACCTCAAGCTGAAGCATATATGTCATGTCCTAGCTTGTTACAAATATATCTTACTTTAGAATCAAGTAAAGATTTTGTAAACCGTGAGAAAACACTTATTTACAGCTGATTATAATATTGTAATCTATATATTTATATTTGTATTCCTAGAATTAAGGACAGAAAATTAGGATAGACAATCCCTCAATTTATAGGATCAATTTTAGGAAGATTTAGTTTTTTAGTTTACCCACTAGTTAGTTGTATATAAACCTAAGGTGCTTGTATAATTCTTTATGAGCAGTTTTTCGATATATATTCAGTTTTACCTTTAATTTTTCACATAGTTTTATTTCTTAATTTTTTCACATGGTATCAGAGCTTTAAGCTCTTTTTAGAAAGAAAATTTTTTCAGCCTTCATTGCTGAATTCTATTTTAGGCCTTTATATCCAAATCTTGTTAAATCTTTCAGCCTTATTTTTTCCTTATTTGGCCTTTATTGCCTAGAATCGTCTCTGGTTAAACCTTCACTATCAAGACTTGTTTCAGTCATGAGAAAGATAACCATGCCAGAGATAGCAGAATCTGCCACTACTACCCGATTTGAGGAAATGATAACTGGTAAAACCACCGAAATACTACAGAAGTCTCAGGAACAAAGAAAGTTAGACAGAGAAGAGATTGAGAAACAAAAAAGCTTATTGAAAACTCTTAAAAAACCTATTGGGGTATGTTCTTTAGGTAATGTCTCTAATTCAGATAAAGCTTTTGGTTCTCATAGATTAAATGTCTCAATTAAGCCTATTATAAGTTCTTGGTCATTGACTCAAGAGTCACAGATCATGTGACACATTCCTCATAGCAGTTTAGTACATATACCTTGTGTCTTAGTAATAAGAAAATTGTTGTTGCAGATGGGCCATTTACTACAGTAACAAGATTAGGAAATGTTCAAATTAATCCCTCGTTTGTTCTTAAAAATTTTTTCATGTTCCTGGATTATCTAATAATTTGATATCTATATAAAAACTTACCAGAGATATTACTGCAAAGTGACTTCTTATCCCTCATATCCTGAATTTCAAGACCAGAGTTTGGGGAAGAAAATTGGACTTACTAAAGAGAAGGATGGACTATACTATCTTGAGACATAAAACAGTACAAGTAATATCAAGAATAGTTTACCTTTGTCATTTCTTTTTGAAATATCTCCCAATAAAGACAAAATCAGGCTTTATCATTTTCGTCTTGGACATCCTTCTTTTGGAAGTTTGAAAAACATGTTTTCTTCTTTGTTCAAAGGATTAAATGCTGAAAATTTTCATTGTAATGTTTGTGAACTTGCAAAGCATGGACAGGTCTTTTCTAGTTATCTATAAAAGTTCTCCTTTTTACTTGATTCATAGTGACATATGTTGTCCCTTTACAATTCCTAGTATTTTCTGGTGCAAGGTGGTTTATTTCTTTCATAGATGATTGTACCCGGGTCTTTTGGATGTTTGTACTTAAATCCAAATTAGATGTGAATAGTATGTTTTTAAGCTTCCAAAACATGATCCAAAATCAATTTGGAGTGAAAATCAAGAGATTTAGGTTTGATAATGCAAGAGACTATTTCAACTAGAGTTATCTACCTATTTCTAAAAGGAAGAAATTATCCATGAGTCATCTTGTGTTAATACTCCACGATAGAATAGTGGCAGAAAGGAAAAATAACTATTTACTAGCCACAACCCCGAACTTTACTTTTTCAAGCAAACGTATCCAAATCCTACTATGGGGAAGCTGTTCTCACTGCCACACATATTGTAAATAAGTTACTTTCAAGGGTTTTGAAATTTAAAACTCTTATAGAACTACTTTCACAATTCTATCCCAACTTTAATATTAGAAACAACCTCAGTCCTAGGATATTTGGTTGTATATCATTTGTTCATGTTTACAGTCATAATAAGGGGAAGTTGGATCCTAGAGTAACTAAGTGCAATTTTGTGGGGTATTTATCAACTCAGAAAGGGTATAAGTGCTATCATCATCCTACCAAAAAATTTTATATGTCTTCAAATGTCACTTTTGAAGAAAGTGAACCTTTTTTTACTCAAACCTTATCTTCAAAAGGAGACTTAATTAATGGAAGATAAGGATAAAGACTTCTTTTTACTTGATTTGTCATCTTCTTCAACATTTTCACCCATTAATTCTTATGAGTCTAAACTTGTTTCTTCTGAGTCTAAGGCAAACACCGAATTCGAGTCTAAACCATTCCAGACACTGAAGATGTGACAAAGGATAATATTGTTCTTGATTATATGAAGGAATTATAGATGTACTCAAGAAGGAAAGTTTCAGATCCTGAACCAATGCAAGTCCAAGAACCTGATCCTAACTCTGAAAATGAGGTAACTACATTTTTTGACTCTGTTTCTCAAAATAAGCATAAATCTCCTTAAACTATAACTAGTGATTATGATCTACCTATTGCCATTAGGAAAGGAACTAGAGAATGTACTAAGCATCCACTATACCCAATCTCTAATTTTATGTCATTTGAAAAATTCTCATCATCCCAAAAAAATTTTCTTGTGGGCCTAAACACTATTTCTATTCCAATTGCATTATCCGAGGCATTATCCAATGAGAAATAGAGGCAAGCAATGAAAATCGAAATGGAAGCCTTAGAGAAAAATAAGACATGGGAACTGGTAGAGTTGCCTAAAGGGAAAAATTCAGTTGGGTGTAAATGGGTTTTCACTATAAAATACAAGGCGGATGGTACTGTTGAAAGGTATAAAGCTAGGTTGGTGGCTAAGGGCTACATTCAAACTTATGGAATGGATTATCAGGAAACTTTTGCTCCAGTTGCCAAGATGAATACAATTAGGATTTTGTTATCATTGGCTGTAAATTGCAATTGGTAGCTTCAAAAATTTGATGTAAAGAATGCTTTTCTACATGGTGATTTGAAAAAAGAAACATATATGAAGGTTCCATTGGGATTAGGAGGTCATCTAGAAGCAAACAAAGTATACAAGTTGAAAAAGGCTTTATATGGCTTTAAACATTCTCCTAGGGCTTGGTTCGGGAGATTTGCCAAAGTAATGCTAGCAATGGGATATAAGCAGAGTTAAAGAGATTACACTTTGTTTATCAAGCACTCTAATTCAGGGAGAGTCACAGTTCTATTAGTGTATGTTGATGATATAATTGTAACCGGAGATAATGAAAAAGAGAGAGATTTTTAAAGCAGTATTTGGTAAGAGATTTGAGATAAAAGAGCTAGGGAGATTTAAGTACTTCATAGGAATTGAAGTAGCTCACTCACAGCTTGGTATTATCATCTCATAACAGAAACATGTGATGGATCTTTTGAAAGAAACTGGGAAGCTCGCATGTAAACCTACAAATATCCCTATAGATCCTAATCATAAACTTAGAGAAGCTAATGAAGATGTTGTAGATAGAAAGATGTACTAGAGATTAGTTGGTAGACTTATTTATCTCCCACATACTAGACCTAATATAGCATATGCTGTGAGTGTGATAAGTCAATTTATGCATAGTCCTAAAAAAGTGCACCTACAAGCTGTCTATCGTGTATTACACTATTTGAAGGCCAATGTTGAGAGAGGTATCTTATTCAAAAGAAATTCGGGCTGGTTCTAGAGGCATATACAAATGCGGATTATGCAAGTTCAGTATCTGATAAAAAATTCATCTCAGGCTACTGTACTTTCCTAGGTGGTAATCTTGTGACTTAAAAGAGTAAAAAACAGAATGTGATAGCAAGATCAAGTGCTGAAGCAGAGTTTAGAGCAATGGCTCAAAGAATTTGTGAACTATTATGGTTAAAGATCATCATAAAAGACTTGAAGATCAAGTGGGATGGAACAATGAGATTTTGCTGTACAAGTCTGCGATAAGCATTGCACACAATCTCGTGCAACATGACAAAACAAAGCACATTGAAATAAACCGGCATTTCATAAAGGAGAAACTAGGTAATGGGTTGATTTGTACACCATATGTATCAACCAAGGGTCACTTTATAGATGTATTGACTAAAGGTCTCAGCAATGCAACATTTCAAGAAATTATTTCCAAGCTAGGAATAAAAAACACCTATTCACCAGCTTGAGGGGGAGTGTGGGAAAATACTTATATACAGCTGGTTGTAATCTTGTAATCTGTATATTATATTCGTATCCCTAGAATTAAGGACAGAAAATTAGGATAGACAACCCTCAATTATAGGGTTGGTTTTAGGAAGATTTAGTTTCTTAGTTTATCCACTAGTTAGTTGTAAATAAACCTAAGGTGCTTGTATAATTCTTTATGAGCAGTTTTTCAATATACATTCAGTTTTACTTTTACACTATGTTTGGATTGAGAAAAGGGGAAGGAGAGGAAAGGAAAATAAAGGAAAGTTATGGAAACAGAAAAACCCTTCCTTTGTTTGGATAAACTCTTAATTTAAAGGAAAGGAAAGAGATGGAAACTCAATAACCTTTGGTTTTCCTTGTAATCCTTACTTTTTTAATACCCCAATTTGGGGGAAAAGCTAAGGAAAAGAAAGTTGAAAAAATTTTATTTTTATAAAAAGACTATCATATCCATATTTTTATTATGACATTAAATTTGATTATATAACTAACATTTTTTACAAAAATAATATTTTTTATAAGTATTTTATATAACATCACAGTTTATAAATGTTTTATGATTTTTCAAGTCTTAACAACAAAACAAGTCAAATTATTGTCAAAAAAAATAAAAAGGCTGAATTAAATACAAAATTAAGAGTAAATCAATAACTAGCTAATACATCTTACTATATTAAACGTGCTCAATTTTATTAAGAAAGATTTGTTTATACAAGCTAAGTAGTATAAAGATATGTTTGTATATTACATATTATTTTATAAAAAACAAAGTTATAATTGGAAAAAAAATATTATAATGAATTGTTTATTTTCTTTTTCACTATTTATCCAAACAATGACTGTTAGAATTCCTTTCGTTTTCTTTTTTTTATTAATTTTAACTATCCAAACAAGGGGTACATGTATCCTTTCATTTCCTTTAAAAAACATTACTTTTCATTCTTTTCCTTTCCTTTCCTTTCCTTTCCTTTATTTATATGTATCCAAACTTAGTTTTTCACACAGTTTTATTTCTTAGTTTTTCCATTGATACCAGTTTTCAGGATCAAGCGCATACCACTACACCAAAAGCTATAGCTGTATCACCAAGCTTTGTTTCCACCCTTGTAATGGCAACCACAATTTCACCCAGTTCTCTCTCCGAAGGGTAAGCAAATGATGTCAATACTCCAAACTCCACTGGTTTTTCGTAACCAGGGACCTTTAACGAGGTTTTTTCTTCGATGTTTGTATAATCTACCTCAGTACCAGACATAGCAGTTCGCAAGACACAGTCCAAATTGATTAACTATAGATCCCTATAAATAAGACCCTCCTCATAAAGCCAACAGAAAGCCTCTGTCACAGCCTTTGACCTCTTCTTGTCCATTGTAAAGCACTTACTGGACCAATCGAGGGAGTTGTTGTGCCAGAATGGTACCACCATACTGAGTCTTCCACTTCCAAACTTCATTTATAAACTCTTCACGACCAACATCATGCCTGGTTAACTGTCTTTCACGCATTAGCTTTTTCTCTACAACCACCTATGTAGCTATCCCAGCATGATCCATGCCAGGTACACACAGTGCATTATATCCAGACGTTCTTCTCCAACGAATGATAGTGTCCAGTATGGCACTTGTTAGGGCATGGCCAATGTGCAGGGCCCCAGTCACATTTTGCAAACAAGTCAATGTGTTTAGTAAAGAATTTGTAAACAAGTCCGCTAGTTGGTCCATAGATCTCACTTACTATGTATGAATCATTTTCTGCTTAAGTTTGTCTTAAACTAGATGACAGTCCACCTCAATGTGTTTAGTTCTTTCATGAAACATTGGATTTGAAGCTATATGAAGAGCTGTTTGATTATAACAGTTTAGAGTCATAGGCTCTTGTTGCTTAAACCTAAGTTCTTCCATCAGATGTTTCTATCAAACCAATTCACAATTAGTGTTTGCCATGGCTTGATACTTAGATTCAACACTTGATCTCGCAATGACATTCTGTTTCTTACTCCTCCAAGACTCTAAGTTATGATCATCAAACACACAATAACCAGTGGTAGATCTCCTATCATTCAGATATCTAGCCCAATCTGCATCAGTGTAACCTTTAACATGAAGAAAACCATGGTTTTTATGAAGTAGGCCATGACCCAGAGCACCCTTGAGATATCTTAAGATACGAGCGACAACATCCCAATGACTCTTTTTGGAGACTCTAAAAATTGACTAATAACACTCACTGCAAAAGAAATATTTGGTCTAGTAATCGTCAAGTAGTTCAACTTCCCAACCAATCTTTGATAACAGCTCGAATTAGTTAACACATCACTTTGATCAGCAAATAATTTGGTGTTAGGATCCATAGGAGTATCAATAGGTTCGCATCCTAACAATCTGGTTTTAGAAGTTAAGGCAAGTACATACTTCCTTTGTATAGTCAAATCGCCTCACAAGATTTAAATTCTACACCCAAGAAATATTGCAAATCCCCTAAATCCTTGGTCTGAAATTTAGTTTGAAGATACTATTTTAATGCCCGTATCCATTCACTATCATCACCAGTAATGACCATATCATCCACAAAGACAATTACTATGGTCTATTCCACACAAGACCAAATTCAATAACAACTTCACTGGACCTTCCAAACCTTGCCCTAGGAGATTGTTTTAGCTTATACAAAGACTTATTCAAATGACTTAACTAGTGCTAACTCCCCTTGAGCAACAAATCCAGGTGGTTGCTCCATATAAACTTCCTCCTCAAGGTCACCATGCTGAAAGGCATTTTTAATGTCCAACTGAAATAAGGGCCTATTAAAAGTAGTTGCCGCCACATTAGCTACACAAGGAGGTCTACCATGTAATCCCAGCACTGATCCTAGGTGTGATTTCCCTTTCTGCAATGTGTGCATTGATGGGTAAATCTACCTCCATTACGATTCCCTTGAGCTTCTCAACCACCATAGGAGCTTTCACTGCCATTAAACGTATCACCTCTACCACTGTGGTTGAACTGTGTAGCCAATGCAAACTGTTTACTAACTGAACTAGAACTAAGAGCTTATTTTTCACTTCCTGAATTGGTATCACTAGTAAGCTCTTCCTTGGATGAGGAAGATTGAAGAACCCAGGAATAAGCTTGGGCAAGAGTAGGAAGATCAACTTTCCCTAGAATATGTGACTTTACCGACTCTAACTCTAAAGGTAAATTAGATAAAAACTTGAGAACTACCATATGTTTACTTTGTTTCTGCATCTCAGGAACATCAGCAGAAATAGGTTGGAGACTATTTAGCTCCTCATATATCCTTTTCAACTCAGCAAAATATTATGTAACAGATCTATCATTCTTTTTCAACTCAAAAAATTTTAAGGGAGAGATCATACATACGAGTTAGATCACTAGTATAAAGCAATTTAAAATACTCCCATACTTCTTTACATGTATCTAGGTGGGTACACATATATGCCATTTGTGGTTCCATAGAATTCCACAAAGAAGATAATATCTAAACATCTGCCTATGCCCATTCTTCAGTAGGAGGACCTTCTATAAGAGGACGGTATTTTCTAAGACCAGTAAGATAAACTTTAACTGCCTTGGAGCACTGTAAATAATTGTTTCCATTCAACTTCCTAGTGGTTATTTAAAGAGAGACCGTAGAAGGTTGGACAGATTTAGGATCCATAAATTACTCACAGTTTGGAATCCAAAGAAAAGTGATCAACTAGCTGCTGAAACAAAAAACCACTAATAGATTACAAATGACCCAAGAAACAAACAAGGCATAGGCTTAAACAAGGCTAAACTTAAAATAAAATACTAACAGCAAGAGTTCACATGTAGTGGACCATAAAAAACTTAATATTGAACAATCACTCGAATGTAATTGACTAAGAATATAATAGGGCTTTCTCCATCACAGTCAATCTACCAGAAACAAGTCAAAGACGATCATCAAAAACTTGAATTTTGTGTTGAAAACCAGATTTGTTCAAATCTGATGTGTAGAACAGAAAAACTGAATTTTAACAAATTAACATCTAGGCTGACGTCAAACACAAAAAATTGATTGAGAGAATTGGATCAATAAGGAAAGACGCACTGATTGATTTTTTTTTTTTTTAAGGGAAAAGGGTTTCAAATGTTGGAATTTCAATTTGTATAGTATCTTTTATGATATTATTGTAAAACTATATTGTAAAATGCATCCACATATCCATATCTAAAATTTCAGATTCTCCTTAGTCTACTCTAGTCTGAAATTTTGGATGAAAGGGGAGTTAGACCCTTGGATATATATTCTAACCAGATACCCATACCCGAGTCCATGTAACATAGATTACAAGGTTATCATTCAAGTTAACTTCATCATTTCTTACTTACTGTACCTTGATTTGTTATGGTAGAGAGCTTTAGCTTGGGCACCCGTTTTGAAGCTTTCATGTTGTTCAGATTATATCTTCACTCGTAGAATGTTACAATTTTGAATTTCTTATTTTCACTTTTAGTTACCAAGCCTAGAATGTTTTTCTTATCCATTATCCACTTCACATATTCATTCTGGCTTGAGGTTATCATTTGTTCTCAGTCATTTTCTCTTTCTTGCAATATTCCGATCGATTTTGTGGTGCATTTGGTTAATTTACAAGGAGAGTTCCCCACTATGTGCGGACATGCTTTTATGGTGCTGCTAGTTTTATTCTTTTGTTACGAGATATTTTTTACACTCTTGACATTGCTATTTTTGCATTTTAACAGGGTGAACCTCTATGCATTTTCTATTCTCGATATGGAATTTGCAAGTTCGGTCCAAGTTGCAAGTTTAACCATCCTATGAGAATTTTCACATACAATTACTCCTCATCATCTCCATCTGATGCCCCAGTTCACCGTTTCTTGGGGTCTTCTTCAGGAACTGCTGGGTTAAACCTGTCATCAGAGGACCTTGTTGAAGCAGGCTCTACAAAGCCCAGGCGAGTTTCATTGTCAGAGAATAGACTATTGTCTTCAAGTGATGATAATATTGATACAGAGGGACAAACACTGCAACAAGATACAGACTGATTACATTTGACAATCTTTTGGTGGATGAGGAAGAGTTATCTATAAATTCATTCCCCATTGTTGGAGATGTATAGAGTTGGTGTTGGAGATGTATAGAGTTGGTGTCTAGTTGGTTCTGTTCTTTTAAAAATATGCAATTCAGTCGACAGTTGCGTCTTCAGAATTTCCTATTCCTGCATTTTATAAATCCGAAAATGACGTCACATTCGGTAAAACCCAATGTGAACAGTTCATCTGTCCCAAAGCGCTTTTTTTTCCCTGATTTTTGTGTTATGCTTCTTTCACAGTATGTTATACAAGGCATTTCTTTTGCAGCTTTTAATCCTCTGCCTAGTTTTCTGGTAAATCTTCATCTAGGAGCCCTGTTTATGATTTCCAGTCTTAGCCCAGGCTTTCGAATACTGGTTGAGTAATTTTCTGCCAACCTTCTTTGTTCGTACACCATAGCTTCACCATTCATATCATATCTTCCTCCTCTTCTCCGTTTTCTTCATGGACCTCACATCTGCAGACATTTCCTAAAATCAGCCTTGTTTATTGAGGTAACAGTTACTATATTCCCAAATATTGATCAATATTTTGAGTGATTCTCTAAGTTGTTTCTTGTATTGATTTTTTTTACTTCATTGCATGTTGGAGAAATTGTCAAGAAGAAGTATAAATTTGTGCACATTCCATTCTCCCAAAAAAAAAAAAAGTGTTAACGGTACTTATCTATGCTCTTGTTAGATGAATTCCTCAAACTCTTGGAAGCACCGGGAGATCTTGATGATAAATGATTCACTGCAGATGAACTTGTAAGTCACTCCAACAGAATCTCATGTTATACTGGGTTAATTTATCTTTTCCAAGCATCATACCCTTGTCCTTGCTGGAGGCTTTGAAAATGATAAGAGAATCTTCAGAAATTGGGACTGGGACCTATCATTTTCTTGCATTTCTTTTGATCAATTTTTTATTTTTTTAGGTTGTAGTTGCTTGGTTTGTGTTTCATTGCAACTATGGTATTTTTAGTTTTGTTCTTACAAACAGAGATATTACTGGATATTGAATGTTTTAGATGCTTGTATATGTTATTTTCTTTTAAATTAGGGTTAATATCATGAATGATCCTTAAACTATAGTAAAATATTTAATGTAATATTTGAATTTTAAAAATTTTTAATGTTATATCCAAATTATGAATCTGTTAACTAATGTAATATGTACATCTAATGTAGATAGTTTCAAATGACAGATAAATAATCTTCTAAGTACCACATTAGTTAACAGATTCATAGTTTGAATACTACATTAAATATTTTTAAAGTTTAGGTTTCACAATGAATATTTCACCATAATTTACAGGGTTTCAAATAGCGGTTGTGTAGCGGCATTACGGTCGCTATTTCGTGATTTCGGTAGCCTCCGCCACCGCTACATACTCGAAATTGGGCTGTGAATGAAATTCACAATCATAACGGTGGTGAGCAATTGTTACAGCCTATCAATCTCGGCTGGATACTAGCCCCAATAGGTAGGTTCTTCTTTCCGTTCTGGATTTCAGAGAGATTTTGGCATGAGCTCGTAGAAAAGCTCAGACTTCCCTCTTCATTTCTTCTTGTTTCCTGAAAAGGGAAGCTATGTCCGGTGCGAAGCCCGTTCGTTCCGTTCTTTTTTTGTCAGCAAGGAGAATTGCTTGGTTAGGTTCTTTGCTTGCTTATTCCATTTCTTTCAGTGGGAAGACAATGAGTTCGCCTTCTTTATTGTTGTTTTGTAGAACGTTATAGTCGCAATCATCATTTTCAGTTCAAAATGTAATTCAAAAGCCTATTCTTTTTCAATAATTAAAGAATTTCATATAAAAAATCACATTCTAAACAAAAAAAACCTTTAAATTTACGATTCAATCAGCAAATACAAACCTCAATCAAACTTAAAGAACATGTGGTTAAAGTCAATCAATAACTATCTCAGACCTTGAGAATTAAAAAGAAGCAAAACATTTTTTAATAGTCAAGATGAGAAGATGAGAGGCTTGGGTTTAATAGTAGTGTCGCCAGTGGCTTGGGCTGCGGAAAAAGACAAAGAAAGCGTGGATGGAACTTGAAAAATGTTAGAAGATAGAGAAAGCATGGGATATGCTTGTTGATTTTTAGAGAAAGAGAGTGAGCAACTGATAGATAGATTTAATCATTAAATTTGAAGAATATACAGATGCGAAAAAGGTTTGGTGGATTTGGGTTCAGTTGAACCAAATTAACCAATTATAGTATTTTTATTTTTCTAACTTAAAATTTAGGTACATGTGATATTTAAAAGTACATTATAATTTTTTTTTTTATTTAGGTGAAAATATGGAAAGGAAAAAACAAATGATTTGATGAGAAATTGGATATTTTAGAAAAAAATTTTTATTGATTTTGATGAAAATTTAAGGGGAATGTGAGCTATTAATTAGTAAATTTATTTTTATTTATCATCATTTTAAAGTAATTAGTAGTTTTTTAAATAATTTTAATATTATTAATGTTATTGTTAATTGTATATTTTTATTAGTTAATAAAGATTAGTTTGCTACTATTATATTATTTTGGTTTAATTTAGTTATTTAAAATGTTGCACTTGAAAATTTGATCTAATAATAAAGTATATTTATTCATAGTCTATCAGATAGTTTATCATCTTCCCCCAATAAACATATATTACAAAAATATCTAAAATATTCATCACTAATTTTTTAATTAAATTAATTATAATCTTTATTAACTTCATATAAGATATATTTTTTTCATCATATGTATTTATAATATTTATGTCTTTAAATTTCATGTGCATAATAAAGAAAAACATTTATAATATGTATTTTCATTCTCAATTATAACTACAAAACATGAAAAAATTATTTTAATTTATAAATAAAAATTAAAATATCATAAATTACTTTAAAAATTATAAGTATTAATTTTTATTATTATAATTATAATTACTACATTTTATAATAAATTATGAAAAATTAAAAAAAATTCACAACTTTGATGACCGCAATGATCTTCGTTATATATGCAATCGCGATAAACGAGACGTTACCGAAAACGTGTTCACGATCGTGATTTGAATACCTGATAGTTTAAGGTTAATTTATGACATTGATTCTTTATATTATGTAATGATGTAAGTTGTTGTGAATTGTGAAATATTTTACATTTTTCGAGATAACAAATTGGATCATGCATTCTTTAATCTGCATTAGATCATGCATTTTGATTGTAGATAAACGATATCAAGGTGCTTAATGGATAGAGACCAATGGTTAAAAACAAAAAAGTTGGGAAAGCTTTTCACATCAAACTTATGACCTCAGGAGGAACAACTATTGACAATGTTTGCTTTCTTCCTACTCCTACATTTGATCTCATGATTGCTGTTGTTCTGGTTCTGCGGAATTTTGTTCATGCCAGCCTGCTACAATCTTTTTAACTCAGTATTATCATATTTGGTTCATCATGCGTATTTTATCAATCTCATGTTTCCTTGAATGTTAGATTTCTAACAATGGTATTACCTTCCAGATTGATTGTAAAACATAAAGTTTTGGATTTTCACCAAAATATCTTAAAATTGGCAAAGTAACATTCCTTATACTCAATCATGTTTTTCGAATCAAACAAAGTGATCTGATTACGTAAACTAATATTCCGAGTACTGATCTTCAAATGAAACGCCCCCTTAATGCTTCTTTTCTTCGAGAAATCAATTATGCAGTACCATCAATGGAATATTGCAAAAGCAGTGATAGAAGGATAAGATATTGAACATAAATAGTGATAGAAGTATAACATGGTGAATAAAAACAACTGAAAGAAAACAAGGATCAAGTATGATCGAGCCAGCAACCCGACCGATGGACAATGGAAAGGTCTAGTGATAATTAAGCCTTCAGAGTTCAGAGCATGGTGCAATGTAGAACTTACATATATTACAATCTCATTGTTTTCTATTAATTTAATTGCCTACTTCATTAGATATCATACATGGAAATTATGTGAAGCAGGCATAAACCTTGGAATCATTAATTGAAGGATCCCGGCCTAACAAATATGATAGACATTAATTTCAAAAGAAAATATACTTGTTTAAAGCTAACCCAAATCAAGTAATGACAAAAAAAAAATCTCAGAATTATTGACCCATGTGTGCCACCATTGAAAGATATTGGTTATATTAGAAAATAATTAGGTTCCATTTGTTAGTACTTTTTAATTTTGTGTGTCTCTTATTCTTAATTATTTTTTTTTATTTTTATTAAAAAAGACATAAAAAATATATAACAAAAGTCTCAACCAAACAGACCCTCTAAAAAATAAGAAGTAGAAAACATTGTATTAGATAAAAAGCAATACGTATGTGTATATGTATATCAAAATTTCGAATCAAATGGAACCTAATAATGATTGGACTTGACTCTATTATACCACAGCCAACTTGAAACATGTTAATTAGGTCACTTAATCATGATGTGGCATGACCACAATTGGACCAAACCAACCTGTGCTCTTAGCTTTTTGGCATTAGATTAGATTCTAGCTGTTAGCTTAAGACTTAAAAAAAAAAAAAAAGGTAGATTGCAGGGAACACGCGTTTCTCGAACCGTTGGAAAAGGATTTGTTTCCAAAAATCGAATGTTTTATTTACGAAAAGAGAGGAATTGGAAAAGGATTTTGCAATAATTAATAATGCTGCTGCTTTCGAATATACACTCAACTTTGAGAAACTGGGTTAATTTTGATAGTAAACAAATTTAATTAATATGATGGGCTCTTTTTTTTTTTTTTTAATATTAAGGGGCATTTAAAAAAAAAAAAAAAGAGTGTTGCTCAAGAGTAGGGATGGGCCCACGACCAGAATAATTGCCGCCCAAGCCAATTATCCCACTATTTCCTTGCTGTCTTATGGCTGCCTTTTTCTTCCATTGTAACCCATTGCTTGCTTTTTCATTTTTTCCTTTTTTTTTATATTATTAAAACCATTGCTAACGACCATACATGCACATGCATGCAGGAATTTATGTCAGTCAAAATTATTTGAATGATTGATTACTTTTTTATTATATTTTTTTTATATATTTCTTATACTATAATAAAAGGTTAAAATAAGTTGATGGTTCACTCAAAAAAATTTTATATGCTCAAAATTTTAAATTTGGATATATTTGAATGGGAAAAAACTATTATTTTCATTAAAATTTTTACTTTTGTGAGAAAAAATTAATTTTTTTATATATTTTTTAATAAAATTTTAAAATTTCAGTAGGGACAATTCCCCCCCCCCCCACAAGACCCTATGTAGGTCCGTCCTTGGACAGCATGAAACTCACGCTTTGACTCTTCTTGAGCAATATATCCCCAATGATTGATTTGAGTCACTTAAAAAGGAGACAACTCTCTCATTTTCTATGTATAAATTCTCATTTTCTCTTTTTTCAACATTGCAACTTGATACTCTTAAGATGTACATAAAGTTTTGTTAGTTAAAGTGTTCAATTCCACATGATATGAAATTTTATTGAAATTGCTTTATTATAAATAAATTAAAATTTTTTAGTTGAATAAATAATTAAGCCACCAAATTTATTATTTAATAATTAATAATAGATTTTTATTGAAGTGTGTGATCAGTGCCTATGGAAGGGAAAGTAACATTAAATTAGCCATAATTAATGCAAATTAATAATTACCTGCATATGCATGGTAAAAAGAGTTTGATTATGATAAAATTTTATTTTATTTTATTTTTGAATAAAATAGAAGCATGGTAGAACATGGTTCCCTTAAATGATTCTGACAAATCAAGCAAGAATACGATGCAAAGACAAAAAGCAAGTAATTAATGATAAAAAGAAACAAGAAAAACAAAAGATTAATAAAATAAATCTCAAGCTGGAAATTTGAATTGATGCTATGCTAGCTGTTCTTGATCCTAACTTATACTCAAAGAATAAGCTTTAGCTTTTTGTCATGTCAGATATATACTTATATATATATATATATGCTTTTGGTATTAATGTTACTTACACTTTTGTAATTTGAGAATCCATAAAGTTAGTCATGAAGGGTATGGAATTAGGGTTTTTGTTTAATTTGAAGATGGATAATTAAATTTATGGAATGAAGTTATCTATTTTTTCATCACTTAATTAAATTTGTTATAGTATTTTTGTATAAAAGAGGTCGTAACTTGAAAATAAAAGAAGGAGTTGCAAGTATTATTTTTTAAGAAAGATTGCATGAATAAATTAAGTTAAATTTTAAATTTAATTTGTTACGACTTTTTAAATAACTATAAATACATATAGGTAATAAGCAATTGGTATTTATCACCTCCATTTCTATATAATTAAAGTTAATATTTGCTCATGATAGGTGGTGTCTGTTGTTTGCACATATTTAAGTAAATAATTTTTTTTAATCAAAATTTATGCAAAACTTAAAAACATAAACTGGGGGTGGAGCCAAAAATTAAAGCTAGAGAGGCCAATATATATTAAGTTTACTTTTTTTCTTTTAGTAAGAATTAAATTAAGAAAAATATATAAAATAATGATTTGTTATTATTTAATTATTTATATATATTCTAAAATAAATAAATTAGTTAAAATTTTATTTTTGAAAAAAATCAAATAAAGCCATGTAAAAACAATATTTAAAATGCTGTTAAAAAGTCAAAAAAATTATATACTGTTAAAAGTTTTAAAAAAATGTATATTTGAATATATAGAAAAGTACTTAAGAATTTGTTTTGATATAAAGAAAACAATCCTAAATGAAAAACTTTGAAAACTTTAATTACAAAATAAAAAATTAAGAAAATCTGAGGATCAAGTATAGAATTAATAAGCAATTAAAGGAGCATTTAATGGATTAAATAATAATTTAAAAACTATCAGGGTGCCTGGTGAAGGTTTACAAGAAAATGAAAGAAATCTTCATGGGTGAAAGAAAAAAAAGTATTTTCAAAACTGTTTTGGTTATGAGTTTTATAACATTTAAAAAGGTGACAAATATGAAAATTCAAATATCAACAATTACAATTTTTTTAAAATCTTCAATTCATTCTTAATATAATATAATATATATTTATATATATTAGAAAAAGTAAATATAGTTGTTTGGATCTAAGCAAAATATCACTAATTTGAACATTATAAATTTAATTCATATCTTAATTGATAGAATGTATTGTTCTACTTTAACTATATACTCATTTTTAATTAAATAACTAACTTTTTCTTAAATTTTCTATTAGTTTATAATAACTTTAGATGAAGTCAAAAAAATTTAAGTTAATAACAAGAAAAAAAAAGTAATAATTAAGCCAAATCCTAATACTTTTGTTTATACAATACAATTAATTTATACAATTAATTTATACAGTCACTCACTCTTGACAATCAACAAATTTGGTTTATATAATACTTTTGTTGTCAGTTTCTTTTGGCATGTGTTAACTAAATAAATTAAACATACAAACATCGATAATATTATTGAAAAGTAATCATCTAATTAAATTACAATACTTTATGGTTATTCAAATGCTTAAAGATTTCATAAACCAAAAAAAAGTATAAACATCCAATCTAAAAAAACAAATGCTTGCAATGAAAATGAAAGATTTTAAATATAATATTTAATTTGATTGATTCATGTAGCTACAATTAATATCGATAATTTAAAATTCAAATCTTAATCGAACTAAGGATTTTGCACTACTCCACATATCTTTACTCATCAAAAATCTACATTTCAGTTTCATTATATTGTTATGAGTCAAATAATTGATGGAATTTTTTTTTTTATAAAAAAGATAAAGTTAACCCTTTTTCTTTTAAATAGATGATGTCACTTATTTGATGACGTCATAAATTAATCTGATTAGTTTTGTAATGCAGATACGTATAGGGACATATATATGATCTTATTCTTAGTATATACTGTACCTGGATAGAGAGTGCCTTGAGCCATCTTTTTGTACTGATCCAGTGATGCTGACACTTGAGTTGTTATATAAGTATGTTTGCAGCATTATCGGAGTCCCCACTCCAAACCTAATTCAAAAACACCAACTCTGCTTATCCACTCTTCATCAGCCACCTTCATCTTCACCTTCGGCTTCACCCTCACCTTTCTAGCTAAGAAATGGATGAAAGTCCATCCAAACCTTCTATTGCTACTACTAGTTACTTCTCATCCATGTCGACGGAGCGGTCACAACAGATTCTGATGACCGCTACGTCCCTTCAACTGATAGCCGATCTCATTGAGAGCATTTTCCGAAACGCTACTGCTGCTGCGGCTGCTGCTGCGGCTGCTGCTGCGATGGTACTTCCCCCTACTAATTAATTTGCCTACTTTGCTCTTTGATCAAACAATTCATTACTTCTCTAAAACTGTTTGTTATTCGTACTGTCTTGCAGGATAGTGATCAGTATGCAAAGTTAAACGAGAAGATCAGCAGCCTCGTCAGTGTTGATTATCACATGCGTCAGGCATTGGATGATATCCGAAGTATCGCCTGTGAGGTTGTTGCCTCAAAATACACACTTAAACTATCCACTCACAGACACACATATATAAATAAATATAATATATATAAAGAGAACACTGAAAATGGTCAATGTTTGAAAACTTATACTAGAGAGGAAGGGCAAAGCAAAAAAAAAAAGTGGGTTAATTAACTGTAAAAAATCAATATTATATGTATGAAGTAGTAATTTTTTTGTGATTTTCTTAAATTGATTCCAGTAAGAATTTAAATAAAATTAAAAGATATGTGGTTAATAAGTAAATTTTCATTTATTTTTATAATTACAATGAGTAATATGTTTTAAAAGACTTTATATTTTGTACTAACAAATATAACCATAATAAGAATATATAGTCAAATTTGGAAATTTGACATTGCATTCAAATATAATCATTAATTTTATACTACAAAGATTAATTAATTTTTAATTTTTACTTATTCAAAAATATTATTTACTTCTGCATCGAACGACATCTATAGTTTTTCTTTTACTTGATAAAATTTTATGATTGTGGCTGCATCGATCAACATATATTGCAGATGTCATGCAATGTGTCAGCAGTAAATGTGGATGCAACCACAACGGCGCTGCTCCGAAGGCTTGAAAATTATTCATGGAACGCCAAAGTGGTACTAGCCATGGCAGCTTTTGCCTCCAGTATTGGGGAGCTGTCGATGGTCGTCAAGCACCGCAACACTGATCCGGTCGCCAAGTCAGTGGAAATCCTGAAGGGTCACTCCCCTGCACTTGATTTTACAGTGCTTGAAAGCCTTTTCAGGGCCATTATGGAAGTGGTGAAAACCAATTTGGCCTTCTTGAACCCAAATATTTCAAAGATCCCAAAAGAGTCACCGTCGATGGTGGATGCCATGCCTTATTTCCCCATTGCTACAAACAAGATCCTTCGCATTGTAATACAAGTTGTAAGCATTTTAAACAAACCACAGTAAGCCCTTCATCCTCAATATAGCTACATCCATCGTGTCCAATTCCAACTTATTTTTTTAGTATCCATTTATAATATATAAAAAATTCTCAATAAATTAATAATTTTATTGACTAAAATGATATTCAAGAAAACATTTTGGAGTATCAAAAGGATTTTTTTTTCAATCTTTGAAAATATTCATAAATACTTTATTTCATTCTGTGGATCGGTTTTTAAATTTATTTACATAAATATAAAATAAATAAATTTTTTCTTTGATTTCAGGGTCAATATTGACTTAATACGGCAGTTGGCAGCAGAAGTTGGCGATATAAATACTATCCTTCAACAGAAATTATTAGTTTGCCAAAGGGAAGCTGGTAAGCCTTATATATCATTACGTTCGAAATAAAAAATACGCCCAAACAAAGTCTAAGTATATCTTTAACCATATTATGTACTTTTGATATATATAATTAATTTTTTTAGTCTTAATAACAGCATGATAGGGTGAATCAGACTTATAAATTTGATATATATATATATATATTAATAAATATAGCATTAATAGTAAAGGTTTAATAAAATATAATAGTTTTTTTTTTCAATCATATTTTGAATCTATAGTAGTTTAGCAATGGTTCGTACAATTTTTCTTAAATCAAATAATATTTAACAAATTAGAAATTCAAATTTTACTTATAACTTTTTTTTTAATTTTTAGATTGTAGTTTTTTTATAAAAAAAATTATGATTATTTTAATATAATTAAATTTTACGTTATGTACATCTATATCTTAGACAATTTTTTGTTATTTGTTAAAATTTATAAAAGAAATCGTAGTTAAAAAATAAAGGAAAGAGTTATAAGTATTGAATTCAAACTTCAGATTTGTCGAAAGTCATTTTTTAAAATTGATTGTATGATTTAATTTTAAATTTTTTTAATATTTTGATTTCCGTAATTAATTTTCTTAAATTAACTCGTATGCAAGCATGAGGTTGTTGATAAAATATTTGTTATAGCAAAAAATTTGACAACTGAACTGATCACCAGGTGATGCAGCAAAAGCCAAACCCTACCAGTACGAAGACTTTCCCAAACCTATTGCTAAACTTCGCATTTCGGAAGCTATCGATAAAATTTGGAGTTACATGAAGAGTGAGGTTAGTTCAATTAGACTGCTTATTTCCATTGCAATTAAAATTCGATTGTTGAAGATTGATTTATGTCTTTCTTTCTGGTACAAATAAAACAGGTTCCTGAAAACATGAGAAACAGGCATGTGTTGTTGCTCATATCAGATCTTGACATATCCATCGAAGAGATTAAGGTTCTTAACTGGCTGTACCAAAAGAATGATCAGATGTATGCCATCGTGTGGCTCCCAATCGTGAACCTCTCAACGTATGATACCGAACGGTTTAAGGAACTGAAACAACTGATGAAATGGAGTGTGGTGGAACCCTCCAGAATTGAACTGGATGTCGTTGAGTTCATCAAGAAGGAGTGGAGTTTTATAAAGAAGACAATTGCCGTGTCAGTGAATCCAGGAGGAGAAGTGACATGTCAAAATGCTCTCCCTATGTTATGGACATGGGGTAATTTGGCCTTCCCTTTCACTGATAAAACAGAACAGGAGCTGTGGAATAAAATAGATGAGCAAAATGGTTGGAGCCTTGACCTGCTGCTTAATGAGCATATCGTTCCTGAAATACGGTCATGGGTACATTCGTAATCTCTTATCTGTTTCTCATTCGTAAGCATTTTTTTTATTATTACATTGTTCGCTGTACGGAGAAAAATTTACAGATATTGCAATTTAAACTCAAGACTTACCGGATGCCGTCTCTTAATGAATGACCACATAAACCAATAAAACTAAATCTAGAATTTAAGTATTAATTAGGTGTTGCCTTTCGGATGCTTAAATCACTACTCTGTTCCTTGATTTATCAGATAGAGAGTCGGAGTACTTTCGTATGCTTGTTTGGTGGTGGAGATATGTCATGGATTCAGGAATTTACAGAGAAAGTAAAATATGCTGCATACGCTGCCGGTGTTTCCTTGAAACTGGTTTACGTGGGGAAGAACAAAGGCAAAGGGCTAGCAAGGAACGAGCTCAGTCGAGAAATTAAAGTTATTGAATCTGAATTTCAGTGGCAGTTTTGGACCCGACTGGAGAGCATATTGTACGCAAAAATCCGACATGGCAAGACGGTCACTACTTACAAAACTGATCGGGTAATGCAGGAGGCCTTGAAAGTAGTTGGCTATGGTGGGAGTGACGAAGCGTGGGCCATGTTCTCAATGGGACCAGGTGCGATGGTGACAACCAACGGAGAAATGGCTCTAACCATCATGTCAAACTACCAAAATTGGAGACAGGACACAACAGGGCTTCGTTTCCTTGAGGGAATAAAAAGTTACAAGGATGCAATATCTCTGAATGTCCATGGCTGCATCAACGTTCACCTGCCTGTTCTGGGTCAGATTCCAGGGACAATGATCTGCCCTGAGTGTTCCAAAACAATGGAGATGTTTTACACTTATCGCTGCTGTGCTGAGTAACGAATTAGCCAATGAACCATGTTTGAGAATTTGATAAATAAATGTTTTTAGCCCTACTGATAGCACGGGCTTAGTCCGAGGTTACTGCAATATTTCTAAGGTTACTATTATGTTACTACTATGTTACTACGTTATTTCTATGTAATAAAATAATATCCATGGGATGCCACTTCTTCATCAACTTTGGCTGGTGAAGAGTCCAGGATTAGTTTAATTTCTCTCGTAATATCTGCCTTATATTTACCTTCCTCTTTATCAAATTTCAGTTAGGAAACAGAAAATGGAGATACTCTTGTTGTCTGCTTGAGTTTGTGACAGCTAGTTCTTGACCACGGCAAAGTGTTGACTACCCTTTTTTTTTTTTTGAAGAAAAATACATCAATCCGATCTTCATCAACAAACGGAACTTTGCCACGTGGCGTTGATTCAAGGAACCTCCAAACGGTGTGCCTTTTTCATTGAGGTTGAGGGCTTGGGGCAAGTAGCATGAAAGGGCAGCATCATCCGTGTATGCTTCCTCTTTGCCACTGACTCACACTCGCCACAGAACAAAAGAAAAGTGCATCTGCAGAACCCAAACTCTCTCTCCCTGTCTCTCTCTCTTCAAAAAGTCCATACTCCATACCCCAAAAAAGAATCCCATTCAAGATGCACTCAATTTAGCATCACCAGAAAAGAAGCTATTCAAAAGGACAATTCTTTTTCATTTATGATTTAAACCAAAATATTACTACTATTCCTTTTTTACAAACCCAACCAAAAAAATTAAGAAGATAATCAATACCCATTACATTTCCCTTTTTCCTTTTCTTTTACTACCTGTTCAACAAATCACAAAAAATAAAAATCCACTCCACCAAACATGAAATCTGCTGATAGGGCCACTTTTTTTCTCCTGTTTCTCTTCTTTTCAGCTTATGTCTTCAATTACAATGAAGCTACAACCATGGCCCAAGTAAGTCAAAAACCTTGCTTTGAATGCATAGATCCCTCTGCTTTCCATGTCCAAGATTTGAACTTTTTGTCTATTCTTATGGGTTTAAGTTGGTTTCTTGATTTGAAGGTAAGTGGGTCTTCAGAAATGGTTCCATTCGCGGAAGAAAAGATGGTGAAGATGATGATGTTTAATGAAAAAAGAAGAAAGTTGGGTAGTTTCCAGATATGTGCTGTCTGTACATGCTGTGGTGGAGCTAAAGGTGTTTGCTTGCCATCTCCTTGTTGCTATGCAATCAATTGCAACATTCCAAACAGACCTTTTGGTTTTTGCTCTTTCACTCCCAAGACCTGTAATTGCTTCGGATGCCATCTCTAGTTTAAAGTTTTATTTTATCTATATTTGATAATTTTGGTTTGTTTTAATTCTGGAGTAAAAAAAGTCTTGATTCTGTTGGGAGTGTGAAAGGGGAGGAAAAGAATATCTGTTTGCTTCATTTGTTTGATTATAAATTTTATAGGGGGGTTGTTGTTTCCAGGTTAGTTTTTTTGGCTCTCCGGTGGTATTTGTCTATAATTTTTGTTTTTCAAGGAAGTAGCATTGCGTGGAAATAGATATGCTAAGCATTAGAGCAAAAGAAATGGATAATTAAGTAAACATTGCCCTTGTTTATGAAGCTACTGGTCTTCTAATAATGTCATTTTCCTTTTTTTTAGGATATAAATTAATGTTAGTGTCAGTAGGTTGGAAGTGTTACTCATGAGAAAGATTCAAGATGTCTGTTATTTTACTATTATTTTGTTTGCCTTTTTAATTTATATGCTTAATGTATTACTGGGGTTTTATGCAGAACGCAACTTAGAACAATGTAAGAGACTCTTATTTTAATATCAATTTGTTTTTGGACAGTGTTTGTTTATCTTAATCCTGTTTTTTTAATTGTACTAATGTTTCTGCTGCTTCAATTATGCTTCAGACTTGATCTTGCACTGTATCTTAAGTCAGAATAGTTCAATAAATAAATAAATAATCTAGCTGATGGTGCTCAAGGGAAATTGAATTGCTAGAACTATGTAGTTTGCCTTGATCTGCCCATCACATTTTGAAGTATTTTCAAATTACATTTTTAACACTTAGCTACGTGACTCTGGAATGCTGCCTCTTTTTCCAGTGGTGCCAGGGAAAAGAAAATCCGGGTTGGCTTGTAATGTTGTGCCAATATCCGGCAGGTCATACTTTGATTTGGATGGTCCAATTATTTGAATAGTGAGGCATCTGGGGAGAGAGAGGGTGTTATGAGATGAATTACCTTAAAAAGATGATGTTTTGTAGGTAGAAATGCCCTAAATAGCTGAGATTTAAGTGTTGGTGACTCTGGTGGATAAGAGAGATGTGTTGATATTAATGCATGTTGGTGTAGCCAGCAGAAATATTAAGAGGGTGGAAGTTCGATACAATTTTAAGGTGGTGTTGTTAATATTTCAAGAGCCATTAATGTGTTTCTCTGCATTTTATGTCTATTTTTCCATAGATTATAATGCATCTTTTTTATTTTCTCTTATAAAACATGAAATCATCATTAGAATTTTGTAGTTTTTGTGAGTGACTTTTTTTTTTTTTTTGAAAAAAAAAGAACTATTGTTGAGGGATTTAGGCTTGGTGGCTGGGTTTAGAGCCACATTTTTGTATTTGATGTCTTGAGAAGAGTGTTTTGGGAATCTCATTGACCTTAGATGATGGCAATTTGCAACAACCCATGCGCTGCTTAAACAACTTATAACAATCAAATGGGTTGGCAATTTTAACATGGCCTTATAAAATACTAGTTTTTTTTGTACATAGGAGGCCACAGCTTGGGAATAGGGAAAGGCAGGTGCTGGAATTCGAACTTCAGACTTGTTGGATGCCTCCTCTTAAGGGTGGCTACATAAATCAATTAGGTTAAGTTCCAGGTTCTAAAATACTAGTTCTTACATACATATTTGGTTGAGATCAGGGTTAATGAGAATGCAACTCTGAAATCTCTTTGCTTGCTATGTTTTGTTATCTCCTATCCTGTTTTATTTCATTTTCAAGTCATAGCTTTGCTTTTTGTCCATTTTTTTTCTTGTTCTGGACAAAATGATGATTTGTTGATTTAATAAGAAAAGCTTGCTTATGAAAAGGTTTTGATTTAGGCTGTATTCGTTTAGGTCACATGATGTGATTACTGATTAGTTGTAACTTGTATAGGATCCACCATAATGACTCAAGAAATGTAGCTGCAAAACTGAACAACAAAAAGACCAACAGCAACAAGTATATTAAAAAAATTATAATAAAAACTATTTAGTGGTTTTATTTATTTTGGTACGTAAAAATTTTGAGCTAAACAATGTGAGATAGTCTTTTCTTCTCTAGTTCTATAAATCTCAGTCTATGTAACTCAGAATTCGAACCGAGACCTGTCTCAAGTTCAACCCCTGCAATGAAATGCTGGTTGAATTTTTTGTGCAGAAATAGTTTGGACCCAATGGTTGCTGGAAATACACCCTCTCTCTCTCTCTTCCCTAACTAAATAGTTGCCAGTGCTACCACTTTTTCAGACAAGCCTGTCATGCTTTTGACTCCATTACTATTTCTTTCTTCCAACTAGTTTGGCACGGCCCTGGTAACCTATGCTATACAGCAAATTGGTCCCCTCTCTTTCGATTTTGATTTGATTTTCATGTTGGTTTTAACCTGAAAGCAAAGCAGGATGTATCATGAATCATATCACCCAATTGCTCTGCCAACTTGCTTGGTAGCCAATCCGATATGGTAAAGGCTTCTTTTGACAAAATGTACATGATTACTGTCCTTGAGAACATCTGTTGATTATGCAAATTATGGTTTCTTGACTTTCACGTTCCCCAACATCCATGATAAGTGTTCTTTACTTTCGGCTTCTACTTTTTCCTCAGCTCAATCGGATTTTTTTTTTTTCAATCATACGAAATCAAAGATATTTTGAATGCATAAAAGCATCCTGTCACATTCTGACTTGTTTCAACTTAGCTCTGATTCTGTAGTTTTAACGTTGTTGTACAAACCAAGTCAAATTAGGTAACTACTGTTTTTTGACGTTGTCATTGCATTTGGAGATTGCAATATATAATAATCGCAACCATAAAAGATTTTTTTTTTTTTTTTGGTAATTGAGAACGTACAATTGAAATTTTTTATTTTGTTAGTGCAAAAAGGTTCTTTGATTTAGTTTAAGTGAATTTCGGATAAATATGGAGTTGAGTTTGAAATTTTTTTTGTATTAATTTAATTTGATTCGATTACATTTTTAATTTAATCTAAGAGTCTAATACTTTACAAATAAATCTTGCGATTGTTTGCATTCATATAATAATTATACTCAAAATAATGAAGCTGCAGATTACGTATGCTGTCCAAATATTGGTGACTGTATAATTGCTATTAACTGCTGCATTGCTTGTTACAATGAAGACTTTTAGATTGTTGAATCTGTGAAAGAAATGCCAGCTGCTGATGAAAGAAAAAAGTGTAAAGAAAATTTGTTATGGTTAGATCAGTGACTGCAAAAATATATAAACAAATTTTGTTATAGTCTGTTTGGCATTGCAATTAATCAGCGCTTAATCACAATCTGAAAATTTAATCGCAAGCATAATATCAAACAACATAAATAATTTCAATTAAAAATTTCAATTGCAACTCTTGATTACGGTCTCGAAATTCAATTGCAAACGCAATATCAAACAATATAAAAATTTGCAATTTATTTATAAAAAAAACAAATTAAAAAATCGTGAATTTGTGTTGAAATTAAAAAGTAAATAAAGATTTGCAATTAAATCACAAATGCAATGCCAAATTGACCCTTAATCTGTTTGAGTGTCTCCAAGCACTCCATAGTGAATTAATGATTAATACTTGAAAGGAAAATGGAATTAACTTTTGTAATTAAATGATGCTTTCTTTATTTTCATGATAAAGAAAAAAAAAATCAAAAGTTTCCTTTTTTTTTTTTTTTAATCTTCATGTAGGCTTTTGCTGGGCGTTTTTTGTGTGGGTTCAAACTGGGCGTATGGCCGCTTGTATCTGTGGCTTGTTTGGATATTGTGGGCTGTGTTTAATGGGCTCCTTCCTTTTTGCACCGGCTTCCATCTTTTGAGCCTGGAAATTTTTTGGCCCCCAAAGATGCTTGGTTTTTTGGTAGTTGCCTTGGATTTGGCCGACAGAAATAATCAAGACAAGCCACAGGTACAAAAGAAATAACCGAAGTACAAATGCACCAAAAGAAATGATCCAACGAGAAAGAATTTTACGAAACAATTATATTATATTAATATTATTTTTTTTTCATAAAAAATCAATTATGAAACCTTTGAGATTATTACAAAAGATTTTTTTTTTAAGTATTATATTATGATCTAATATTGAATTTTTTTATATATTTTAATTTTATTGAATTTAGCTCTTGTACTTTTAATTTTATTAATTTTTTATAAAAATAATAAAATTCCAATATTTCATGAAATTTTTATTAAGGTAAATGGCAGAGTCATTTTAATTTTAGTTTCATCGATTTTGGACAAAAAATAAGAAAATTGAAATATTATTTTAATACAAACAAATTTCTTTGACTTTCGTTATTTATATTTAAAAAACAACAAAATAAAAAATACGATGATAAAATTCAACGAAGTTAGAATGCAATAATAAATTTTAATATTGATCAACATAACATTGACAAATTTGATCCTAATTTTTTTTTTCTTTTCATGAAAGTTCCATAGGGTTGCAGGGATACAAGGATTTTCGAGCAGTAGAGTAAACACTAATTGTGGTAAATGTGACAGAAATTTACCTCCAACCCAAAAAAAAAAAGCTGAACACAAAGTCCTCAGGATTGCAAGTGACTCGTTAAACAGCAGGATTAGTCACATAGCCTTCTCATGATTAATACTACCATTGTTTCTCCTTTTTCAGAAATAAAGTGATTCCAGGACACCATTTGTACCCTAGCATTGCTTATTACCTAGATTTTTTTTTTTTTATAAACTAATAATTTGGTAAATTTAAAAAAAAGAAAAAAAAAACCAAAGTGCCCTTGATCCTCCCACATAATTTCCTCCCCATTCATCAAAAAAAAAAAAATTTCTAGATTAACGTACAAATTCTAAAATTGCATAATAGGCGACTAACACCGGTAAGGACACAATGGTGCCAAAGATCACCCTGCAAAAACAAAAATCACAAACATAGGTAATGCATCATCTTCTAATATTTCATATTAATTCGCCAATAGATGTCCAACCATTCACAATTACAAGTTTTGTTCATAATTTTTTTAATATATATAGATATGGGAATTTTTTAGATTGTGAGTTCTTGGATTGTTTCGGCCTCAAAAATTGTCAAATGTTTAGTGTTTCTCCAAATATTAAATGCCATTATATTATTAATATGCAACAGTTGAATTTGTTATTTGAAAAAATAATGGATTAAATTTGAAAGGCTAAAATATTAAAGAAAAGTCTGTATTCTCACAAATTTTTAGATAAATCTTTATTTTTTTTATAGTAATTAATTGGGCCCTTAAATTATTTTTTATTTAATTAATCTTTTATTTAATTTGAAAGGTGTATCTGAGTTCTTACGCAGTGCTAAGTACTTCTGCATGAATTCCATATTCCTTGGCGAAGATGAAGGAGGTAATGGATTGTGGCAATGCTGCCTGCAAAAAAATTCACATCACGAAGAATTAAATTTAATTTCTATGTCTACTTTACATAAAATGTAAAGAAGAAAATTAACTTATATATATTGTTTTGGACGGAAAGCTCTTATTTTTTTTTTTGTGTTCTCAAGTAGCGTCACAACATCACAAGAATAAATTCAAATTAAAGAAACCTAAACATTTATTTTCATTAAATTAAAATTTTGATTGAATAAAAATGAATATTGTCAATTAATTAATTTTTATCTAATAAAAAATTTAATAAATAAAAATAGATGTATAAATATTTAATTAATTAAATAAAATGATAATTATTTAAAATTATTTAATTTTAATTCAAAGTTTTTTTTTATGTATTTATACTAAAATATTATTATATTTATTCAGATGAGCAAAGGTGTAAGTGCAAAGCAAACATTGAATAAAGAAAAGAAAGAATGACCTGAATGATGGCGATACGCAAAACATCAGCATGCAAACCCATCGCAATAGCCCCAATAGCCATGGCCCCTGGTCCAACTATGAACCTCAATACCATCCCAAATATAGTCAAACTTGTGCCACAGGCTATTATTTTTTCTTGCCGAGCCATGAAGGTTCCTGCATATATGAAAAACATAAATGATAAAGAGTCACAATGTATAGTAGTTCGACTTGAGGTATCTAGTTTTTTTTTTTTTTTTTTTTTTTTACATTTAAAGCTTAAATTACAAAAAATTATTTATTTTAAAGTAAATTTGTATTTAAAGAGTTTATATATTTCACTGAGAGGAATCTATACGTAACTCTATATATGATTTGTCAATTAATTATTTATAATCAATTGGCTATTTGAAGTTTTCAAAAGTTATAATTCCAATAAAGTGATAATTTTTTTTTTTTAATTTTGGGATAAGAAGAATTTTTATTTAACTTTTTGAAAAGAGAATACATATTCATTATGTTTCAAGAGTACATGTTATGATGTATTCGGGATGCAGTATACTATTTTGTGCCAAACATATTGTTTTAGATATAATAATTTTAACATTACATAATGATATAATATAAAAATGATATAGAGTAATTTAAAATTTTAACAAAAATTATATATAAATTTAATACAAATTATATAATGAGTTGTATTTAACGTATTCATACGAATTATTATATAATAATTTTTATTTTTTACACTATTAGATACAAAATAACACACATACACATGAATTATCTATTCTACATAGCATCATCCATCCAAGCATACCTTAAGTAATATTTTACTATAATATACCAGGTATTAGTATGTATGTGAGTATATAGTCTCACCCATGCTAAACATGGCAGTGCCCGTTCCAGCCTTTGACATGATCAATATTGAACCCTCCATAATGGTTGGCATCTCAAAATGCCACCTATAAAATATATTCAAATGAAGGGAAAGCATGCTTTAAGAATTAACTATATCCAAATTAAAACATAGTAATAGTATATATTTTGGAATAATAATCCCAAACATTGATAAAACCCAAATATTAACTCCAACCTGTTTGCAACAAAAGCCCAAGTAAGACCGATAACGCAAGCATATATGTTAGGATTCATACACAGTTTCATCCCCACAACCTTCATCAGATACCAGAAAGAAGGCCTGCTGCATAAAACCCCAGCATCATCTGTGTTTCCTTCCACATCTTTCTCTTGTTCTCCATCATTTGTAGCTGAAGAAATGGAGACTCTTGACCTCCGAAATTCCAGAACAAATAGCAAAAACGTCATCCAGATAACGCCTTGAAGAACAGATGACTGGACAACAAGATCAACACCTGTTTGGCCGTACATGGCTTTCAACAAAGGCACCCCTACAACCAAAGTATTATTTAAAGTAGACAAAGAAAAACTTGTGATGGACCAGCAATAGCTTCCTTTGCTACTACAATTGGCCCAAAAGGCTAGAATCACCACAATAACAAGCTTGGATATCGTATCAGCGCCAACAAACCGATAATTCATTTCAAAAGGATCAATGTGGCTAGTGAATTCTACAGCAAAGAGAGGGAGAGTAAAATAGCAGACGAGGCGGTTTATAGCATCACACTGCTCTGGGTTGAATATCCCCCACCACTTAACTGAACCATATCCTAACATCAGTGCAACATAAAGAGGCACCATAGCCGCTACAACCTTGTAAACATCTTCCCACCCTATCATTTTTTCTTTGTTTTCTTTTTTTCCTCCAAAGTTATACTTAAAAACCCTTCAAAGAGAGGCTCTTCCCTGTCTTGATAGCTAAAGGGTGGGTTTTTGAGCAACAGAAGGAAACATGTTCAGCAAAGGATTGTATGGGGTGGTTTATTTATATGCATTTCATGCAAAGACAAAACTTAAATTTTCTTTTAGTTTTACAAATAATAAATATCTTAGAGATCACTGGTGTGTGTAATAAATGATTCTATACCATGGATTCTTGAAGTTGTATGTGACATAAGCTTTTTTTTTCTTCTCTGCGACTGTAGGTGCATTGAAGAAGAATGTCGCTTTCAACAAATAGGGTTTTGATGCTATGGTCAGCAATCTTTCTATAGAATAAGAAAAGAGGTCCAGCGATTATTCCACCTACCACTGCAAATAGAGTTTCTGATTTTGTTTGTTGTTTATTAATTTATTCTCATCAACATTATATACCAAAGTGGGAAATACAGTGATAGAGGCCAAATTAGATTGCACAAACTTTGTTTTTTTTTCTTGCTTTGTGTTAACCTGACATTGACATTTTACAGTATTAAATGTAATGACTACTTAAGTGATTTCTTAAGCCAATGGCTTTGATCTTAAATGGGAAAACTTGGAACATTGAAGCAAATAAAGGCATCACTAACTAAGCACTTCCAAAGTACCTTTTGTGGGGTTTTGGAAGCAAAATTTGGATTGAATTTTCCTCATGAAAGCCAATCATTCTGCTAGTTTTAAGCATCCATATTTCTCTACAACATTTGAGGTCGAACCTTAAAAGAACAGTATGACTATTTTGTATCAATGCTTTGAAAGATGCTTAGCTATCTTGAGTCACATGAGTGGGGTGATTTGGCTCTCCCATAGGTCCCATTGCATGAGAATTTCAAGCACTTGCTGCACGGGCGAAGCCAGGGCCCTGCCAACCCACTCTAGATTCGCTTCGCTGGTTAGAGCCTCATGGCACTTCCTCAATCCTCCACCACAGGGATAAGAATATAGAATGAGTTCCATTTTTGTTGATTATATCATATATGCTACCCAAAATCGGATCCTGTTAATTACAGATCATGCACTAGCTAGTTTGGTAATCTATGAACTAAAAGCCACTTGTTTTATTCCATGTTCATAAACAGTTGATGGAATGTGAAAAAAAAAAAAGCACTAAATTGTGGGAAGGAATTATATTTCAATCGTGCAGCTAGTTGATTTAGTTAATGGGGTTTATTCTCTTGTTGGATTGGATGGTTTATGTCTAATGCCTTTGTACAAGTGTTACTGATCTGGACTAATTCAAATTTTCCTGAATCAAGGGTCCTACTCCTACCTCAGATGCATGCATCACTATTTTCTCGAAGTGTGCTGCATTATACAGGCATATATAATAAGAAGAATTATTTATCTGTTTTTTTCTTCTTTTGCTTTAGAGGTGGGGTTTGTCATGTTTAATTCTTTTCTGTTTAGTCATTGTCATTTATAAAACCAGATTGCCTTTGTTATCATATTTATCAGTTTTGTCGAATCCAAAATGCTTGAGAATAGCATTCCTCTAATGGAAGATATTTCCCCTTTTTCCCCATTTAGGAGGCAATTTTACTTGTAGTAGAGAGAATTCAAGCAGAATTAGTTCAATTCATTCTTTTTCATCCATTCCTCTTGTCTACATGAGTAGTGGGGTTGAATTTTCTTATAAACATAAAATATTGTGTGTTGTTGCTTCCATAACTAGTTTTTCAACATGGTGGCAGCTTAATCATATGATTAGGTATGTTTGTTCCTAAAAAATTAAGGAAACAATGTGACAAGGTCAAATCCTACACAAAAATGGTGCAGTGTACAGTTTAAATAAAGAGCTAGGCGGCTTGTTATTTGTTTGGTAGCATACATGACTTCTTACATCAGATTAAGGTGGCTGGGTCATAGCACACAAAGATTTCCATCAACAGCAGACAGTCTAAAACTTTCATCTGCAGAGAGTAAAGTTGAAATGGATTACTAGTTGAAGACCAAATTCCACATTGGGTGGTTCTGGAACTAATCGCTCGTGTCAAAAGACGAAAAAAAGAATGTGAAAATTGCCTCTGACTTAGACATATATTTTAGTGTAAGAGATGCCAGGCAGTCCACTTTGAGGAACAGAATGCTTCCAAGAAAGGGAAAGTGGAAGATCCCATTTGGCAATTCCAAAACCCATATCAGATGGTGGGACGATGCAATCAGAGTTGAACTCACATTCAAATAATTCGATTTTCATCGAATTGAATTTATTTTTATATTCGATTTAAATAATTTATAAATTTAATTAAATTTTATATTTTAATTATTTTAATTAATAAAATATCTTAAATTCAAATACAAATACCTACAATGAATTAGATTAATAAAAGAAATGATAAAAAAAAATAGTTTTTCTTCTATTCTCTTTCATTCATTCATTCATTCCTTCTTTCCTCTTACCAAACACAGCATTAATGGAACTCTCCTAACATTTTCCATTAAGAGGAATCTAATCTCGTTAAAGTGGTGGATAGTGATTGAGATGTAATTAAAGAGAGTATCCAAATGACAAGAATCAAAGGACATCACTATTTTTTATGCCCTAAAAAATAGTGAAGAGAAATGTAGTGTAATATCCCTCCAGCTCATCGTGTAAGCTCCGCGTAATTATATATGAGCTAGACATGTGAAGTCATTTTCAGTCAAATTATATATATACGATAATCTCTTCTTAGATTTTAAGGGCACTGTTAAGGAAGCATACTATCTACTACTGAATGTGGCTGTAACCACTGAATAATTATATTTTGGTGGAGGATAAAGGATCATATACATGTATTCGAAAACGGGATTCATTTACGCTAATATAATTTTTTTTATCAATATTAGATCAAAATTATTATTATTGTTATTTTGATAAAAAAATTTTAAAATAGATAAATTATTTAATCTTTTAAATCAAGATAAGATGTATCATATTCGAATAATTTATCTATAAATATCCAAGAATTAAATTATTTATTAATTATACAGAAAAATATTCAAGAATTGAATCATCCGTCCAAACTTATAAATTCGGTCAGATCCAAGTGTATTATTATATTACTCCTTCTGTCGCATTTTATATATCCGTTATTGAATTTTTTTGGTCAAACGAAGACCATTATTTTATAAAATTTTATATTAAATTAAAATTTTTTATAAATAGGTTTTGAAAATTTTGAATCACAAACTTTACAAATCTTATTTTTAAAATTTTTTTTGATTTTATGATTTTAATAAAAATGATGGTCAAAATTGAATTGGTTTGATAAAAGAAGTTAATAGGGGACATAAAAGGCAGGACAGAGGGAGTAATAAATAGTATTTTTTAATTTTAATTCTGATTCAACTTGATTTTATTTTAATTTGATTGACAAATCAATTAAGAATTTATTTTGGATTGGATCTAACTGAAATAGCATTCTCTTTCACCTTAATAAAATAATGAAAAATAAAAGGGGAAGAAAGAAGGAAAACAAAAAGAAAAAAAAGAACTAAATTGATTACCAAAAAGATTAAAAAATAAATAAATAAAGAAGGTGATGAAAAGGAAAAAGTTTATTTGGGCCTTGGTCTCAAGCCTAACTTTCATGCCAGAGTTCATGGATTTGCCATCAATCCACAGAAAAAAATAAGGCCCAAGTTCATGATTGGTCTAATCTTTTTCGAATTGTATAAATTTGTTAAGATTTGCAGAAATTTTAAGATAACTGGTATACGAAATTAAAAATTAAAATTTAGTAATTTAAAATAAAATAATACAAAGATGGATTTTTCTGGCAGATTGAGATAAAATATTATATATATCTTATATTGAATTAGTAGCAAATCCCAAGTGTTAGTTCCAATCCCAAGAGGCAATACTGGAATTAATTTGTATAGCATTAACGTGGCTTTTATAAATATGTATTTTTTAAACAGAGAAAATATGTTTTTATCGTAAAAAAATTTTAAAAAAATATATCAAATATATTAATAGTAAAATTTTTAAATTTTAAAAACAAAATTAGTAAAACTATGTAACTTTTAAGATATATTTTAAAAAATAAATAAAAAAATAAAATATATATCTGTGTCAATTATTAATTTTACTTATAAAATTAAAAAAATTTCCTCATAAATGTATGAAATAAATTTAAAAAATAAAAACAAAATTTTTTAAGGTTAAAAAATGATTATAAAACTTTTTAATTTGACTTGTACTGTTCCAATATTAAGATAAGATTTTTTTTTTTTTAAGAGCACTATTTAAGTTTTATTGTTATTATTTAAATCAGTGGGTTTCTTTTTTTGTTGGATCAAATCAATATCACAAGCGTCCATCCCTCATCGACGAAACTATCAACTAAAGGCCAGATAGAAAATTCTCTCTCTAAGGAAGATTGACTGGTAAGTTACTCTGGCTGTCCAATGGAAACAAATAAATTGTGTGGCATTGGACTTTTTGGATAATAACAACGCACAGTTGTAAGTAAGAATCTGACAGCAACAACCCAAGTCGGAAACTGACTAAATTGTCGGAAGGTACAATCCCACATCCAGAAGACAAGACAAAAGCAATTGGTATTTAAGATAGAACTGATAGTTGCCAGATTACGACCTTACTTGAACAGGATCTGTTCTATAGGTTGTACCTCTGTATCCTTGAGTTCTAAGGAGACAGGATTCTAAGTCTGGTTGATGAACTGAGACTGTGTGATCAGAGCGTGATTAATTGTCAGGTGATTCCTGATTCGGATCACCATGACGCTTGAGGATCGTTCTCCGCCATCTTTGATTGGTTGGGATGGTCATGCAGTTGTCTGACAGACTACCCACTTTTTGGCCTAACGTTTTTCTGTACGCCATGTTTGAGAACGTTTTCATCATGTCAATATTGCTTAGAAAGTTCAAGAGATTTGATCAGTTAAATCTACCCAAGCTAACCTGAAAAATGTATTAGACAGCCCAAATTTGTTTGAAAACCAACATGATTCGAAGAATTAATAGGCTTATCGGTTGGGTCCCTGCAGCTTTTTTCGAATAAATTTTGGGGGATTTTGCCCCTACCACAAGGGATGGAATTGTAGAAGGCAACGAGCCCAGAGGTCCATTAACAGCCAACAACATCACGGGCATTGAATATTCACCGCGTCCAGAGACTTGAAAACAACCACAAAAATGAGGTTACTGAGAGATAGACAGATTGGTACAGCGTGAAAAAATCGTGAAATTGAGAAACAAATATAGACATTTCGAAGAATAGAGCGAATATCAAAATAACCAGAGACTCTAATCCTTTCTGCAGAAAGAAATCAGAAAGAAAAAGGATGGGGTTATAACATTACATAGTAAAGCCTATTCTAAAGTACACCCATCATGTTTCTTTTGCAGAAAATGACTATATCCCAAAAATCCTCAGAACATTTGTCCAGGTTTAATAATGAATTTACTACGATAACAAATTTCCAGTCGTAACATGCATGAGAATCGTGAGCAACTATGATTCACAGTTTTCACATCTTTTCATGAAAAGGGCAACACGAAATTATACAACACACTGATATATTTGTATAAACCCCATGCAAGCCCGAATCTCTCATCAACCTCATGGAGCGTAATATGCTGCATAAGAGGGCTAGAATGCTGCTAAAGGAAAATTAAAAAGAGTCACACACACACAGACATACACAATGGTAAAAGGAGGGGAATAGGGGGATTCAGCTTTGAATTTCTGAGCCAAGCTCTGTGATTGATCGAGTTGTGGGAATCACTGCAGCAGGTTGTTTGGTGACTGCAACCAAAATGTCAGCATAACCAACCACCCCAACTAAAACATCATCATTTTCATCTTCAGTCACCCAGACATGGGTTGCCCTATGAGATAGCATTTGAGCCATGACTGCAGCCAAGGAACTAGTAGTTTTACATGTCAAGGGTGCACTTCTGCCCCGATACATGCTCCTGCTAGCACCAAAACTTGGGCTCACTGGATTAAACCCAATGCTTCTACTACTGAATTTCCTTAGCCTTGGTGATCCAACACCATTGACTATTTTATTATCTTCAACTGGTGAATTAACAGAGAAGTCAGGGAGCAACCTTGAACTCACATTATCCTCAACCCCCATAACAAATTGTCCAGCTGAGAGGTTGGCTAAAGCCCATGCTGCAGCTAAATAATCACATTTCCGTAGTTTAGAGGCTGATATTTCTCCTAAAATTTTATGGTGACCATCTGGTGTGATCTCCACAACGGCAACTGCACTAGGATCACCTGGATGTTTTTGAGTTGCTTCTAAAGCTGGGACGGAGGCTTCAATAGAGCTATAGTCTAGGTTAATGGCTCCTAGTGAGGAAATAGAGGATAGGGGGAGTGGAGCTAGAGCACCAAGGCAACCAATGAGGAAACGGATGATGTCTTCTCTTGAGAGACAACAAAACTTGTCACATGTGTAGGTGGAGGTTGATGAAGAGGAAGGGGGGTTGGCATTAGCAATGAGGTTGTTGCTGCTACCATTTTCAATGTTCTTGAGCCATTTCCCATTATAAAGAATTGAGAATCTCTTGCTCATGCCTTTCCATACCTTGCTCTTGGGAACAAGAAGTCGCCTCACACCCTGCTTCATCATCTCCATTGCATCTATCAATCTAGTCCAAAAACAAAGAATTAACAATGCCATTAGAGAACATTAAGGGCAGCTGCAAATAGCAATAGGGAGTCTAAGCAGAAGAAGGGAGCATACGCAATGGTTTTTCTAATAAAACTGAAACCACTAAATTTCCTTGAGAAGCAATATGGACTTTCTTTTTTCCACAAATTTATTGCAATAAAAATGCCAATATGTCCTTACTACCAAGATTCCTTCACCTGTGACAAGAACTATAAGAAGAATATTTCCTCATACACAATTGAATGGCAAATCATAAATAAGAACAAAAATGCTTTTTTCCTCAAATGAACCACATTGTGTAATTGCAAATCCCCTCATATACTGAAGCATCCTTGACATTATTCGCCACATAAAAACTCTGAAAAAAGACATTAAACCAAACAATAATAACAATAGAAGAGCTCTCATAAATAACATTTGTCTGTTTAATAACTAATACTAACGATTACCTATTAAAGACAAGGAATTTTCTTATAAGAACCATTCAGTGAATAATCTGGCTAATTTAGATGGGGTGCCAACTTAGATACAGTGGGTTAAAATATTAATTCCAGTAATGATCATGCTTCAAGGTGGTGGAACAGCTTGAACCCAACACAAAATAAGCAGGTGTGGGATTTTCTCAGTGGGTTGGTGGCAAAATCTTGCAAACATGGTTATACCCAGTAACCTAAAAACAGACACAAAAGATGCAGCAAATACCTGGCATCCATTCTAACCACAAGATGCTAAACTCTAATCTCCAAATTGAAATAAAAGAAACGTTTTATGGTGTCTATTTTCACCAAATTGGATCTAGAAGAATTCTTCTTATTGCCTAATCAAAACATATTCCAATATTGGAACAGATTTTTATTCAGCTCAACTGCTCAATTCTATTTAAACAGGCCTTAATCAAAGCCATGTCTGTTAGGTACTAAAATAATCCTAAATAAGACTCATCAAGTCTGCATATACCTTAAGACCAACTTTGAGCAGAAGAAAGAGATGAATATCTTAAAAAATTTCTCCTACCAATGAACAGAAGTTCACTCTATTACATTTGAGGGGCTCTAATTTTCTTATACATCCACATAAATTTCACCCCAAAGAGTAGTAAGCAGAACAGAATAATCAATTTTCTATGATCATTAAACAAGTATGAACAACCCACTCAGACTCAAGATTGATAAACAAGCATAAATCTTTTTAATTTACCTACTGCTTAGTTCTTTGATTAACAATCAAAAGAAAGCAAAACTTGGTGGTAAAAATATATGATTCCTCAATCCCTGCTACCCGCTACTGAATGCAAGAACAGACTCATTCAACATGGTCATATAGGTAGTATTAAATAATAATTAATTAAGAAGAAGCAGAAGAAGAAGAAAAGGAAAGATAATGACAATGCCCGCTACTGCTTCAACCATTCAATAATAATGACCAATAGAAAACTGTTAGTTATAAGAAGAGAATGTCTACACTAATTTGAAACTACACCTGAAAATAGAATCATCCTTAAGCAATAGTTTCAATGTAGAGATGAGTCTAAATTTTGGTTATCTAAGGGTGTGTAAAAGGAAATGTTCCTAGCACAAGTTGCACAGCTGCTATTCAAGAGACAATGCTTCTTAAAAATAAGAAAAACATAAGCTTTATTTCGGAAAGGACCAGAAGTAGCAGCAGCAGTTCAACAAAATTGAAGTCCAAATTCCAAAAAATTAACAAATTGGACATGCCTTTTACTGGATTTATCGCAGCAGAAAGAAATGTGCACAAAAATCGGTAAGAAAGGGGAATATATGAAAAGCAAAAATGAAGATTAGTGCAGTTCAACCAAGTTAAGTCCATTTCCACAAAACTAACAAATCAGACATGTTGATTAATTTAAATCAGGAACATAATAGCATACTCCATGCTACATTAAACAAAAATCAGTAAGACAGCATAATATATGAAAAGCAAAAGTGAAGACCAGAAATAATAATGAAGATTGCATTCAAAACCTCAAAAGGACACCCTAAAACATTTACTATTTAATGCTCCAATCAGAAGAAAAGTGGATGTCAGTTTGAAAAGTACCACTGAATGGTTATTGTTTACTTGACTGGTATCTGTTTAGATCAGGAACATAATAGCATACTCCATGCTACATTAAACAAAATTCAGTAAGACAGCATAATATATGAAAAGCAAAAGTGAAGACCAGAAATAATAATGAAGATTGCATTCAAAACCTCAAAAGTACACCCTAAAACATTTACCATTTGATGCTCCAATCAGAAGAAAAGTGGATGTCGGTTTGAAAAGTACCACTGAATGGTTATTGTTTACTTGACTAGTATCTGTTTAGAAGGGAAACTAAGACCTAAACCTACACCTTCTTGACTTCTGTATTTTAGGGATTGGGTCCAAGTTCTGGGGCTTTTGTGCTTGTTTGAGATCCATGTAACTCTCTTGAAGTTTTCCTTATTCTATAATCATACAGGGAGTAAGGGAACATTAATTATACAATTTCAATCATACACAGAAATAATGTATCTGTTTTCAAGAAAAATGCAATGACTACTGAAGATATAAGGTTCTTGGTTTATATTATGATATGGACCTGTAAACCTATAGCAGACTTCGAGGAATGGAGTCAAAGAAAACCAGAGACAAAGTCACAAAATGACAAAGAGCTCCAGAGTTGCAATTCTTTATAGCAGTGCAAGAAAATATAGAAACACAACCTACTATTGGGCATATGATCACATATGCACAACAAGCTTCAAGATTTAGTCTTTGTGACCCAAACCCAAAAGTAATCCAACATAGACCAACATTTTATGAAGTAAATAATAAATATATATGAAATGTGCATAAAAATGCTTAAACACAGAGGAAAACAATGAGCCTTTACAATAAAGGTGACACAATGGAGGGGAAAGGGGCGGAGGACAATCAGAAAATCTTCACAAATATATTGATATAACCACCTGAGTCAATATGTAACCAAATATCGCTTTGGAAGCAAATCATGCAAGCTCGCATGAGGAAACACACAAAACACGATTCTAAGGACAAAAAATGGAATAGACTGTCATTTTCCGCCAGGACTAATTCTATGACCAACAAGAAACCATGACATAAAGCAAGCCAAAGGAAGGTGCATTGCATATCAACTTAATAGAAAGCAAATCCATACAACCAACGCTCAAGAACAAGAATGAGAATGAAAGAAAAAATAAGTATCCATCCACTTGAAACAAGAATACATTACTTTAACATAAAGTTCAGGTAATACTCAGGATTGGCCTAACAGTTGCAATCTCTTCTTATGAGGTTAAGGTCTTAGATCGACCCTCCCAAAAGGATAACAAGTTCCAATCGTTTTATGCTAACAGATAATAAAAGGGCAATGAGCCAACCTGGTGCCAGGATCAACAATCTTCAAGAGAGCATTATTAGGGACAACAACATCAGAAACTTGAGTTTTCATAGCTTTGTCCTGATCTTCCAAACATTGAGTTTTAGCTAAAAAGGAGACAATATCAAGTGAAGTTAGAATACCAACAAATCTCTGTTGTCTCATTTCGTTGTTTTCAATCATTCCCACATGAGATCTTCTCCTCCAAACTGGTATCCCACACTCTGCTGACTCTCCTATTGCTCTTATAGCTGATTCCACCGTCTCTGTTTCAGAGAATTCAACCAACTCTGGCTTCCCCACAGTCAGATCGCCGACCACATGGTACAAAAACACGGATCCCATTCCTTAAAATTTTCTGATCGTTTATCGAGAAAACTGAAAAAAAAATCAAATAAAGAAAATTCATTATTATGTCCAGAATCATTCATCCTGTTTCGATAAAGGGTACATTCGCTTTCAATTACCTCAAATCGCTTTTGCTTTATTCAATCCAAAGTTAAATATTTTCCTTCACTTTCCCACTTTTTCTAGCCAACCAAACGGAAAAATTACAACAACAAAAAAAAGATTTTTGACAAGAAGATACTGAGTTTTCTATGAAATTTATATAAGTTTAATTTACAAAACAAAAACCACCAAAAGGGTATTTTTCATTAAAGATCTGATTAACTCACCTTAGAAATGAAAGAAAAATCTGGGTTTTTCTTGAAACCGGGAGAACCGGTGAGGAGGAAGAGTTATAAAAGGGAATGAAGGAGAATAAGGAGGAGGTGAATGCCGGTTATAGGTAATCTAAAAAGGATCAAAAGAAAGCAAAGATTTGGTGCCATTGAAGAAGAAAGAAAGAAGCAGAGTTCTTGAAACAAAAGCCCATTAACGATGATCTCTCTCTCTACAACTCTTGACTGAATTGGTGTCGCAAAGAGCGTGAATTTTGGAGAAGAATTTCCTTTACTTGGTTTTTTTTTTTTTTTGGGTGTTTTGCGGAACAATGTGGATGAGATCGACAGAAATGAAATAAAATTTGGTGAATTATTGACGAAGGGGAAGGTGGCGCGGCCGGGTGGGCCTTCAGAAAGTTGGAACGACGTAAGCACTAGTAATAGCATGTGCTTATCACATTGAACGTAATAGTACTTATGATAACCAATCTTTTGGCGGACCAGCACAATTATCATAGAAAAGTTAAGGTTCATTTCAGAGACGGGTGAGATTAAAAATTTAGTTAATATAAAAATAAAAATAAAATTAATAATTAAACATGTGTGTGAATATAAAAATAATAATGTTGGTAAGGCGAATCGTAATAAAAATAAAAATAATTACTAAAAATATTAGATTTAAAATAATAATTTTAAATTATTTAATATTTTGTAAAATTAATAAATAATTACAAAATATTGAATTATTTTTTGTCAAATAATAAATAATTAAAAACTTAATTTTATCAAAAAATAAATTACTTAAAAACTTTTTAAGTAAAAAAGCTAAAGGTGAAACAATATATAAAATAAGAATATTGAAAACTTTAGGGCAGGTGAGAGCTAAAGGTGTAAAAATTTTTTTGATTGAGATCTATTATCTTGGGACTTCTAAATACATCATAAAATTTTTTTTTATATACCCTTAAAGTTTTGTTTCAAAAATATTTACATAGCAAATATCAATTTTAACTTATAATAAATGACAAAAATACTCTTTATAGTTTAGACACGCCAAAATTACCTTCGTAAATCTTAAAAATAAATTTTTAAAAATTATATTACATTTTAAAAATAAATTTTTAAGAGTCATATTGTAGTCTCAAAATTTATTTTTAAAAATACATAAATTTTTATTTAAATATATATTTAATTATAAACTCTTAATAACATTTAATTTTAATTTAAATAAAATAAATACATTTAATTTTAAAATAAATAAACTCGATGTGCTAAAATTTTTAAACATCTCTAATGATTTCTCCTATGCGTGGCTTAATTCTTATAATAAAGACTTATAATATTTAGGCCACTAATATCTTGGTGGTTGAAATATGCTAGTAGCCAAAAGATTAAATGTAATATCCCAGCCCAAATAATAATTAGGTTAGACTAATATTAAATCCCATCAGTTTATTAAAACATTATTTAGTAAAAGAAAAAGGACTAAAGTATTAGATGAAAGAAAATCTAACTATTGTGAAATAAAAAAAAATAGAGTTCTTCTTCCTCATATTCTTTAGGGTTAGAAAATATGAAAAATCAAGTTAAAAATTCACAATCAGAGGCTACAAGTAAGTTAATCCCTTAAAAGTGAGTACATGCCTTTTTTTTATTTAAAAAAACATATCAAGTTGATTGCTATTATTTGGAGTTGAAGTTTTGAGAGCAAAACCAAGAAAAATCATGAAATCTTTCATTAATCTTCATGATCTATTTCGATAAATTACTGGGCTTTGTTTATTTCACGTTCTTAAGATTTATTGATGATTATTGAATGGAGTTTGAAGGCTGAAAGTAAGGATTTGAGTTTTTAAAGATTGAAGGAGAAATTCTATTTTTGGATGAGATGTTGTGATCTTTAATAATGAATTAAAATAGAATTTTGTATTAATGGATAGATTATTGCTGTGATTATTATATATCATTGGAAAGCATTTTGAATCTAGTTTCTAATGAAACAAACAAAAGTCAAATTCGAGTTTTTTATGAAGAGTTGTCTAATTTTAACTTAAAGATATGCATGTTGTAAGACAGTAGCATCAGGGTTGAATTACGAAATAATTCTTAATTTGTATACAAGGATTTACAGATTAAGCCATATATGTTTGGAAAGCTTATTGAATCTACTTTCCAATGAAATAAGCGGAATTGAATTTGGAGTTTCCTATGAATAAATATATAATTTTTATTAGAAGATATACAGGCTATTTGGCAGTAGTATATGACGTGGATTTCAAAAATTGTTATAATTAATCTACAAGGAATTATAAAGTTTGCCATATATGGTTAGAAAGCTTATCAAGTCTAGTTTCTAACACATTAAAGAGATCATAATTCTGATTTAGATATATTGAGATATGACTGTTTTAATGAAAAGAGGTTAGGCTGCTAGTATTAATTAGTTAAGTTAATCATTTGTGTAACTTAGTTGATTTTTGTATAAATGGTCTAAAAATGGTTGATTAAATTCTGATATGTTGAAATGATCTTAGATAGGCTATTAATTATTTTGAGAAAAAAACTAAATGGTGGAATCGAATGAAAGTAAGTAGAATCTCATACACTTTGCTTGTTTTCGAAACTATGTATATATGTATGTTTCTAATTGAATGAATATTTTATTTCATTATTTTCAATGTATGAAAATAGGATCAAGCATATGATTATTTTGTGTTTCTTTATATAAACGATGGATCATGCTTATGAATGAAATGAGAAAATGGTTTATGTTTAAAGAATAATTTTATGATAGCTACGTTTTTACATCCCTGGGAAGTGGGATCATCGACACCGAAACTGGTTCTATGATCCTAGCTAACGAGTAATAGTAGTTAGCAAAGACATGATCATACGATCCTGGCTAACAGGTAATAGTAATTAGCATAAGGCCTTGGCTAGCGGGTTATAATAGTTAGCAATGATCATAAGGATGAAATTATCGATACGGTCAATGTCACGGGTTATAGCAGTGACTGTAGCTAATGATAAACCAATTATAATGATGATTTATGATTTACGATGATTTTTAATGATTGATCTATGATTTGGTTTGATTATAATATTTGAATGATAGCATATTTTGTAATGATTTATGAAGTGACATATTTTGACATTGATTTATGAATTTATGAAATATTTGACAAAACAATGATCTTGAAATGTTTTGATATTATGATTTGATGAATGTTTTGAATGATCTATATGATATATAAGAAAATGATGCTTGATCTGATAAGATGTGTAAGCCTATACTTACTGAGCTGTGGTTTGCTCATTCCCTTTTTACTTTTTCTTTACAGATGACTAAGTGATAAATTTGGTTAGTCTTGTGTGAAGCTAGAGAAAATGAAATGAGTAAGATTACTTAATCATCGGAGAATATATTGGCCAATGAGAATTTAAGAGGCAGTTTTGTGTTTTATATGGTTTGTATTTTGATATATAAAGATGTATCATCAGTTGGATTAAAGATATAAATTTTACTTGATAGATTATTTTATTGAAGAATTTTAGAATGTTTAAGAAATAAAGCTTCGTATTACTTTGAGATTTTCTTCAAGGTAATATGACCGTGTTACGTCTTGATCTCGGGGTGTGACATTAAAACTCTTTATTACTAGATTTATCAATTTGCTAATAAAATTTTTAATGACAATATTCTAGAAGATGTTTGAGTTCGGACTAGTATATATACACATACATGAGTCATTAATATACCTATTCTTACTTGATCATATATATAAATGGAAGAAAAATATTAGTTCTTAAGTATGTGTGGGTATAAAAGTGTTATTGTCTTGAGACTAGAAAATCAACAATACCCTTTTGCTCATGTAAAATAAAAAAAACAAAGAGCCATAAAATAATATTCTTGATTTTTTAAAATTTAGGAGAAAAAGCAAGTTTGTACTATACATGCTTAAGAATATAGATTTTAGTTCTAATTGTACATATGATTAAGTAAATAGGTTTATAAGTACTTGATTAAAATTTCTTTTGATTAAAAGTGAAATCAAGTTTTATGAAAATGACTATCCAAAAAGCTTTGAGTTTTTTCAAAAATATATATCCAATAAGACTTAAGATTTCTCAAAAATGGATCTCCGAAAAGTTTTTAAATTTCTCAAAAATAGATATCTGATAAACTTTAAACTTTTGAAAATAGATATTTAAAAATAATGGATATCCGATAAGTTTTGAGATTTTTCGAAAATGAATATCGTATAATTCTTAAAATTTATCGGATATCAATTTCTAATAATTCTCAAAACTTTTTGGATATCAATTTTTCAAAAACTCAATTTTATAAAATAAAGAGAAAAAATGTCAAAATGAAAAATAGAAAATGAAAAGAAAAAAGGTAATAACGGAAAATAGAAAGTAAGAAGTTGATGTATTTATTAGAAGTAAAAAAATTAAGTTTTAAATTTAGAGTGTATTTAAAAATAAAGTATATAAAATAATAAATGGGGTGAAAATAAAATTTTCTTATTATTTTTTATTGAACATGAGAGTTTGATATGTAACCGACGATGACATACTTCACATTTGTCATATGAGTACTAACATGATGTGAGTACATACTTTATTTGAGTTTCACTATCGTGGTTATATTAAAATTCAAATCAGGCTTATGTGAGTTTCGTTTTTGCCATACTTTTTAATAAAAAGCAAAGATAAGTAATTGATCAAATTGATCTTGAAATTTTGAATATTGATTTAATTAAATTTTGAAATATGAATTAAAATCGATCAATTTATTTCAATAATTATAAAAATTAAACCGATATAAGATCAATCCAATAGGTCAAAAAATTGAATTTTTCAACATTTTTTTCACTAATTTTAAACATTGGCTTTGTAATAATTTTCATCAAATAAAACTTCCATTTAATTTTGCCATTAATGTCAAAATTTTATTCTTAAAGATATAAATAAAAAATCTTTTATATATTTATATTATATAAAATATATTTGAAAATCTACTAAAAAATTAATTAATTTGATCAATTCAATTATTTAATTTTAAAAATAAAAAATCAACTAAATTAATTGATTAAAATTATTTATTTAGTTGAACATCATCAAAACCAAATTAACTAAATTGATTTGATTAAATTTAATCGATTTCGATCAATCAAATCAGTAAAAACCTATTATGCTTGTCTTGTTCAGGAGGAATTTAGACTTGAGAGAGGGAAACCATATATCTTTTTAAATTAAAAATTAAAAAATTTAGACTTGAGAGAGGGATTATTAGATATATAATAATTTAGATATATTATTTTTTAGGATTTTCTAATAATCTAAACATATATCTTTTTAAATTAAAAAATTTCATAGATATATTATCATCTAAAATTGATTTATAAAATAACTACATTTAATAAATTATTTAGATTCAAAACAAAATAAGTTTTATTTTTTACTTTCCTTATCATTAGATTGCTTTAAACTCTCCATCTAATATAGCAATGGCGTAAATAAAAATTTTTTATTGTTTCACTCACACCTACAGTCACAATCACTTATCATTTTTTTTTTGTTGGAGAAAAATTGAATTTATAATTATATCACTTATATATTTGTGAAATAATCAGTTGATTTATATATAATATAAATGGTCCATTAATTATTATTTTATATAAAAGTTTGTAATTTTCTATATTTCCTCCTCATTAAAGTCATAACATTCATTTTATTTATAAAAAAATTGAGATAAATTGGAATTCAATTTGATTTCTATCTTTTTTTTTTTTGTATTTTTCTTTCTTCAATATTATTTATTGTATATTTTAAATTAATCAATTTTTTATCTAAAAACTATTTTTTTATTATTACTTGATATCTTAATTATATTATTTATATTTTATATATAGTTTAAACATATAAATGATTAAATAATATTAATTTATATTTTTATTAATATTTAAACAAAATAAAAATAATCCGTGCTTTATATTAATTGCAAACTAGTTTTTCATATAAAAAAAGACATTGTAAATTTTAGGTATAAAAATATATATTTTTTATTTTTATAAATTTCATTAAAAAAGTTCTAGATGATATCAACGATTTTGACATAAAAAAAGAATTCAAACATTACCATTAAAACATTATTATATTTTTATAATAATATATAAGATACCCTCTATCCAAAATTTCTTGTTTTGGTAAAAAAAAAACATGTTATTTTCCATCATATTGATATTTAGGGAATAAAAATCTACAAATAATTACTTAAACTTATATTTTATTAAGCACTTAATAGATTAATTTCGTTTAAAAAAATCCAAAATTTTCAACTTAAAACCTACTTAAACAAGAAGAATAACTTCTTAAATGGACAAGAAATAATCAGCCTTGGCCCTTCGTCATGTCCCGTTGATGATAGGTGGCTTAACAACCTGAACGAAAGCAAATCACAGGTGAAAAAAAATTGGAAAAGCAAAACCTACTCGTTTTGATGTTCTTATTCTCTTTCCAGTCTGAAAGCTGAAGCTGAAGCAAACACACCTGGGTCACTCTTGTTTTGATCAAAACATGAGCTTCTTCCGCTTTGTCTGATTTTCTCATTTTCATGAAGAAATTATGGGTAAGCTTAAATCTTCTAATTCTCTTGCTTTCTGATTCTTCATTCGTCCTTCAATTGTTTATCGTCGAACCACTAGTCTTTCTGATTCCTACTCTTCTTTTAGCACCATTGCTACCCACATCAAAACTTTATGTAACAACCCCATGGCTGTTAAGGGAAATGGAAAACAGGATGATTGTTTTGATAATGTTGATGATGCTCCCAATTTGTTTAATCGGATGATTGGGACGTACCCAAGGCCTTCCATTGTGGAATTTACTAAATTAGTAGGAGCTATTATCAGAATGAAGCATAATGCCATTGTTGTTTCACTGTGTAATAAATTAGTAGGAGCATTTTGATCAATTGTTTTTGCCATTTAGGTCAAGTTGATTTTGGTTTCTCTGTTTTGGGAAAAATGCTGAAGTTAGGTATTGACCCTTGTGTTGTAACGTTGACCACTTTGATCAATGGGCTATGTATCCAAGGTAAGGTTGCTCATGCTCTGAATTTGTTTGATGAAATGATTGGAAAAGGATATCGACCTAATTTAATTACTTACAATACAATGCTTAATGGGCTGTGTAGAACGGGCAATACTGAGATAGCTGTTAGGTTGCTATAGGCGATGGACGAAAGAGGTTTGCAACCTAACTTTGTAGCATACACCATAGTCATTGACGGCCTTTGTACGGAAAGGCTACTATCAAAGGCTTTTTACCTCTTCTCTGAAATGAAGGGTAAGGGCATACCACCAAATGTTGTTATTTATAGTTGTTTAATTCATGCTATGTGTACTTCCGGCCAGTTGGAGGAGGCAATAAGATTTTTGAAAGAAATGTTAGCTATTAATATTCCACTTAATGTTGTCACATATAGCATATTGGTTGATGCACTTTGTAAGGAGGGGTTGGTTTCTGAAGCTGAAGATATTGTTGACATAATGACAAAACAAGGCATTTAGCCTGACATTATCACATATGGTCAATTGATTGATGGTCATTGTTTGCAGAACAAAATGGATGAAGCTAGAAGAGTATTTGACTTGATGATTAACAAAGGCTGTGCACCTAATACTTCTAGTTACACTATCATGATCAATGGATATTGTAAAACTAAGAGGTTAGATGAAGCAATGAAACTCTTTCATGAAATGTCTCAAAAAGGACCAATTCCTTATACTGTCACATACAACACTTTTATAAAAGGCACGTGTTGCCTACGGAGACTTTCCACTGCACAAGAACTTTTTCAGAAGATGTGTGCTTCTGGGCAAGTTCCAGATCTGCTGACCTATTCAATTTTGTTGGATGGCTTATGCAAACATGGTGAAATCGAAGAGGCACTGAAACTATTTCAAGAAATGCAGAACAGTGGGTTGAAACCTAGTATTGTCCATTATAATATCCTAATTCATGGCATGTGCAAAGTTGGGCATATTAAAGTTGCAGTGGGATTATTTTATGGACTCTCTATGACAGGCTTGGACCCTGATGTTTACACATATACTACAATGATCAATGGATTCTGTAAAGAGGAATTGCCTGATGAAGCATACCGATTGTTTAGGATCATGGAAGATAATGATTGTTTTCCTAATAGCTGTTGTTATAACGTAATGATCCAGGGGTTTCTACGAAACAACTATACCTCAAAGGCTATACAACTTCTTAAGGAAATGGTTAGGGAGGGCATTTCTGCAGATGCATCAACTGCTACCTTATTTGTGGATCTCTTATCATGTGATGGGAGAGATCAATCGTGTTTTGAAATCTTTCAAAGATTATGTGTAGATTGTTAGTTGCTAATGTAAGTTGACTTCTTTATAATCAATTATAATACTATAAATATTCAAGTATTTGAGAACTACAATGATTGTTCCTGTCTAATTTTTTTAGCATTAAGGATGAAAGAAATATTATACTTCAAGTTTCTCATTTCGCTAGTAATTGTTTTGAGAAGATTTCTCTCTGTGTCTCCATTTTCTTTTTGCAGCTTCTACCTATCTTCCATTATTGCTTGATTTGGCCTTGCCACATAATTCCCTATCATCCCCAAGGGCCCAAACCATATTCTTAGTGCACAGGATCTCAAAGCATCTAATATAATGCTGTTCTAACCTCTTTAAAATGCTTACCTTTGCTGCTAATTTTGGCAGTGGTTGTCATGGTTAATCATCTTTAGCAGAATAATTACATTTCTTCCAATTTCTTTTTCACTTATCACCCTTTCAATATTCAGTCTGTGTGGTTGCAAAATAGGTAAGTTCACGTACATGTGTGCTTTCTTAAGGGTATGCTGTGATATATATGCAATTGTATATAGGCGTGCATGCTTATGTGTTTTTAATTTTGCATCATCCTTTTTTAGTTCCTCCACACATTCTTTGTTTGGGCTCTCACATCTATTACGTTTTGTGTTCTGTTCCACTAGTTTTTTCCTCTGTTCCCTACTATTTCTTTTTCTTTATTTTTTTTTGAGTTCCTCTACTCATTGCTTTCAATGTTTTTTCGAATATATATTTAATTATAATTACAAAATGCCTAATTAAATGACTACCTCAGGTGGTACTGGTTGTGCAGCATTTGCCGTAATGGGTACAAATTTAGGTGAGAGAGATTTTTTAATACCATTTATCTCTTGGTGAATTTGTTCATTGCCTTGAATAGATTTGGCTTAAAGGTACAAATTATGATGAGAGAGAGTTCTGGCCTCAGTAAGAAGAGGTGCTAGGCCTAGGTGACTGTTATAACGCTACTATGTTTTTAGGTTTCTTTTCACTCTTCCCTTTCAAGTCTATTAGGATGGCAGTCTCAAGAAGTATGATATTAGAAACTGTATTCAGGTTTAGGGAATTAATTTTCTCTATTGCATTTCCAGATATTCAGAATCCTTCCTCCAATTCCTAATAAATCCAGAAAGGAGCTGTAGTTGCATCAGCAATATAAAATAAATTAGACCTGTTGATATGCTAGGAAAGGTGTGTGAGGTAGAAGACATAGCTGAGGTGCTATTGAAAAGTCGTAAGTGTGATTTGGAAACTCATCCCTGAAATAAGAATAGATTATGGATTTTGTTCTCGGTGGTGTTGATGCATGTGCTCTGGCTCAGCTTCTTAGTGGTGAGTTAAGATGTTATTTATCCAATGCATGTTAAAATGGGATATATATTCTGACTATGGCAGGGATTTTTAATGTTGGATAGTTTGGATTTTCATTTATATTCCTGGCAATTAACTGGGTTATTTTGGTCACAATGACTTAGAAAGATGGATTCTTTATCCTCTTTTTTTATTGCAATGAATGAGCTATGCATAATATTTCTTAAAGCAGAGAAGATAAGTTTGATTTTTGGATTTGAACCTGGCTGCTTAAGTAAAAAGGTAAACCTAGGTTTATTTTTGTTCTTTTTTATCTTCAACTTTCAGATTGGTTTTGAACTTTTATGATGCAAATTTCGAATAGGTTTTTGAAGTCTTGAGTGCATTTTTTTTATTGTTGTTTCATTTTCTTTTTTCCCGGCTTCTTGCAAGTATTGTTTCATTCTTAGCACGTTCTCCAGCTTTCTTCAGGTAACAAAATCACATTTGCACCCAACAACCACACCCCCCCCCCAAAAAAAAAAAAAAAAAAAAGCTTGACTGCATTGTAGTGAGTAGTGACTATATGCTTCGTTTGCTTATATAAGCATTTTGTAATTAATAATATACATTTTACTTTGAAATACAAAAGTAGCAAATAATTTACTTTCTTTTCTTTTAAACTACTGGTACTTTTTACATAGTGAGATAGCATAAAAAGAAAAGATTTCTGATATATAGGTAGCTCTGTTCAAGGGCAGTTCAATCTCAATTCATCTAACAAAGCATTCAAATCAGAGTAGGAAGATCCACCTTCTTCCACAGCCTTCATTGCCATATTTTTCAATTCCTTAGCTCGTTTTCTCATTTCGTCAGCTTCTTCACCTACCATTACCCGAGGAACTGCCCTTTCTATATCTTCCATGGTTACTTTAAATTTTGTAGTACTATAATCTGCCCATCTATACCACTCTTTGGCTCCAACACCTACTCCAATTTTCAGAACATCTGTAACCAGCTTTTCATTGCTAAACTGTTCTGCACAATGTGGCCAAGTAACCATAGGCACTCCAGCAGTTATACTCTCTAATGTTGAGTTCCATCCACAATGAGTCATGAAACCTCCTATAGCTTCATGATCAAGAATTAGAACCTGGGGTGCCCATTCTCTTACTATCAAACCCTTCCCTTCCATCCTCTCTTCAAATCCTTCTGGCAACCAATCTTCTTTATCTTCATTATTTACCTTTCTTACAACCCAAATGAAATCTTGTCCTGAAGCTTCAAGGCCTTTAGCTATCTCATTTAGCTGTGCTGCTGAAGTCCTGACTATACTTCCAAAACATATGTAGAGAACTGAGTTGAGTTTCTTTGAGTCTAACCATCTTAAGCACTCGTGTTTGTTAATGGAGGAGGCTGCATTTCCTATCTCAGCTTTATCGTTGTTTTTCTTGTTGCAGAGTGAAACAGGACCAACGTGCCATGCCTTCCTTCCTATAACTTTGGAATAGAGTTCTGAGTAAGCTGGTTCCAGCTCATGAAAACTATTTACAAGGACTCCATAGCTAGTCAACTCTGCTTCTATTGCTTCATTCATCAGCCTTTTCCGCTCAGTATCTGCTGTTTCTTTAAAATAATCGGGTAGCTGCAATCTTGTCATCTTTATTTGGTCTGGAAGGCCAGGCACATCAAAAAGTTCAGATTCAGATGCTACCTTTTTGAAGGGTTCATGGCGTTTTAAGCTATCAGTGACGCAATGAGCAAAGCAGTTTGTACCATAAAATACCAGCCTTGGGATCCCAAACTTGCTAGCAATATCTGTAGCCCATGGAAACATCCCGTCAGCCACAAGGCAATCAGGGCGGAGCTCTTCAAGTAGCTGTTGAAGTGGTTGTTGGAAAAGGTTGACAGCCTTGAGAAACTTTGAAGCCATTTCTTGTGAAGTGATGGAACTCACATTCTCGCATCCTTGAGGCAAGCCTACCTCTGCTGCAGGAAATTTTATTACGTGACTACTAATGTCAAAGCCCAATTCCTTCTCTCTTTGAATCATGTCGGCAAAGAGAAGTGCATTAAGGGGAGTAGTAACAATAGTCACCATTACTCCATGCCTGGCAAATAGTCTAGCCATGTCCACTGTTGGGATCAAGTGGCTATGGGCAAGATGTGGGAAGAAAACAAGATGCAGCTGACGTGAATGGGAGGCCATCTAACTCTTTTTCGATAAGATTATGAGCTAGGTCGAAGGGAAGAAACAGGGGTAAAGTAATTGGCAAATAATGTCAGATGTTGAGCTTGTTATTTATATACAAAGCAAATGATAATGGAAAGCCAATAAGAACTGATCTGTTATTCAAAGAAGACCGAGGTGCTTGAAGCACAAGAAATTTGTTGAAAGTTGACCATGGTGAATTTGTGTGCTTGGACTGCAAGTACGCTTGTATGGTTAATTACTACCCTAGATAATCATGTGCATAGATAGCTCGCAGTCTCACTCCTCATTTTCATTTCTTGTTATTGACTCATACTTTGTCCGTACTTGGAAAAAAAATCGTTCTCTGTTTGTAAAATAAATATTATTACAAACAAAACCTCCAACTTCAAGTCCATATTCGCTGTTTTGAAGCAGTAATTTATTTTACTTGGTTGGCAAGGAAATCTCCGCCAACCGGGGAAAATTTCTTTTCTTTTATTTTTTTTAATTTTGATAATTTTTCTTTTATTTTTTAATTTAAAGTTATCAAAATTAAATATTTTTTTTCAATTTTTTCTTCCCGGTTTGTGGGCTACCTTATTTTTTTAATGGACTCGTTTCTTGAACCCCAAAGAAAACCAGGCGATTCATGTGACGATGCCAGGGATCTCCGATTAAATCCATTTGTGTTATGTAAAATATTAATAATTTTTATATTTATATTATATCTAATATGAAAATTATATATTATATAAAATAATTTTTTATTTTATTAAATTTATATATAATTTCATTAAAAATTTAAATTATATCATTTTTATATATATATTTCATATGATTTTCATCTCATGGTAATCTTTTAGATGACTCTTTCATCTTCCAAAGAAAACACTAAGCCCAAATTTATTCTTAGGATCAATAAGTTTTTCCAATTTTGAGGATGCTTGGACCTACTGATTAATATTCTTATATCTTTCCGATAAAGGCCCATAGCATTTTCCATATCGCCCAGTAAAGGAACCCAAAAAAAAAAATCTATTTTAATAATAAATAAAATAAAAAAGGGGTAAAAAAAGAAGAAGTTAATTCCCATTTTCAATGGAAGAGAGAATGCTTGCGTAATTATTCCTCGGTGTAACGTACCACTGCTTAGCTGCAAAAATTCTTACATTTCCTCTCTCTCTAAGTACATTATTCAGTTTTCTGTTTGTTGAAAATTCCTTTACTTTCCATTGAAGAAGAACAAGGGTTCCAGATTTTCATCCCTGTAAGACTCCCTTTTTCCTTCTCCTCCCCACTCTGCTGTTCTTCACTCGAGTTATAGTTCATGGCTTGTAACATTTAGCTTGTTTAGAGCTGCTGAAGAAATGGGCTTAATGTTTTAGCTTCTGTAACTGTAAATAGTTCATAGTTTAGTTTCAGGTTTTGAGTTTGTCTCACTTATGGAATTGAAATGGGATGTTCCTGTTTGTCACCCCTGGAAACCCTCAAAATTACCTACACTGCCACTCTTGCTCTTGCTAATGCTATCTCTATGTATTTTTAGCCCCTCTCAGTGTCTTGATCTTGATCCAGAAGACAAAGCCTCACTGTTATTGTTCAAGTCATCCCTTCAAGACCCTGGCCAGAGCTTAGCGACCTGGTTTGGGTCAAACTGCACCAGCTGGACCGGTATTTCTTGTGAAAATCGGACCGGTCAGGTTGTTTCTGTGAACCTGGCTAATATGAATTTGTCTGGTAACGTGCACCCTGGTTTATGCGAACTACCATTTCTTGAATACTTGAATTTGTCTGAGAATAACTTCAATGGCTCAATTCCAACATGTTTTGGTTCATTGGGTAGTCTTAAGACTCTTGATCTTAGTCACAATAGTTTTGGTGGGTTTCTACCTGATGAGATCACGAGGCTTAGGCAATTGAGGGAACTTGTGTTGAATGGAAACCGGGAACTGGGTGGCGTTTTGCCTTGGTGGATTGGTAACTTTTCGAGCAATTTGGAAAAACTTGATTTGGGTTCAAATTCGTTTCATGGGGAGATGCCTGACAGCTTATTTTACTTGAAGTCTTTGAGGCACTTGGATCTTGGAGACAATTGTTTATCAGGCAATATTCATGAGTTTTATCAGTCGTTGGAGTTTCTCAATCTTGCTTCAAATCAGTTATTTGGTACTTTGCCTTGTTTTTCTGCTTCTACACAGAGTCTAACTGTTTTGATATTGGCTAACAATTCTCTTGTGGGAGGAATACCTACTTGTGTTACCTCACTGGAAGTATTGGCACATCTTAATCTATCATTTAATCACCTGAGTTATCATATATCTCCGAGACTTGCGTTTAAAGAAAAGTTGCTTGTGTTAGACTTGAGTTTCAATGATTTTTCAGGTCCTCTTCCTGGCAAAATTGCGGAAGCAACTGAAAAATCAGGGCTTGTTCTTCTGGACCTCTCTCACAACCAGTTTTCTGGTAAAATTCCATTGATGATCACCGAGCTGAAAAGCTTGCAAGCATTGTTTCTTTCTCATAATCTCCTTACGGGGGCTATTCCAGCAAGGATTGGAAATTTGACTTATCTCCAAGTAATTGATCTGTCACACAACTTCTTATCAGGTTCAATTCCATTAGATATTGTTGGGTGTTTTCAGTTACTCGCATTGATACTCAATAACAACAATCTTTCTGGTGAAATTCATCCTGAGCTTGATGCATTGGATGGCTTGAAGATATTGGATGTAAGCCACAACAAGATTTCTGGTGAAATCCCACTAACCTTGGCAGGGTTAAAATCACTAGAGATTGTAGATTTTAGCTCCAACAACCTCTCTGGAACACTGAATGATGCAATAACCAAATGGTCAAACCTCAAGTATCTCTCCTTAGCTCATAACAAATTCAGTGGGAATTTACCTAGCTGGCTATTCACTTTTGAAGCAATCCAGATGATTGATTTCTCTGGAAACAAATTCAAAGGCTTCATACCAGATGGTAACTTCAATATTAGCTTCCACAATAACAATGGAAACAGGGATAGAGCACCTAAAGAGCCATTTATTGCAATGAGAAATGCTGAGATAAAAATTTCTGTCATGGTCATCGATAGTAGTGAATTAAGCTTCAACTACAAGGTGTCCCCAATAGTTGGAATTGACTTGTCGGATAATTTATTACAGGGTGAGATTCCAGATGTTCTCTTTGAAGTTGAAGGATTGGAATATCTAAATTTATCTTATAACTTTCTCAATGGTCAGCTTCCTAGGTTGGAGAAAATGTGGAACTTAAGGGCCTTGGATTTGTCACATAATTCATTATCCGGCCAGATCCCTGGAAATATCTCCACCCTTAAAAATCTAGTACTGTTGAATTTATCATATAACAGTTTTTCTGGATCTGTTCCTGTTAACCAGGGATATAGGAGATTCCCAGGAGCATTAGCTGGTAATCCGGATTTGTGTGTGGAGTCCTCTGTTGAGGGATGTGACAGAGCAAGCCTCCCTGCTGTGCCTGGGAAGACATTTGAAGAAGTTGAGGGACCAATATTGGTTTGGGTGTTCTGTGTAAGTGCTTTTGTTAGTTTCTATTTTGGTGTAGTGGCTCTCTTTTGTACAGCCCGAGCAAGGAGTTACATACTCCAGACAAAAGTTTAATGCATTGAATGCTTTCTTCTGTACATTTATATTTCTCTACTTTACATTGCCAATTTTCTTACTGAGATTAAACTCATGCTCACCAAATTGCAAGGTATGGCATCTCAAAGATAGATTCTCTTTATCTGCTAATATTTAATCTAACTGTTCGATGTATAACAGCTTCTAGCTATTAAGATTGAATGACTTGATGTCAATGATTAGATTCTAATTTCAATTATGACACTGGCATTTATATTCTCCTCCTCTTCCCTAATAACTGGATATATATATATATATATATATATATATATATATTTATATGAATGTTCAGACTTCCTGGGTTCAAATTTTAAGCATCCCATTCCCCCCTTAAGAGTTGTTTTAAGTAGAAGAGATAACTGGATTTTTGGTTATGTAACTGGATTTTTGGTAAGTTATCCTAATAGATTTACAAAGATCTTGTCCATGATATTGATAGTATAGTTTCATGCTGCTTCTTTTAAAAGAAAAAAGGGAAAAAGTGACCGCTGGTTCTGGTTATAATGAAACTTGTTGACTCCAGCATACATCAAAGGCTGGGAATACAAGTATTTAAGATAATGTAACCATAATGATATGTTTATATCATTGGTTAGCCTTTGCTATTTATATTATATCCACAATGATCCAATTCTTACTTAAATGTAAAATATTCCATATCAACAATGGGTGTAATTGGTGAATATCACATACAAATTTGTGTAGTTAAAATTATTTGAGAATAACAGTTCCATTTGGCAATTAAAGGTCATGAAGAAATTTCCATCATAGTTTGGGTGGGCAAAACTCAGATGAAATTCTTCAGTTTTTTCAATGACCATGCCCTTTGTCTCATCATGTACAACAAATAAATTTCTTCTGCTTCATCGTTTTGCTTGTTTCTTTTCTTTCCTTTTTCCTTTTTAAAGATAAATTATGATTTAACGGCATTAGATGCGGTAAGCTTCCACATAAGTTGAAGCTGAGAAAATCCTATTTTCAGTCCACCATGGCAATTGGCAAAGGCATGAATTGTATACCAATTAATTAAATTAATACTATGTTAATCACACGCAATAAACCCTTTCTTGTAGGAAAAAGAGGTGACAACAAGAGCCAACCCTCATCACTCAAGACTCTGATAAGTTAGATTAAATGGAAAATATTGGAGAAAAAAAAATGAAAAGGGACAAAGAATTATTGTAATTTTTGTAAGTTTGATAATAAATCAAATCTATAATGAATCTACAACATTGTTAAAAGGGAGCACTTAATCAATCAATGTTGACCTGCAAATACAATGCCAAAATTTCCCCTTGATGTCGAGAATTTTACAGAGCACCTCCAAGATTTCTTATGGAAGCCAAAACTTGTATGTGCCATTTGACTTATTTTCCTGAGAATCCCTATCTAGCAACTTCACTAGCAGCAGAAAGTCAATGACCATATTTGTTCTTCCAAAACCTCTGTATGTGCTCTAATATCTGATTGGACCATCCAGACTCCCAGATGCAAACTGAAAAGATAAGGACAATGTGTGGTGATGAAATAGATCATTTGGAGGCCGGTATTTATGTAAGTTTGAATGCATTAGTTCATTTAAACACGTAGCATCTATAAAATAAGATCTTAAATCAACTGCCCCTAGTTACTGGTCATGCAAAGAGCGAGACAGAGAGGGTAAACTATAAACGCAATGATACCAATACTAGATACACAAAGCTTGACCCCTGTTCCACCAATCAACAATTAATCAATATGAGGAAAGGAAAAAGGCAACTACGACCAATGCAATGAAAGCAAGAAACAAGACTTCAGAAAATTATGTGTCCGAATATCGGCATTAAGAGATGATAAACTGCAGCCTTTTAAAGATTCATAAAGCAAAGTAAATCATGTCAATTAACACAGAGTCTATAATCTAAGAAATGTGTCTCCTTAAAAGTGTTTGCAGGACAAGCATCCTGTGAGTATATCCACACATGCATATGTCTGTGTGTGCTTTTCTATGTGCAAGCGTGTGTGTGTGTGTGTGTGTGTGTGTGTGTGTGAGAGAGAGAGAGAGAGAGAGAGAGAGACACTACCCTCTTGCATATATATAATGGTATTAATGATTTACAGTCCTCAAATAAAAAAGTGCAAACAGCACCATCTTTTGCTTTATTAAGCCGCTTAAATTTTAAAGGCATTGTGAGGTAAAAAAAACCTAAAGCTCCAGTTGATCGTCACTTTTACTACTAATTTTGCTTCGGCAAAAGTTACTAAAAGAAAAAGAATACAGTAAAAACAAAATCATATTGTACAAAAATAAGCATACCATTAAAAAAATAAAATGTTAACACATTGTTTTCTGTAACAATTAAATCCCGCATTTTGTCAATCAATTAATTTTATATTTTAATTATTCAAAAATATTATTTAGTTTTATGTACACACATTTTTGCTTTTTGATTTTCCAGGCAACAAGCAAATGGCAAATGTAACAAATGGAGGCTAAGTTGTTTTATTAAAAAGAAAACCAGAGTTTTCCATTAACTCTTTTCTTTTTTCTTTTTTAGTTCATGGCAACTAGACTCAGTCAATTACCTGTTGAACAATTGGATTGGTTGATGTTGTGAATTCATCAGTCATTCCTTGCCAAACAATCTTCCCCTCATGAAGAAACAATAACCTATAAGTAGAAATGAGATTCTTTGATTAGTGCATCCCACATCATAGCAAAATCAATTACAACATCATGGTCTCTGGCAAAACCTGTCAACAGCTCTTCTAATGGTACTATGTTGATGAGTAACAACCACATACGATGCAATCTTTCCAGGTTTCCCAAGTGCATCCTCAGCCTTGGCATGGACGGAGCGGATGAGATCTTCAACAACTGTCGATGCAATTGGATCAAGCCCTGCTGTTGGTTCATCATATAAAAGCACCTGCCGAGTAACAGGAGTTGCAATTTAGAGACCAACAAACTCAAATTGATAACAAGGAACACAATAGCCGCCAACAGTAGGACAGAATGAAATCAATGCATAATAGGTCAAAGCTTGAACTACCAAGCTTGCTTTGTCACTAAAGCAATGGCTGGATCAATTGAGCATAACTTAACATTTAGGAGAAATTAACAACTTCTCACTGCATTACTTGCTTAAAAATTGGACTCAACATTTTGCTATACTCTCCCTTTTGAATATAGACAAGGAGCATGATTCTCAAATCAATTCCTTATTTTCTATGATAAGCATCTAAAAAAACGCACTTAGACTGCTAAACTCAAAGGGGCATAACCCTATCTAAAGCACCTAATCTTCTAAAATATAACCAAATAGAAAAAGCAGAGCAAATTGAAGAGATGCTTATAGCCAAGTGTAAGCATATCTCATACCCTCATTCTGCATTGTGGCAACAACATAAAACCACAATTATTTTACTACAGCAATGTGGACAATATTAAGCTGACAAGGCATAGGCCTCCAAGCTACTCGCTTTGACATTTTCTACAAGCCCCTCCCAGCTCACAGAGAGAAGAAACACTGGTCAAGATATGACCGACCTTACCCTAAATAAAACAAATGGAAAAACAGGTCTAAGGATCAAAGCCACAAATGGTCTATAGATTAACCTAGTAACCATTACTCTTCATTATCTTCTACTATGATTGAAGTTTTGCATTATCAGTTGCCAGACCATTTTGTAGCTCTAAATCTTGGAAACATCAGGAGTTTCAAACAACTCTATGAACGCCATGGCTTAGGTCACACCACAATTTTCAAATTTTCTATTTTCCAATATAGATCTCTCTAGTCAACTGGCAAGAATACCAGAATAAAAGGCCAAAAAAAACTGCAACAACTCTGAAGAAGCCAGATTCTAAACCTTCACCATTTAATTTAGAATATAGACATAATCAGATAACTATTTCATGAGAAAGTTTAAATTTGGAGCTTTCTTCATCTGTAAGCCACCATCAATTCTTTAAGATGAAATGAAACTATTAAAACAAATTGAAATGTAGAGACAAATGGTGGGGGGGGGGGGGGCGCACATCAGTGTGTGTATATACATATACACACACAGATTAAAACTTGAAAATAACTTGCAGCCATTGATTGTGAAATAAATGACAAATAAAATGATAACTGATTTTATAAATCATCACCACGACTTAAGCTATGAAATATTAACGACGAAGGCTCCTTTACCCAAACTGGAATAAAAGGAAGAGACAAGTTGGATTATACTCAAAAGTGGAAAATGCAGACTAAATTTTATGTTCCTAGGGTTCACGATTAAAATCTGAAAGTAAAGAGGACCAGCTAGATATTGTTTGAAGTCCACTTCTGTGTGGTGCCACAAATGTGGTTTGCAACACCATCTGTATGTTTACCTTAAGATACAAAAAAAGAGGTAGCTATACAACATGTCATATTTTTATTAAAACAATTAAAAAGGATTACTACAAAAGCTTCATCATCCTTGATTCCCAAGAGAAATTTACCATACCTCAGGCTCAATTGATTCTTTGGTGATATCACAAATTATAGAACGAGCTAAGGCAACTCTTTTCTTCATTCCTCCAGACAACTCAGAAGGTAACCTTTCTTCAACTCCCTGAAGAGAAAATAAGTTAGATTTTCTTACATCAACATGAAACTTAAAGATTAGGGTTTCTACAGTGCAAAGGGAGCTGATGAAAGCAAATGTGTACACTTGTTACATGATACTGCTAAGGCATTAATAAGCAGAGACTGTCTATGAGGAATAAGATTCAGTAGGGAATCAAATTAACTACAAAAAACAAATGTTAACAGTTCATTATGCTGATTCACTCTAGCCAAAACCAACATCTTGCTAATACCTTACATATTAGTTGCATAATAACCCCAAATCAAGCAAAAAAGTTACAATTTGGAAATACTAATTAACAATATATGCTATCCAGGCCAAGAGAGTCAAACTGCAGGCATACCTTTAAACCGACAGCAGCCAATTGCTCTGTCACAAGCTGTGAGATTTGATCATCAGACATGCTTGAATTTTCATATCTAAGCAATTAAAAAGCGCAAAGTCATCAACCAACTCAGGTAATTTCTTTATTCAGAAAAAAGGAAATTAGAATCCAAGATAACCCCCAAAATACTGAGGACAAAAAAGGGTATAGTATTTTTCTAAGAAGAATTTATACTGTCTCTTACAAAAGGAAGCCAACATTTTCACGAACGGTCAATGAATCAAAAAGTGCTGCACTCTGAAAAACCTGTTAACAAAAAAATAAATAAAGGTATGGATTACACCACTAATAAATTATCCCACAACCAGCCAGTATAGCATTCAGAGATTAAATAAAATTTTACCAGTCCAATTCGAAGACCAGATATCTCATCATCACCAATCAAACCTGATCTTTTTTTTCCTCGAATGTATACCGCTCCCTGCACATAAGAATTATGCATTCTCTATATAGCAGAACCAACTAATAATAAATTGATATACAACATAATTATGCAAAAATGAATTCGCAAAAATATGAAACCAGACTCAATAGGCATTTCACCTTGTCTGGGGCAAGAAGTCCAGCAATAATCTTCAGAATCGTAGATTTCCCAGTGCCAGAAGGACCAATAATTCCAACAGCTTCACCATGCCTAATCTATTGATCAGGGGTAAAAATAGGAATCAACAGAGAAAAAGAGAAAAAAAAAAAAAAAACTGCAACATTAAAATAAAAAAGGACACTTAAGCAAAAAAATTGAGCTATGATCATACTCAAGGAATGATTCTAACCTACATTCCTCAGATATGGATATGAGTATCCTACACAAAACGTCTAGGTTTCAGTCTCACCTATTTTTCAAATTTTTGGACATGGGCAATTCGTCATAAAGGCTCCAAAATTAGGATATGAGATACAAAATATAACAACAAAAACAGATATATATATATCTAAGACCAGATACTGTAAACAAATATTGATATAAATAATTGAAGATAATGGCTAACATGTTACTCATATATTCCATTTTGTCTATGACTCAAGGTGTTAGGTATGGTTGAGCCAAACTTAAAGTGTCCGTGTTAAACAAGTTTTGGTTGTGAGCAATATGGTGCTTGTAAAGTGGGCGGTCCTTACATCCTTCAGGACAAAGTTTGTCCAGTCCAATTTGAGATAGACTGATAGAGAAGTGCTTTGATGCAATCCAGACCAAAGGCCCAATTCTCATAACCGAATCCTAGATCAAAGAAACCTTAACCCAGATGGCATATAACAAGACATATTCTTCCACTCTCTTGTCCTTGTTGCTAGAATACATCCTTAAAAAACCACCTCTCTCAGATGAAACATATGGTATCAGAAACGTAAATTTGAAATGGACCACTTCCAGTTTTTCAAATCAAATGTTGAGCTCAAGCCAACCATGATTGACTGACAACAAGGATCTAGATAACCAAGGGCCATTATACCAACTAGACCACTGTTCAAAGCAGTCAATAAGCTTGGCAAAAACATGCCAGAAGGATAGGAAATGGAGTCATCACTTGTCTCCAACTGTGTCAGCCATGTCAGACACGGATCCCATATGCTTGTCAGTGTCAAGTTGTGTCCATAGAACTACTCAGCTAAAAATGTCAAGATCCAAGCACCATAGATTAAAACAAATAATTATAATCATGCCAATGTTTTATCCACTAAAGAAAGAGGACATAAATAATGAAAAGCAGAATGAGACTAAAAATAGGGAAGATTGTACAGGGAAAGGAAACAGACAGAAATAATGAAATTTAAGACCAGGCACCCAAATGGAACTAATGGCCTTAAGAATCAATGACAAGAATTATCAACTAAACTCTAGTAAAACTGATTTATAATTTACATCCACATCTCCTTTGCAGCTATAAACTAGAAACAATAATCAGTAAAGAGGGATAAATTGAACATGAAATATAAACCCAATTTCTTCTCCTGATAGGAAAATAAAATGAAAGAAGTTGTTCTTTATTCATGTGACAGAAAATAAAAACTTCATTCTGGTGAAGATAAAAAAAATGGAAAGAAAAGAATGAGGTCTAACATGGTAATACAGTACACAACTTGATGTCATCTTATGCACTTGTTTAAGAAATTATATGACAGCATGCACCATTAGCTGCAATCCTTTTTTACTTTTCTAAAGCATGTAGAACTCCAAAACAAGTATGAAGACTCACGCTCTGCTTATTTAAATTAACAGTTAAGAACCCTCCACCCTTCCCACTCTTCCCACAAAAGAAAATGTTCCATTGGGAATTTTGAAAAGTATCTAATAACTTGAAATTTGTGGCACAAGAAGATTCAAATTACAACCTAACATGATTCCCTTATTTGGTCTTTCATACAGCTGACCCCAGAATATGGGATATAAGGCTTAGTGTGTTGTTGTTATATCTAATAACTTGAACTGACCCTCATGAAGTCCAACTCATAAATGTCTATTCATATGCAGTCCAAGCACCCCCTAGAATAAAAGAAAACATATCTAAAGCCAAAAAATAAAATCACCTTGAAGCTCACACCTCGCAAAATATGCTTTTCTCCAAATGATTTGTACACGTTTCGACATTCAATGAGAACATCAGAGTCATTCTCATACTTCACTTCCTTGCTCAAATTCCCATATTTAGATGATTCCTAAAAAGATAATCATGCAAATAACCATGTTGAGACTGAAAAACTAAAGATAAACAATCTAAAATCAAGTCCTTAAGTTCCTAAGGCTCCGTTGGTTGTTGCTTTTGCTACTTACTTTTTTTCTTCCAGACGCAAAATGCACATTTGGATACAAAAGCAATAATTTTTTGAACAATTAAATATTAAAATTGTTTTTTTTTTTTTGGAGAAAAAAATGCACATTTTACTTAAATAAAACAATTATGTTAGAAATGGTATTTCATTTTAGTCATTTTTCAATTCGTAATATTCATGATTAGGATTTCTACTTTTGCTTTTGCCTTTTAGATTTTTTTTTTTTTTCGTTTAAAGCAAAAGCAAATAGCAATAAGCAAACAGAGAAAAATCTCTAAATGCAAAACAGGTTGGATATTTATGCGGTTCAAATGCAAAAAGAAAAAGTAAGCATAAATTTGGATGTAAAAATTATCATGATAGAACAAACTTATGGCAGAAAATGGAAAACAAAAACAATTTGGAAGCAATAAAAAAAAAAAAAACAAAGTAAGTAATAGCAGGAACAATAATATATGCAAAGACATTGTTAGCAATCAAAGAGAATCCACTCAACCAAACTGCACAAAATATCAAGTCAAAAAGAAATTGCCAAAACTATCTTTCTCAATTAAATTCAAGAAACTATAAAAAAAAAAAAGCAGAAAAATGCAGAATCTAACAAATGGGTTTAGGAGAAATATTTACAGTGAATCTAGTTCCAGGGAATTCATCATGTCCCAAGTTCCTCGTAGGTGTCATGCAAGCACAGATAACATTTCTTTGCTCCTTCCTCTCCTTAATAAAACAATAAAAATTGCTCCTTTTTGCACCCAAATCACAATTTTTAGTCGATGTTGCTATAGGAAATAACCCCAATGAACTTGACAAAAAAATCGTACTGGTCATTTTTTTTTTAGGGAAATGAAAAGGTTGAAGATTTGTCTATTTTGAAACCCTCAAAAATTAATGGAATCTCATCATTTTGAAACTGAAATTTCAAAAAGAGTCATAAAAGGAGTTATGGGTATTGGAAATTAGTGATTTTGGAGATGACCCAGATCAGGATAATTAATCATTAGCCAAAAACCAAGGGAAAATGAGCAAATTTGGGAATTCTGAAAGACACCCAGACAGGTTAATTTGATAAAAGAAAAAGATCTCCAAAGTTGAAGTAGGAAATGGGTTTGGAATATAAAAGTAAATCTAATTCTTAATGAAGAAAAGAAAGAATAAAAAAGATATATATAAGAAACGTGAAAAATGTGCGCTTTAGATGGCCGGCTTAAATGGGAGGTAGGCGCTGGACTCTGACAGAAGCCTACCTGTGTGTGTATATTTCAGTTCCTGTTTCAGTTTGCCCGGCTTGATTATACCAATGAAAACAAATTGGAAAATTTGCCAAAACTGTCCCTTCTTTCTTACCTTCAATCATAACCCATTGCTATGTTGTATGACACCACATCATACACCGATGCCAGGGGTTCAATTTTCCATGTCAATTTTCAATGCCGTTATCAAAAAGGACTATAAACTATAAAATCATTGTACCCACTTGTTAATCGGCCGTCAAAAAATTATGAGTTTTATGTCACAACTTGTTGGATGCTAAAATCTTTACTATTATTTACTGTCTCGGTTCTATTTTGTTTTTCTATTTTTTTAAAGAAATTTTAATTTATCTGTCCCTATTTTAAAATAAATAAAAGTGTTGTTATATGCACTTAAAAAACGTTTAATACATCCAAAAAATTAACTTTTAAAAAATTATTTAAATAACCATTAATTAATTATTTTTTTATCTTTTACACCACTTTTTAATAAATTACTGAAAATGAATTTTTTAAAATTTCTTCAATGTATTGAAAATTGATCATTTTTTAAAACTTTATCACTGTACCAAAAATGTATTTCTTGAAAACATTGCAATTTATTTGGAAATGCATTTTTAGATAGCATTACAATTATTTAGAAATACATTTTTAGAAGTAATTTTTTATTTCAATTCTTTTGTTGAGATCTCTTAATCAATGTTTAACATGAAAATTTTGGATATCCTTTCCTGCGATCTCCAAACGAGTTTATAATGATTTTTTCAACATATGAATGATTTAAATCTGGTAGTAAAAATTTTTAATCTTTCGATCCTATTGTTTGTTCAATAATATTTGTAATATTTTTTCAATTATGACAAACATACATCTAAAAGAAATCACTAATTGTGAAAAGACACTCTTGCAAGTGGCTACTGCATCATGTGCAATGAGATAGTCATGCTTCATCGCATATGGTGTAGCAACCAACTTGGATGAATACTTCACATTTAACGATTCTTTTCAAATGCATATCTGTCAGGTATATAAAAATATTATAAACATTATTGAACGAATAGTGTCTAGTGACTGAAAGATTTGAGGTCGTTATTAATAGATTTACCAATTTGCTAATAACATAATTAGGTCAATTATTGTGTACTAAAAAGTTATTTGGTCCCTATTGGTGGCCGAAAGTTATTGTATATCGAAAATCCATTTCTGAAGGTTTTTGAAAGATTTTATAAATAAATGTCTAGAAACTATTGAGAAATTACAAAAATATATTTTAAAAAATTCTTAAAGATTTTCAGAAATAGGTGTGCTTAAGTTTTTAAAGGATTCCAAAAATAAATTTTCGATACATTAAAAATGTTTTTGGACATCTATTTTTAGAAACCTTCGATAATTTTCAAAAATTCATTTTCAAAATGTTCAAATCACACCTCTAAACTTAAAATCCTAAATATTTTGAAACTAAACACAAAATCACATGAAAAAAAAAATAAATGATTTACCTCTCATTCTAAGCTATTTAATATTAAATGGGTGGTTGGGGTTTAATTGGAGTTTAATCCCTAAAAGATTTAGGGTTTTGATTTAAGAAGAGGAAGTGTATGGAGATGGGTGTTTGAGTTTTTTTAGTAAATTTATGTTTTGGTTTGAAATGTAAAGAAAATATATAATGGGTGTTAATAGTAATTGGATGTGAAAAGAGTAAGTTGGGATGCAAATAGCATCACTCCTAATTAAATTTACCCTTACTTTTTTTTTATTATCAATTAATATCGTTACATAAAATCCAATAAAATAACTATAATGCACCATAGATGCCGGTGCCAAATATTTTGCAAAAAAATAGAATTTGTTTGAAAGATTAGTGTCAGATGTTAATAAAAAGGGTAAAATTGAATTTGAATCTTTAGATTTTGAATAAAAAGCATTAAGGTAGTTTTTTTAAAATTTGTGCAATTTCTTAGGAGACAAACAATAAGGGATGGAGGGGGTCATATGTATTTGATTGAGTTTGATGTAACAAATAAAATGAAATTGATTAATAAATGTATTAACAAATTAAATAAATTTATAAAATGATTTTATTAAATTAAATGTAGATATCTAAATTCATTTTTTTTTCAAATGAGAGTTAGTAAAAAAAATTATTCATGTTAACATTCAATTTTAAGGGTTAGGGATGTCAATTTTACACAAATCTAATAAAGAAATAAACTTTTTATCAAAATGGGAATGGATATCAAAATTTTGGAGATAGAGATGAAGATGTGTATGATTTTAAATTTTTATTAAAGAAATAGCTATGGTTGATATAACATCTGTCCCATACTTATACTCATATCTTATTTATACTTATATATATTTAATAAATATATTTTTTATTTAATAATATAAAATTTTATTTTAATTAATTAAATTAATATATTTTTATTTAAAATATATGTTAATATATAGTTATACAAATTACATAAGTGTTTAAAATAAAAATAAAAAATAAAACAACAAATTTTATTTTATTTTTGTTAAAAAGGTATGGATACAAGGATTACTTGTACCTATTAAATTTCTATAACAATGTAAATGTAGATGAATTTAAAATACCGAATAGTAAAATAAATATAATATAAAAATAAAAAATGAAAATGAAGAATACTCCAACAGTTTTATAACCTAACATGTACATCCCTAATTGGAGTTGAGGATTCAAAGCTTGGTGAATCATTATATATATATATATATATATATATTACATCATACATTATTACTAGATAAAATTTGTTAATGTGAATGTTTACATAGATAATTTTTCTTTTGGACACGTAAGAAAATTTATAAAATTTTTTTTTATAACGACACATAAGATATTTTTTAATTTTTTATTATTTATCAAAAAATATATTTAAAAAATTATTGAATTATCCAAAATTTAAATGAAAAACTAATTTAGATTTAAAATAGTTAAATAGATAAAATTAATTTATTGTAAGATTTTATTTAAATAAGTAAAATTAGTTCTTATTCTTATTTATGGATTAAATAAATGTTTTTAAAAAATCATTGGTTATCCAAATCTTTTAAGATATATTTATTTGAAAATTTTTAATTATTCAAAGTTTCTCTTTCAATTGAAAAAATTCATTTTTATCTATCAAATATACCTTTAGATATATCTTAAAGGTTGTATTACAAGTAAAAATTATAAATATAGTCAATATTTTCAACATAGGATATATTCATACTAAAAATTAGTAATAGATAAACCAATCAAATAAAACTAATATAAATTGAGTTGAATTACAATCACACAATATGAGATTTAATTAATTTTTTTTATTAATTTAAATCAAAGTGTATATCAAACTATAGACATGAGTTCTTATTGAGATACGAAAATAAAAGGAAATTAGATGAACATAGGGTAGAGATTATTGGACAAAAAACAAAAAATGACCTCAAGAATAGTCAAAGCAAACATAGAAATTAAATAATTTATTTTTAAAACACTCATCAAAATTTCATGATAAATATGCATTACTTATTTTTATTTTACAATAATCAGGACAATAATATATTTTTTAAAATTTATTTTTTTATAATTTAGATATATATCTTTTAAAATTTTAAAATATCAAATGTAATTTTATCTTAATAAATTTCATAATAATCTTTTATTATTTAAAAGGACCAAATTTAATCTTTTCATAATTTATAAATGATTCCGTAATATATTTGTTAACATCAATTTGATTTTTTTTATCATTATTCTCCACTTTTATGTGTTCTTTTTTTTTTTTTTTCTTTCTATAATACAAATTGGAAGTTACAAAAATATTTATATTTTCTTTTCTAAGTGCCTACAATAAGCTATCCGTGTCTAAGTTAGAAATTTTTTTTTTTCATATATTACAATGTATGTATTTAACTTTGACTTATATATATATATATAATATTACAATATACATAGTTACGAAAACAAACATATTTTTATATTTTTATATTTTTATTAGTATTGTTCGTAGATCTTTTATTTCTACTTTTGACTTTCACTTAATTAGATAATTCTTTTTTCTTTCAATTGGTTTTTTCCTTTTATATATTATAAGATGTAAAGTTATATAAATATTTATTCTTATCTTTTGTAGGGGGTTTGTATATAGACCTTTTATCTTTATTTTTTACTCTTCATTCAAATATTTTTTTTCCTCAATTCAACTTTTTTACAGTATGCAAAAAGACTTTCATTATTAATCTATTTGATTACAATAATTTAAACCTGTTATTTATGTCAAAATACTATTACAAATAACAAAAATTAATTCAAATATTTGAAAATCAAATTATTATATAATATAAACGATCCATTGATTATTACTTTGTATAAAAGCTAGTAATTTTCTATACTTCTTTTTCTTCAAAGTCATAACATTTCTTTTATTTATAACAAAATTAGGATAAAATAAAATTCAATTTAATTTTTTTTTTTTCAAATCAAATCTTATTCATTAAGCACGTAGTTTTTTTTTTTTAAACATCCAATATAAATTTAAAAAATTAAGAACCGTTAAAAAACATGGAGTATTTTTTTTCTTTTTCTTAACATATTTGATTCATTTGCAATTACTTAAGGAGTATTCGTTATCATTTCTTTTGGTTAATTAATTAATAATTAGGTCCAAATTATTTTTTGGAACATCCAATTTTAAATCATATTTGCAATCCAAATAACCCCAAAAGCATTTAAAGAGTTACCCTGAAATTGAATTAATCAACCGAGAGTGAACACAAAGGAGAAAAAAGAAAAAGAGTATAGTCATATATAATTATGCTACTGTTCAATTATTTTAAGAGGTTTTCCACCATTCTTTTTATTTTAAGGAATGAAAACACAAACAAGAATCACGTAAAGCATAACTGATTGAATTAAAGAATTTACACTAACAGAATCTAATACCATAATCTGAGTATAATATGATAGTTTAAAAGTTGTTGCTTAAACATTACTTTAAGAATCCACAAAGTTCCACACCCACATATATTAATAGCCAAGAAACTAGGTTGATACTTTCATATATCATGACTATTTTTTTTTTCTCGAAATCTTATCTATATGTATTGCTGGTTTGGTGATGAATGATTCCTTCACAACCTCGAAGAGTTTGTCCAAGCTTTCTCATAATAATTAAGATTTTTAAATTTATTTTTGAAAACAATTAAGTAAAAATAAGTTTTTAATTCATAGATAAGAGAAGTTGGAGATGATGCAAATTGAATAAAATTAATTTAAAGCGATAAAATTTTTAATTTTTATTTTAATATTTTAATGGTATACTTAATAATATTATTTATAAAATTTCTGTATTTTTTTTCAATATTATTTGTTATATATTTTAAAATTTTTAATTTTTTAATTGAAAATTTTATTTTTATTATAATTTGATATCTTAATTATATTATTTATATTATATATATATTTTAAACATATAAATAATTAAATAATATTAATTTATATTTATATTTTTATTTATATTTAAATAAAATAAAAATAATTTGTGCATCGTCATATGAGTAATAAATTAATCCATAATTATTGTGAAAGACCTATTGTTTTTTTTCTTCCACGTGTTTAATTCTCATCATTTTTTTGTTGAAAGCGATTCCAGTAACGATATCCTTTGGGTTGATAATCATTCCACGATTTCCTTAGCGGATGAAGCATGTTTCGAATCTTACTGAAAATCTAAGGGTACGACGCATCTTCCAACATATCGTACGCGAAACAAATTCTATTGCCAATGGTTTGGTTAAAGCTAGAGTTTCCCCTACTTTCTAATCCGGTGGCTTGCCTGTAATTTACTTTATTTTGCTGGATTTGGTTGTTGATTGTATGCTGTCAGTGGTTGGTGGGGCTACTTTATGTTATGTATGTATTGACTGGGGTTTGATTTATGCTTTTAAAAAATTTCACAATGGTGTATAAAATGATAACTTATTTTTTACAATAACTATAAAACTTATTGTTAAATTTGTAGTTTTAATTATTTGAGTGTGACCTGGACATATCGATTACAATAATAATAATAATAATAATAATAATAATAATAATTTTTTGAACTAGGTTACATATATTTATGTATATATGTATTTCATATATATAAATTGTATACATCTGTATTTTTTTTAAATTTATTATATCGTTAAAGTTTTATACATGTGTATAAAATTTGTATTTTTTTATATTTAAAATTATTAGAATTTAAATCTTATTTATTAGAATTAAAATTTTAATATTTTACCAAATCATACAAATGTTGACAAAATTTGTATAGTTTTTACTTATATGTAATCTTTACCTAATTTCTTTTTAAAGAGAAAAAAACTAATATTTTTTTATACATTTTTTCACGTGTTCTCGTGTTTGCATGTCTCAATGTAAATTTAGGATAAGTGAAAACTATGTTAATAGTACAACTATTTAACTGTAATCTCCAAAATCAATGGTTGGAAATATTCACAAATAGCCTGGATTTACAAAAAAAGTTTCCATCCACTGCCCTGAAGGAGTACTGAATCTCATATTTTTGGCTATCCTTTTCAAACGAATCCTAAACAAATTGTCCACTCAATCCTCCATCTTTTTCTCCGAGAACTCCAAGGAAAAAACTTACGTTTTGTTCCTTTTTTGTTTTGCTTGTTTCCAAACATTGGTTCTCATGATCTCTTTTTGTATTCCCTGGTTCCAAAAGCGCCTCCGCCCTACGAGGGGTCCTTCGATCTGTTGAAGGTTCCCCTCATGTCCTGCACAAACTTTGCCTCATTGCATTGTCTTCGGCTTCCCATTTTTGACCCTAGAGGTGACGTCAACTACGGGAATACTGTCCATCGTTTGTTGGTGTTCCAAGCCATTTTTTTCTTGCTCTTGGAACACAAGGTTTTCGGGGAATTCAGGTTGCAATCCTGGCAAAATGAATTGCTTCCCATGCTTCTCGTCACAAAAAAGCAAGAAAGAAACCGGCAAAAGGGACCATGACTCTTCGTTTCACGAGCTTATTCAATCAAGAGCGCCTGGTATCGTATGGCCTATACTTTGCTTTTTTTTTTTTTCCTTCCAACCCTGGATCTTATTATATCCATGGAGAGACTGTTCCAAATCCAATATTCACATGATGACAAACATGACTGTTCCAATGTAGTTTATAGTTCAAAATAATAATCAAAGGAAAACAAAATATTAGACTTCACAAAAAAACACCCAGAAGAAACGTATCTCATTGATTTGTTGTTTTGCCTTTTTATTTTTTGGTTGGGTTAAGAAACTAAGAAAGAAAAACGTGATACAGAAAATATGGAAGCTGAACATGGAAACATTGCTGCTCAAAGATTCACATTCCGTGAGCTAGCCGCCGCAACCAAGAATTTCCGCCAAGAGTGTTTGTTGGGTGAAGGTGGTTTCGGAAGGGTTTACAAGGGGACTCTTCAGGCTACTGGCCAGGTGCTCTTTACTTCCTACACTTTTTATTTTGGCCTTTCTTTTTGTTTCATTGTTTGAAGGAAAAAAAACTGCTGATTGGATTGAAATCTGGAGACCAAAAAACCAAGTCGAGAATCACAACGACATTAGATTCCGTTTGATTTATGTTTTTGTCATTTGTTTTCTTATTTTTTATTTAAATAAATAAATAAATAAATAAACAAAGAACAAAAGCATTAACACTAGCATTATCCTTTGCTCTAATAAAGTCACTGATTCTTTTGTTTGTGAAAAGTAAAATTCGTTTATTAAAGCTTTGTTTAGTATTCCTAATTACCCTGAAATTGGAGATAGGTGGTTGCTGTGAAACAACTTGACAGGAATTCAATACAAGGAAACAGGGAGTTTCTTGTAGAGGTTGCACAATTGAGTCTCTTACAGCATCCAAACCTGGTTAGTCTCATTGGATACTGTGCTGATGGAGATCAGAGGCTTTTGGTTTTTGAATTCATGCCCGGGGGTTCTGTAGAAGATCATCTACTTGGTACAAAATTCATTTTTTTTTTATGTCCCTGTTCTGTTCATTTTCATTAAATTATTTGGTAATTTTTATATTTTTCTGCTTAAAAATTCACAACACGGTAGCACTTGAGCATTTAACTCTGTGATTGATGTATAATCTTGTATTAAACAGCAAGGTTTGACTCTTCCCTTCCCCTAATAAAAAAAAAAAATCACAAATGGTCAATGTAAAGTGAAAGACAAAATTTTAATATTTGTATAGTGTAATTGCAGATATGAAGACTGAAGGAAAACCATTAGATTGGATAACCCGAATGAAAATAGCATATGGGTCAGCTCAAGCTCTAGAGTATTTGCACGATAAGGCCAATCCGCCTGTAATATATCGTGATCTCAAGTCTTCAAACGTTTTGTTGGATGAACAATTCAATCCCAAACTGTCTGATATTGGACTGGACAAGCTTGGCCCTTCAGCAGAAAAGATGCCTATGCAGTCAAGGACAATGGGAACTTATGGTTACAGTGCTCCAGAATATTCAAGATCAGGTAAACTCACAACTGGTGCAGATGTATACAGTTTTGGAGTTGTTCTACTGGAGCTTATCACTGGAAGAAGAGCCATTGACACTACCAAACCTGTCGACGAGCAAAACTTAGTTGCTTGGGTAAGTAAATTTGTTTGTAGAAGAAAGGAAGTGATAGCTTTCAAGTCTTTTGTAACAGTAACCACTTGGTATCGCTGTGTTTGGAACAGGCACAACCAATATTCAGGGAACCAAAAAGGTTCCCAGAAATGGCGGATCCTTTACTTAAGAAGCGATTTCCGGAAAGGGGTTTGAATCAAGCTGTTGCAATAGCAGCCATGTGTCTGCAAGATGAAGCTGCAGCCCGTCCTTTGATGAGTGATGTGATGACAGCCTTAAGTTTTCTTTCTATGGCCACAGAAGAGAATAGTATTCCTCGCACTCTTCCTGCTGCCATCTCATCTAAATTGCATTGCATCTCATCTAAGCTGCAATTCTTGGAGTGTGGCAATGAAGGGAAGCTGAAGGAACAAGACTGCTCTGTTCGTGATGCTGATTCGGATAGTGAATCAGACAGTGATAAGGGAAGTGTTTATTCGAGCCGAAGTGGCAGCGTGAATACTCATGAAGAAAGTGCTTTGACTCATGACCATAGTAGACGATCCACTGATGGAAGTGCTTCTTTCAGAGAAGAAAGCAGCAAGGGTTCTCATAAAGAAAGTACTTTTTTGAGTCACCAAGATAGTAAGAAATCGGCATTCTCATCAAGCCACAAAAGCAGCAGGAAATCACAGGAAAATGATCCTTATTCAAGCAGCAGTGATTCAGCTGATGAAAGTTCCTCAAGTCATAAGAGAAGCAGCAAGAAATTGCTTGTAGGAAGTAGTTACGAAAGTCAAAAGGGCAGCAAGAAATCAACTGATGGAAGTGTTTCATCGGGTCGCAAGAGTAGCAGGAAATCCAAGGAAGGAAGTGTTTCTTTAAGCCGGAAGAGCAGCAGGAAATCTCAGCATGGAAATTATAATACCAGCAGGGCCTTGCATGATGAAAGCAATTCTTCAGGCTCAAGCAGGAAGAGCCCGCAGCAGCAGTAATGGAGGATCACAGGATGAAAGCGAAGCGCACCATGAGAACATCCGTCCACAATCAGTAACCTTCACAAAGGCTAACACAACTGCTTTTCCTATATATATGTTGGCATAGGGAGAGTCAAATGGGTACATTTTGGTGTAGAGAGAAGCTATTTATGCCACCCACAAACTTAAAGTGACTTTGTCTTGTCTTTAATATTTCTATGTCTTTTAAGTTCCAAAACTTCTCAAGTTATTATCTCTTTATCTGATCTTATCTTTATATAATATAAAAAAGGTTAAAAATAATTATTGACTCAAAGAAGTTTAAAAAGTTATCTAATTAATAATTATATCTCCTTACAGAATTTATTAATTATTAATGGTAATTTTCAATGAAATAATTAATATTAGTAAAATGAATAGTTAAATTTTTTACAAACTTCTGATCAAGAGCTTTCCTCATTTTATTCTTAATCTTCGAACTTTGTACCAAATTCGATCTCGATCCTAAATTTTTAAAAATTTTTAATTGAATCTTCATTTGTCAAAATTTGTATAATTTTGTATAATTTGGGGTCACTTGAATGACGAGAAGCGCAAAAGATTTTCTCTTGAAGTCGAAATAAAGGGAGATGTGCCCAAAAGCACATGATTGCTTGCAAAATTTGCCTAAAGTGAACCGAAGCCCCATTTCACAAATGAAGATTGGGTCCCAAACCCAATTAAAATGAACCATAAAAAAGATATGTAAAGTTCCCTCTCTCTGTTTTATCTTCTTCAGCCTTTGCTTCTCCTCTCCACTCTTTCAATTTTTCCACACCACCAACCCTCCAACTCTCTTCTCAGGTTCTCTTCTACCTCTCCACTTAGCTTTTAATATTTATGCTTTCATTTTGTCTTCGGAAAAATTCATATATTTCTTTACCATGCACTTCATACTGCTTTTTCTTATGTTAGTTTTACATTTTTACATTTCTCATTTTTTTTATAGATATAGATGAAGATACGATGGTTTGCAGCCTTATTGTCTCTACGCAATTCAACTTCAATATGTGGTTTTCTTATAAAAGAAAATGCATCATTTCCCCGATTATTTTTGGACGTAAGAGAAAGGATTCTGAACCAACATGCCACACGATGTTTTTATGTTTATCAAAACAAAAGGTTATCTGTAGGATTCATGTGTTTGATGCAACTGAAGGTTCGGCCAAGTCCAGAAGTCTGAAGAAAGTATCCCTTCTTGGGCTAGAACCTATTCAGACAAGCCCCCTCCTTGGGCTCGAGATGAAGGGAAGGACAACACAAAATTAAGACGGCGCAACTTTTTCCTCTTCATGCTGCAGGTAGGTTCCATTTTTGAGTACGTCAACCAAAGGCCAGTTTTTGGAGTTTTAAACTCAGACGACATTTTCTATGCACCCTTGCTTGGTTTCTTTGCATTTACTGGCATCCCCACTTCTGTGAGTAAATTTTCTACTTTATTTTTCTCTTTTTTGATATTGTATAAAATACTGTACAACTGCATGAAATGTTAATATTTTTCGGGATATGAATATATGAATTATCATATTTATCTAATGTAATAAAGTCTTATTTGTGATTATCTTCTTCTCATACCAATAATTTGATTAATTTGGAAGAATGAAACTTTTTGACGCTACATAACTAGAAGAAAGTTTACACAATGAACTGAAACATGATGCATGCAATTCGGATACCTATGTCATATCGTAACCTAATAGTCCTTTTATTGATTTTGGCGACAAAAACAAACCCATTTTCAAAGTGATTAATGAAGTACTAGCGGAACATATAGCTTGAAATATTAACTCAATCTGACTTTGAATGTTCAGGCATTCTTTGGTTCAAATCTATTCAAGCTGCTAACAAGGAAGGTGAGAAACAAGATAGGACGGATCTGTAAAGTCAAATGACATAAGTTGCCATTGCCACTGTTATTGTTCATCATCTAGAATTATTCTCTCTGGAAATTGAGCACCTTTCGTTAATTATTTAAATCTCTGAGGTAAATAAAGTTTGCATTTGTTAACACAGAATGTCCAACGTTTTACTTCTGCTTGTAACTATGAACTGACAGATAAATACTAGTAGTTGACAGTCATATTGCCCAGTTGATCCCATCTGTTTCTCTTATGCAAAGAGAATGACATGAAAAAGTACCACTTTGCAAAATTGTTAGGAAAGTTGGTATTCGAATAATTTTCAGGTCTCAGCCTTTGATGTGTGAGGGAAAATGTTGCTGAAGTGGTAACTGAGGCTGCAGACGCAACCAAGTGGCTGCTTCAAGCTGATGTGGCTAGGAAGGGACAGCTCTGTTTCAAGAGTTCTAAAAGACTCCCGTGATTAGGTGATAGATGCCCTTGCAGGGAAGTAGATTCTCTTTTCTTTTTCGATTCTTAAGTTTGTTTGATTTCATATTCAAGATCACAATGTTAATCTAATCTAATCACTAATGTGATTTTATTAACAATTCTCATAATTCATTGATACTTTTGTGCTTTATTTATTTATTTATTTATTGCCTATACTTAGTTAGTCTACCTTTAATTATAAATCATTAAAAGTATAATAATGTGGTGATAATATTTTTATTTTATAATTTTATGAGCTCATAATATTTTTATTAGTATATTATTTCATTATTTGCATATATATATTAATAATATATATTAGTAAGTACAATAAAATACACTTTTAAAAAAATCAGATAAAATATAATATATTATTAATAATTTTCAAAAATTAAATATCAAGATTAATCACTGTAAGTTATGCAAATTTGTAATTGCAAATATATATATAAATATATGATTTGGTTTTTTAATGAAGAAATCCTAGTTACACTACATGAATTTTGATTTTTAGTGACGTTTTTTTTACCGTTTAATAGTATTTATTAACGCCACTATAAGGTTGCAGCATTTGTGAAAAAATGTCACGTAAAGTGCTACTTATACACGCGTCGCGATAAATAACGGTGTTTTAATAAAAATGCCTCGATATTAATGACGTTTGTATCAAAAGTGCCACCATTTTAGCAGCGTTTATATCTTTGAGACGTCACTACTTTAGAGGCATTTGAATATGAAAACTGCTCAATATTAACGGCGTTTATATCAGGAGCACTGCTATTTTAGCGACATTTATATCTTTGAGATGCTGTTACTTTAGAGGCATTTGAATCTAAAAATGGCTCAATATTAGCGACGTTCGTATCTTTTAGTCGCCGCTATTTTAGTTACATTTTTTTTGAGAAAAACGTTATTGCATTGACGGCGTTTGTAACAGAAAACATCGTTACTTTAGAGGCGTTTGAATCTGAAAATGCCTCAATATTTATGGCGTTTGTATCTTTTGGGTACCGCTAATTCAATTGCGTTGTTATGAGAAAAACACCGTTGCTTTAGTGGCATTTCTATAAAAAACGTCACCTAACTAGCTACGTTTGCTGAAAATAGCACCGATACTTATAGTGGCATTTTATGCTACAAACGCCACTAAATTATTCATTTAGTGGCATTGTCCAACGCAAACGTCGTAATTATGTAAAATAATATATTTTTTTAGTTTCTTATAATAAATTTTATTTTCAGTAAAGAGCTTAAATTCAAAAATTGAAATTAATATTAACTTCATTCACATTTAAATATATATCTAATTAATACAAAATTTAATAATTAGTATAATAACATTCAAATATGATAAATACATTAACCAAATAAAAAATTAAAATGTATGAAATTGATGACTACATACATTTTGCTGGCTGTTAATTGATGAAAAAATTTTTTCACCTTAGTCACTAGCATGCTCAATAACCTACTAAATAATACCGTATAATTTTTAACACTTCATTGTATGCTTATAGTAAATATTAAAAATTTTAATATTTACTAAATATAATACCTGAGTTGATGGAGCACCAAGATCATTTCTTGAAAATTGTTGCACAAAATTCATAAGATGATTGAATTGATCATTGAACTACTGAAATTTTGCACGTTTTACTTCCATTTTAGCATGTTCTTTTTCAATTTTGGCATGCTTCTGTCCTTTTTCTTATTTCATTTGCTGAAAACGTTGTTGCATAGTTTACAATTCCCCTTTCAATATTGAAATGTCTCGCGAAGACTAACTTGCTGATAATGTAAATTACAGAGAGTTATATCTATAGTAGGTAAATGCTGTTGGACCCGATCCAAGGCCTTAGACCTATCCATGCCTTTCTTTTCTAGCAACTTTTATGAATATGTTGAGAGAACCTTCAGATGCTACTTCAATCTCAACAACCATTTTCTCTTTCACTTTCTTCTATGAATTTGTCATATAGAACTATCAAGTTTAATGATTAATTAATTATATGTTAAAAATAGTTAATTTTTATTTTATGTTAAAATAGATGATACAAATTATCATAATTTTTTGTGTTTTGACATTCATGTAAGATTCATCTTTTTTTGTGTGTGTTACGCAAAAAAGTTTCACACGTCTAATTGTACCACCCATCTCATTCTCCTATACAAAAATATATGTTATTTGATAGGATACATATCAATCATAACTTATTTATGCATATCAATCCTGTCAATCAAGTATTAAAATTTCAAATAACTTTAATTTGCTTTATTTATATTTTGGCCTTGTAACAACACAATAGTCTTAAATATACGCAAAGAATAAAAGCATTTTGGGTTTTCACACATATTGATTATGAAAACCAAATTCAATTATTTTCTCCCAGTTTAATATGAAGGATTGAAGCCATTCAATATATTGAAAGGCATCCAAAATTTATTTGTATATTTACCTTTTATATGTAAAAATATTCCCAAACAGATATAACTGACAATTTTTCTCTCATATCAACCATAGAAATCAAGTTCAATCAATCAGACAAGCTTAATATCAAGTATTAAAGCTATCAAAAGTGTTAAAATACAACAATAACAACAACAAGATAATAAAGGCATAAAAATACGTAAACAATAACTTTTCATACATATTATTTGTGTAACTAAGTTTAAAACTTTCGATAAGTTTAATATCATGTATTGAAACAATCAAATCTATTAAAACATAACAATAAATGTTAATTTCCATATTTACCTTTTAACGGTAGAAAAAGTTCATTCATTGAAATAAGTTAATTATCATAAATTTATGATTTCTTTTTGCTTTCTTGCAAAACTTTTTGATAGACTTGTGTGACTATATTTCTGTTGCTTTCTGCTACCAATCCCAATCTGTTTTCTTTCCTGTCATAAAAAGAATTACGTATATGATAGAAATACAAATATTATCAACTGAAACCATCAAACACTTTCATCATTTAATTCTATTATACAAAGTTATAAACTAGTACCTCTTTTTTTTTTAGAACCAAAATCTAACCAGTTATTCATATTACCACCTAATCACATTACGCAGTAGATTTTACATCATTGCCTCTACAGTAGTATTTCGATCGAAATACTTATTCTTCAAACTATGCTTATAATCTTTCCATTTCTTTTCCAATAACTTAAGCACAAATGAAGTTGATATTTCAAGTACAAATCTTGACTGTAATAATACAAAAAAAAGTTTCAATAAGTAAACAAAATGTAAAATAAAAATTTTGAATATATCTAATTAATTATACTAATACCTCAATAAAGTTTAACGCATCGGCCTTAACTTCTTCTGAAATATTATGCCATGTTTCATAATGAATAGGTAATTTCATTCCATTACGGGCTAGCATGCCTAGAAATCTAGCCAATAGTTGAGCCTTTTCACTAATTGGTTGCCTATCAGAGTTTCAGACACTACAATACGCTCGTAGGAGGTAGTGCAAATAATTCCTTCAAAGTTGTCCGACCTGTGGTTCTCCATTGACCATTGTTATCAACTGCAACAAATATAAAATATATTTATAAAATTGCAATACTTTTATCATTATACTCGAATTATACAATTGGAGTATATCATACCTACATTCAAATTTAAAGCATAATCAATTGATGGGGTACTATCTAAACCTGGACCTCTCGTATTGTCAGATCTAATATCAGTTGAAGGGTTAAAAGTAATGGAGTTAGATCCTACATTACGTTCATTTACCTTCAAAAGATTCAGTCCATAGCCAATATCTACAGGTGTCGTAGACGGTTCTGAACCAATATCTCTGATATATTTTTCTTTCAACCTACTTCTCTGCATTGTAGCTTCCCTACATCATAAAAACGAATATAGAAAAAATGTTAGTTCAGAAGATATATAAAGACATAAACAATTTAAGAAATCAAAACCTACAATATATAAAGAACATTTTGATTTAATTAAATCAAAATATAATGTATGATTTAGAAGACAATAATTATACAATAGGGAATGTGACATTATTTACATACTATTACTTATTACATTATGTCTTAAACACTCGAATTATAGGTGCACGGAATCATGATTCGTAAATGTCTTTAGTAACATCTTCGTAGACTTACTGAGTGTAAGTACTGGAGATATTCTCATCTAAGTTTTGTTCAGCAAAAGAATAACATTCAGTTCCATATTCAACATCATCTTTGGTATCTAACCCCATATCAAATAAGTCTCTAGGTGTGTTTCACAGAATAACAAACTAACCTAATTCTTTCGGATCTTCAAAGTAAAATACTTGTTTAACTTGAGATGAAAATACATAAGGTTCATCGATGAGTTATTGTCCAGTGTGAATTAAATGAAAAAAATTCACAAGTATAAATTTGTACTGATCTTTCTTAAGACCTTTCATACTATTCACATCTGCCTAATCATACTAAAATAAGATAACTTTTCATTTGCCATAATAATCTAACTCAATGATGTCATTAATCATGCCATAATAGTCAACACTTTTCTGTAAAGAGTTTGTGTCATTAGCACTAGCATAGCTAGTAGTTGATAAAGTCACAACAACTCTTGAATTTTGTGTACTTCT